AAATTAAAGCCGATAAGGCCGACATACAGACACCCGACGACCGACTTTGGTGATAAGGTCGCGTGAGATGGAAATTCAATTTTTTTTTTTCATAAACATTCCAGCGATAAAGTGGAGGCACTAGAGACTACGGATGTGTGTTTGCAATCTGGATTTGATTGATGACTCACAGACCGACCGATCGACTCACTCATGACCGGTGAGGATTACTCATAGAGATCTCTCTTCTCAGCCGCTCAAGTGTTTCTATTTTTAGCCTAAAATATTTGCATTTTCTGTGCCAGGTTTTGAGAAAGGGTCAATAGTGTTTATTTAATGTCGAAAGATGAGCTGTTCGAATACGAAAAAGGAAGAGCAATGAGTTTAATGAGTTATTCATCAATAGTTTAGTAACAAAATAGGTGGAAATTATACTTATATTCTATTGTACCCTAAATATTAACCCCTTATTCTCTATATTCTTTAACAGTTGGACGCCAACAAGGATGGCTTCATCGATCTGCACGAGCTGAAGGATGCCCTCAACCAGGTTGGCTTCAAGTTGGCCGGTTACCAGGTCCGCGAGATGATCGATGAGTTCAAAAGCAAGCAGCGTACCGCCCATCAGGGCAAGCTGAATCTGGAGGAGTTCGAGACGCTGTGCCTGGACCTCAAGAGCAAGGATGTGGCCAGTACATTCAAGACGGTGGTGTCAAAGAAGGAGAATCTGGAGACTCTTGGCGGTATGTCGAGCATATCGTCGGAAGGTACCACCCATTCGGTGCGCCTCGAGGAGCAGCTGGCCTTCTCCGATTGGATCAATTCGAATCTGGGGCATGACAAGGATTTGCAGCATCTGCTGCCCATCGACAGCGAAGGCAAGCGTTTGTATTTGAGCATTAAGGATGGCATCCTCCTGTGCAAGATCATCAACCACTCCTGCCCGGACACAATCGACGAGCGGGCGATTAACAAGAAGAATCTGACGGTGTACCGGGAGTTTGAGAATCTGACCCTGGCCCTCGTCTCCTCGCAGGCAATCGGTTGCAATATCGTCAATATCGACGCCCACGATTTGGCCAAGGGCAAGCCCCATCTGGTGCTGGGTCTCCTCTGGCAGATCATCCGCATCGGTCTCTTTAGCCACATCACCCTGGACAGCTGTCCGGGACTGGCGGGCCTTCTGTTCGACAACGAGCGTCTGGAGGATCTGATGAAAATGTCGCCAGAGGCCATTCTTTTGCGATGGGTTAACCATCATTTGGAGCGTGCCGGCATCTCGAGGCGATGCACTAACTTCCAGTCTGACATTGTCGACTCTGAGATCTACTCGCACCTGCTGAAGCAGATTGCGGGCAATGATGCGGACGTAAATCTGGATGCCCTGCGCGAGGCGGATCTTCAGCAAAGGGCGGAAATTATGCTGCAGCAGGCGGCCAAGCTCAATTGCCGCAGCTTCCTCACGCCACAGGATGTGGTCAATGGCGTTTACAAACTCAATCTGGCCTTTGTGGCCAATCTGTTTAACAATCATCCTGGCTTGGACAAGCCCGAGCAGATTGAGGGATTGGAGTCTATCGAGGAGACGCGCGAAGAGAAGAGTAAGTACAACATGATTTTTTAAGAGAGAGAGAGAGAGAGAGTTTAAATAAATAAGATGCATAACGCAGGCTTCAAAGAATCTTTATCAGTTTTTGCTGCTGTTTTTCGCTTTCATTTTCCACTTGTTCTTTTTGGAAAACACACACCCAACCCGCATCATGCAATCGGGTTCTCTTATCGCGAGGCAAACAGAAACTCTTATTCGCTTCGTTGCTCTTAAACTTGTTCCACATTTTTTTTTATCAGAGACTTTAACACGAGCCAAAAAGATATACTACAAGAATGTCTCAGAAACCTGACAAACACACTTTGTACGAAAAATTCCATATTACGACGCCAAGGATAGCTCTTACGAAGAACAACACGTACTGGAAACAATCAGGAAAAATTGCATAATTATAAACAATAGAAATGACATCATTTAAAAGCAATATCTGACGTAGAAGAGAAAATATTCATAGTTTTTAGATTCTAATTTTTAAAGACTTTTAATTAATGAAGATGGGATAAAATCGATATTGGATCTCATTGAATTCTAAAATAATTATGTTATCGATTTAATCGATGTTATTTTCTAAAACAGCGATGGGCACGCAGTGGCTCAATTTGCTCACGCTGCTCAAACCGTTATCTTTTTTCGGAGGCGCCAGCATGTCGCACAATTGCAGACGCACAAGTGCAGTGCTCGCGACCAGCAAACCGTGAAGATTTACAAAAACAACCACACTGACCTTTGGCGCAGGTAGCGAGCCCATCGCCGCGATCCCGAGTTTGCAACAACAAAACACAAGCGACCCGAACTCGCACATCGTCCCAAAAACAAGAACAATTTTAAAGGGAATTGTGCGGCTAGCGTTGACTTCTGCACTAAAGAAAAAAGATTGGATTTTTTTTGCAGTCGTTTTTCTTAGGCGGACATAAATGCACGCAAAAATGGCTGAAGATATTGATCTACTCAAAAAGTTTTTGTCAGTGTATTTTCTCGGCTCGCACATTCTGTGTGTCGCGTGGGTGCGACGCTTCGCGACGCTGGGGGTTGTTCTTTTTTTTTTTTTTCAGCGAGCTGCTGCTCAAACCGTTAGATCTCGTGCCCATCGCTGTTCTAAAAGATCGATACAAAATCGATTCATTTATAATCGAAAACCCAGCTTTACTTATTAAATAAATAACCTTTTTAATTGGTTATCCTATTTATTTATCCAGCCTACCGCAACTGGATGAACTCCATGGGCGTGTCACCACATGTGAACTGGCTATACTCCGACTTGGCCGATGGCCTGGTCATCTTCCAACTCTTCGACGTGATCAAGCCGGGCATTGTGAACTGGTCAAAGGTGCACAAGCGTTTTACGCCGCTGCGCAAGTTCATGGAGAAGCTGGAGAACTGCAACTATGCTGTGGATCTGGGCAAGCAGCTGAAATTCTCGCTGGTCGGAATCGCTGGTCAGGATCTGAACGATGGCAATGCGACGTTGACTCTGGGTGAGTTACAAAACACTTATTTTCACATGCAACAAACATTTTTATGATAACTGGTATTTGTTTTTGTTGGTTAGCTCTCATTTGGCAGCTGATGCGCGCCTACACCTTGTCCATACTGTCCCGCTTGGCCAACACGGGCAACCCCATCATCGAGAAGGAGATCGTTCAGTGGGTGAACAATCGACTAGCGGATGCCGGCAAGCAGTCGCAGCTGCGTAACTTCAACGATCCGGCCATTGCGGATGGCAAGATTGTGATCGATCTGATCGATGCCATCAAGGAGGGAAGCATCAACTACGAACTGGTGCGCACCAGCGGCACCCAGGAGGTGAGTTTTGCAGGGCTATTAACAAATTAATAAGAATATGTTTTTATATTTTCGAATCACCCTTTTTAGGATAATCTGGCCAATGCCAAGTATGCCATATCAATGGCCCGCAAGATCGGCGCCCGCGTCTACGCTCTGCCCGAGGACATCACCGAGGTGAAGCCCAAAATGGTTATGACCGTCTTTGCCTGCATGATGGCGCTGGATTATGTGCCCAACATGGACAGCGTAGACCAGAATAATCACAACTCCGCCGCCGCCAACTCCAACAACAGCAATTAAGTGTAATTAAGCCACGTAAAAACTCAATCAATTATAAATATTAACGAGAAAGTAAAGTAAAGTAAAGTAAAGTAAAGTAAAAAGAATTGAAGGAACGAAGGAAAGAGCTGAAAAACTATGTAAACATTTCATAAATTCGCTTATATAAGTACTCTTTGATCGAAAGATAGTCTTCGCTTCGGTTTACCACCTTTTTTTTTAATATAATTTGATTACCTTTTTGTAATATTTTTATTATATATTAATATATATATATAGAAGAGTATATGAGTTTTCCCCTATTGTAACTAAGCGAAGCATTTTATTCGAGTTTTTCTCGATTCATTTCGTTTACCAATTTTGTAATTTTACAAAAAAAAAAGAAAAAACGCATCCCTGCGACAGAGTAAATACACTGAAACCTTATTTTATAAATAGGGATCTTGCTATTTCTGCTTTAAATTAAAAATAAAAACAAAAAACAAGAGACCACGCAAGATTAAGAGAGAGAGAATTGTAAACAATGAAAGCAATTAACTTTGTAATATATAATATATATATTTATAATATGCGCCTATATAGTAACATATATATATTTACATAAATCGATCTATATATATATATATATTTTTGCATAACGGAGTTGTCCAAAAACGAAAAGCAACAAAACCAACACCGAGAGTAACGGAGAGTAAAACTTTGTATTTAACTTCTTTTTTTTTGTGTAATTAAGTGTAAGCCAGGAGTGTGTAAGCCGCTTTTTGTTTATGTTTTTTTGCTACGTACATATGTACATATGTGTTTTGTTCTATTTCTTTATACATATTTGTTTTTAATTTCGCGTTTAAGTGAGTTTGAAGAAAAGAGAGATGGCAATAGGCGGTGCGGCGCTGAAAGAGATGGCAGGTGGAGAAAAAGACGGCAATAAAGGTCTTTAGTGCAATGAGGCGACATACAAATACAACAAAGCAAAACAAAAATAGATCCAGGAAAACGAAACTTGAAAAATAAAACACACACAAAAAACAAAACAAAAACATTCAAATACTATATTCATAATAAAATTAAAACAATAAAGTAAACCCAAAAAAAAGTATTTCATAATGCAGTTGTTACTGTTGAGTTGGGCTGCTAAAAATCACAATGCAGAGAGAGTTTGGACTCTTGATTAATCTCTTGAGATTACAAAAGCAAATCATCTTCGTTGGCCAAGAAAAATAAACATCTTTTGGTTGAACATTTCTGTCTAGATCAAGACGCCCAATGTTGCTCTGGAAACATTCTCGATATTCAATGAAATAATATAACAAAATCTCAATTTGTTAGTAGATATATTTATTTATTTATAAATTATTTTGGAAATATTTAGATTACATCGAATTATGTTTTCCCCAAACGGAATTAAAATTATATTTCAGCAGATTTGCGCATATAAATGTGTTGCATAATTTTTCCTTGTTTATTATTAATATTATAATTATTTATTAATTATACTAGAGATTCAGTATATACTTTAGGTAGTCCCAGCAGACAAAAACTTCGTTTATGATATTAAAACGATAGTTTTGCGGACAAAACATCCGATTCAGACTCATAAACGATATGGGTTTTGGCAGCAAATGCTATTATATTCGCTATTCGTCCGTTTTTGAGCATTTAGTGAAACTAATGCGGAAAGTTAGATTCTTTGTCAACATTTAATATCTTTTGCGGACTTTTTGTCCGCTGGGACGTGTTGTCTCTAAGGTATTAGTATTCAGTTACGGAAAAATAAGAGAATAATCATGAGAGATATGTGTTGTTGGTGTTTCCAACGGAAGCCCTGTTTAATATCGATCTGTATGCCTCGCACGTCACGCTCAAGTCGGACAATATATATATTGCAAGCGATCTATCCGGCTGCAGCTAACCAGAACTCCTTGGTGGACGCTGCAACCGTTTCTCTATTCTATTCTGTAGTAATACTTTCGTTTCACATAAAGAACTTTGTTTCTATTCAAAATCTCTCGAGTGCTTTTGTGGCAGTTTGCATAGAGTTTGGTCTTGTGTTGTGGGACAACTTTTTATATACACTTTAGCAACTAGAAAAATGTAAGGAAGCGCATTTGACTTGGAAACTACCTAATTTGGACGGTAAATTGAGAAGACACAAGGGTATTATATATTTGTCTATCGAAATGCTCAACGGCAGCGTAGCTTAACAGCTTTACTATTAACTAAAATTGATACTTGTCCTAATCTCTGTCACTTTCATCTTCGAAATATATTTCCAAAATATATATGTATGTACTTGTTGGGAGTGCAGAACACACAAATCGAATAAAGGTCGGTATCCAACCCCTTTAACGCGTTTGCTCTTTGAAAGAGTCGATATTAAATATTATAAAATGCAGCGAATCGAAAGTTAAAAGTCACATTATCATCCATCGAAGGGACATTTTAGTTTCTATTATTATTAATGTGGCTAACTTTGTCGTCAGGCAATTGTAATTGGCACTTTTTGTTGTGTTTAAGTAAGTATATATGTATATATAAGTATGCAGAGTCCTTTGTGACCCACATATGAATGCATATAAATGTAAGGGCATCCACTCAAGGGGCTGGCCTCGTGTCCTGCCACTTCTTGGTGGATGACCCGTCTCTACAATACAGTAATTTCATAATTAATACCCTTCCCGGAACGTGTGGTTTTTAGTCGTTTGTTGTTAATTAAAGTGACTCTCGCTCTCGTTTGTCTCCGTCTCCGTCTCTGTGGCTACCACTACCACTTGCGCGGGGGTGGCGGCAGGGGCATATCCTTGCCAGCATGGTAGACGCTCCTGTGGGTCTCCACATATTCGCTCTGGGTCTGTGTCTGAGCCAGAACCCGCTCGCCCGTCCTTCCTTGGTGGGTCGTCAGGGGCAGTGGCTGAAACATAATCATTAAAAGTTATAAAGCAATTTTCGGATGAATGAATTATTTATTTTGTTTGTTTTTTATAAATTTTTGTTATTTTTTTTATTATATTTATTAATTATTTTATTTTATTTTCATATTATATTTTTTTTTATTTTGTTCATTTTATTTATATTATTTCATTATTTTATATATTTTCTTTATTTTACTCATTTAGTTCAATTTCTTCATTTCGTTCATTTTATTCATGACAAAATGAACACATTTTGTTCATTTTATTTATTTTGTATTTCAATTACTCACCTGACGAACTCCTCGCCGTGCCCGCGGTGTTCCCTCCGGGGAGGAGATCACCATCTCATCTGGATCGGGGGCTGTCCAATGCTCGGTGAACTCGCTGGCGGAGCGGGCCAGCGAAGGATGGCTCAGGGAGCGGTGGAAGGAGCGACGATCGTCGTCGTCATAGTACTGCATGCGATAGTAGCTGCTGGCATCGCTCATGTTGTCCGAGTGGTCCGGCTGCGGCCGGCCAAAGTCCACGGTCACCTCGGACATGGAGCGGAAGTCGTTGTGGTCGGTCTGGTACGAGGTGCGTGAGCTGCGACGCGAACGCTGCAGATTGAAGGGTCCCTGGCCGCTGTTGAAGCCACCGGCCGACACCGGGAAGCCAGGCATTCCGGGATCATTGCGAATGGTGCGGACACTGGAGCCGCCGTCGCTGTCATACTCGTACAGCGTGGGCAGGGAGCTGCGACGCGAACGCGTGTCCCAGGGCTGTGGGGGAGCCTTCTTGCCGCCGCGCCGTGGCATTCTCATTTCCACATCCGGATCGTCATCGCCGGGCGGCGCCAGGATGCGGATGATAACGTCCCAGGTCTGGGGCTCGAACATGCGCTCATAGCGCGTGTCCTGGCGAATGCGCTCAAAGTCCTCGCGCACCACAGCCTCGGTCAGCATAGTACGCAGCGAGGATTGGGTGGTGATGATCTCCTTCCACTTGGCGCGATCGTCGTAGCTGAGATTACGCACCGAGCTGACATCATCGCCGGCCTCCGACATCTCCGGCTCCTCCAGGATGCGTATGAGCACATCCCAGTTGGGCACGTCCTTGTCCTGCGGCGGCACCTCGATCGGCTTCATGTTGCCCACCAGCTCGGGACTGGTCAGCTTCAGCTTGTTGTCATGGATCTGGGCCGGCGGCTCCGCCAGCGGCAGGCTGAGCTCGCTGCGCTCCATCTTGGGCGTGAGGGTCAGTCCAGAGGCGCTGGAGATGTCCGAGAAGTTCTCCCACTGCTGCTGCTCCCTTTCATTCGGATAGTTGCGCACGCGAACATCAAACTTGGGATCCACCGGGGGCGGTGGCGGCGGTACCGGCGGTAGCGGTGCCCTCGGCTTGCTCTTGTACTCGGTGACGCTTCGCTTGTGGCTCTCAATGTCCTCGATGGTCTTCTTCTCGGTGACCGTGCGCAGATAGACATCGTCCACGGTGTGCGAGGTCACTGGCGGCGGCAGCTGCACATTCGGCACATACTCGTCCTCGTAGTAGTGCATCGTGTCCACGGTCATGTCGGGTGCCTCGGAGGACAAATCGGTGATCTCGCTGGGTGCCGGGCCATCGGTATAATCAGACCAAGTTTCTGGACGACCGTCAACCACCTCCTGATGCGTTCGCGTGTACACGGAGAACTTGGGCTCGGCAATGGCCATCGGGGGCGATGGTAGCGTCTGCGGCACCTGCGGAGCCGGATGCAGCTCTGGCACGTACGTGAACTGTGAGTGAATGGTCTCGACGTGCGGCGGCAGCGATTCCATGGTCATGACACTCTCGCGATCCTCATACGCCTCCATGATGGTCGACAGGTTATTGCGATCGGGACGCAGGGTGGCCACGCTCTCCGTGTCCGAGGTTACCGGCGAGGGCGGCGGCGGCGGTGACTTCTTGACGCGCACCTGGACATCGAACTTGGGCGAACCGGCTGCGACGGCCTCCTGGATGGGTATGGCGTGACGGGTGAGCGAGGACGTGGTCATAACAGCCGCCGCCGCTGGCATCTCCTGGGCCGGCACATAGTGATCGCTATATATGCTGGATGTCTCCTGGATGAAGGCACGGTTCTCGAAGCTGCCCGCCGAGCTGAACGGCAGCGAGCGGGTGTCAATCTCCTCGATCTCGGAGTGCGATTCGCTGGGATAGTCGGACGGAATGAGGGCTCCCTCGCTGCCCGAGGAACTGTAGACGGCCTGGAGGGCGGCATGGGCGCGGGGTATCTTGACGCCCTCAAAGGCACTGATGTTGCCCACACTGCTGCCGCTCAGCTTGGTGATTTCAGAGCCGCTGCCCATGCTCATGGGCAGGCGACGCACCACAGGAATAGGGCGGCTGCGCAGACAGTAGTAGGAGACGGCCAGTCCCAGCAGAAGCAGCGTAAGGAACATAATGGCACAGATGATCATCAGGATCTGGATGCTCTTCAGCGGCGGCTGCAGCACGGAGCCCGTGGCAATGGGATTGAGACTGAGGAAGAGTGAGAAATATATGTATATATCGTACGGATATTTATGTTAAGGACCCAAGGGAGACCTACATGGGAGCTGGCAGGGCAGGCGGCAGTGAGGGCACTGGCGGCGGATAACGGCAGACTATGGTTATGATTTCATCGCCATCCATCTCTAGATTGGCATGGAAACGCACTATGATGTTGTTGGTGAACACACGGGTGGGATTCTGCAAGGCATTTGGATATAAGTTGACATATCCCAATCCATTCTCCCTGGACACTCACCTGGATGGTTCCACATCCCTTCAGCGGCAGCTCGAGGCGGTAACTGAGGGCTCCCTTGCCGCTCACACGACAGGCACTGCTGCGATCGTAGTCAGCCTGGATAATGCCATGGAACGGATCGTTGAACTTGAGATCAACCTGGACAGGGGGTATAAAAACAAAGCGTTTTTTTAGGGGATGCAGGAACCACTCCACTCCACTCATAACTCACCTGCATGGATCCGGCGGCACAGTTTAGCGCGGCCTTGGTTCGATTCAGGAATATCAAAGGGCTAATGTCGTCCAATTTGGTTACCTTTAAAGGGGGAAAACCATTAATTAATGGCTTCGAGGAGGGTTGTTTATTAAGCTCCTACCTTGCCATCCAGGGTGGCCTCCTCGGGCAGCCCGTTTGTGGTGTAGTTACCGCTATCGCCATGCTGCACGTAATTCGATTGCGCCGCTGCCAGTCCGCTGCAGATGAGGATCAGGAAAGCAGGGGCCAACACTCTGGGTAAGCCGTCCCCAAATGGCCTCTGGTCCGAGCTCATTTCGTTGGGAAACCACTAAAAAAGGAAGAGAGCTGGGGAGGAAAAGCAAAGGGATTAGGATTTTCAAGGAAACTACTACTAAGATAGGGGGGCCCACACTGAGAGCTCAAGAGCCTTCAGAGAGCTTGGGACATCCTAGAATAACTCAAGTCTTCCGGGGGAGGTTCCAGTTTCTTTAGGGATATAATTATTCCAAAGTTTTATAAAATGTATATATAAATCAAAGCACCGTTAGAAAAACACACACATCATTACAACAAGTGGCCTCGCCTCCATTGTGTCAACGACTTTCGTGCCAAATATTTTGCCTTCAAAAGAACCGCAGATAAAAAGATACAAAGAGAGGCACGCCACACGTAGAACGAACCTTTGAATCTATATATTCCAAATCTATTCCCGGCTTTCTTTCTTTCCTTCTATTTGTGCGTTCTTCTGTAAACCGATTAAGGTCGGCGCTCTCCGCCGTTGAAGAGCTGCTGCTGGTCAATGCCAAAGTCAAGATTGATAGGTCGGTCGTCCAACCGAGACCGCCTTCAGACGAGCTTAGCCGCAAAAATAATATCCATACACATTTGTGTATAAGTTATATGTATATCCGATCTGCCAGAAAGGCAATAAGTATTGCATAAAGGCGTCGCAGCACACGCAATAAATATATAAAAGACTGTGCAATACACCCGAGATGTAATAAGCAGTCGTCGATGCTCGCACAGACCAATAAAGCGAGACGAGACACCTACGACAATTTTGCCATATTTGTCAGGAACTTTTGCCTTGAAGCCGCCACCAAGCTACCAGCCAGCCAGCCAGCCAGCCAGCAAGCTAGCGAGCCAGCTTAAGCGGGCCAAGACAGAGGCTCCAAGACAACGGCAAAAGGTAAGGCAAAGCCAGCCATGACTAAGACTACTTGACTTGAGTTTTCCATTTTTTTTTTTTTTGCAAAACGAGTTTTATAGCTTACCAACCAAGCGGCCAACGCGATCAACACACTGTCGTAGATGCGGATACATACACCGGCAGCGATACAGATACAGATACATGTAGAGTGCAAGAGCATTATATGTTGGTACACTTGCCAAAAATATTATTCTTTTGCATGAAAATGAAAAAAAATGAATTAAAGTCTAAAAATTACTAGTTGTTTTTAGATTTTTAAATAATATCTGTCAAGTTCAAAAACCAGAACTTAAAACTATCAATGAATTAGTTTGTTTAGGATTTGCTAATTATGTATCACTGATTACCTATTCTATTTTAGTTTCAAGGACAGAAGAAATACCTCTTAAGCAGCTCTTTCCAGACTAACCACCAGTAAACCCTTTAATGACCAACCCACCAGTTGGGAATTTTAAGGCAAATGATGCAATATATCCCATTGAAAACTTCAGACATAATGCATAATATATAATATAAAAAATGCAATATATATTACATATTATAATATATCCATTTATCCTTGAACATTGGCATATATTGGACTTTAGAGTGATATTTCTCAATGAATGTTTATAACTTTTTCAAGTGTAGGAGGAGGTTGTGTGTGTGTGGTGACACCTGGTCCAGGGGCTGGCTTTAATGACAGCGTCTCCTTCTGCCCATTACCGGAATGTTCAGCCAGTACACGCAGAAATCTGGATTTGTCAAGGCTGTTTCTCGCGAATTTACAGACAAACATTTTCAATATTATTGGTATGCGTCACCGTGCAATGAGAGCTAAGAGCCAAATGTTGCTAGAACTTGTTTTTTGCTACCTCGAAAATAGATATATTCTTTTTGTCAATTTTTGCAGGGAAAATATATAGAAAAAAAACTACAAATTGCACATATTGAAGTTTCTAAGATATCAAAATATATATATATATATATTAACAAATTAAAAGATATTCTAGAAAACCTTGCGTGTCCCAGGTGTACTACTTTAATGCGAAAAATGTATGTTGAATATGTTATATAATAAGGCAAATGTGATGTATCTATGTATTTTTTGGCTAATGAATTAAACGGCATCACGCGAATGTTTTCAAAAGAATACAACAAAAAAATAGCTCAAAGTTTTCAGAGAGCCATGTGTGTGTGTACAAAAGTTTCGACACACACCTAACGTCATGGCTGCACATACCACACCTTTACATCTGTATGCACAGGCAGTGTGTGTACAGGTAGGCATGCAGCTTCGCAGACAGACACACACACGCACACTCTCAGATACAGATACAAAAGCACGGCTATATAGATACTTTTATATAGACACAGATAGTCTTGCTTCGTTGCTCGGAGCTGGGAGAAAAACTGGTTTTATTTTTTAACTCGTCGCTCCTGCTGCTCACTCCCGAGCTGGGCTGAGCTCTGGTTTAATGATTAGGCGATGCGATGGGTGGAGAGTTTGGGCACCACTAACATGTTTAAGGGAATACGATTACATGTGGAACGGAACATCATGTGCAATAGCCGATTGCATAAATAATATTGGGAGTGGAAGAGATGAGCTAAATATATATAGAGCTTTGATGCCAAATATCGTTTTCCGCATACTTTAGTTGTGGGTCTTTAGTTCCCACTGAAATGTAACTAACAAGAATTCTACACTATGAAAATATACAATTTTTGTGGAATTGTATATAATATGTTTTGCTTTGAAAATAGCTTGTTGTTGTAATTGAAATTGTTGTTGGAATTGTTGTTAAACATTTTTTACAAGATGTAAGATGTAACTTACATGTACCCAACTAAAAAATACAATTCTTGTGGATTTGTATTTCATTTTTCGAAATATTTGTTGCTTTGAAAAAAGCTTGTTATTGTTGTTGAAATTGTTGTTGAACTTTTTTACACTTAAATCTAAGATTAATTTTACCATGGCAAAGGCTTACTTGTTGGTAACTTGTACATACATATGTATATATATTTATTTAATAATATATAAGCCCTAAATATATGCTTGATTTCATAATATAAACCCTTGTAAATTTAAATGGATTTCCATCCATGAATTCCAAGGTAAAACTTATCAAATCATATTTTAAAATTGAATTCCTTATAAAGCTCAAGTTAGAATTTATTTATCCCCAATATGTAAATAATTATTATATATTTGCGTAATGCAAACCTGTCATTTTTGTTATGTGTACGAATTAAGAGAGGGCCAAAAGCGTCAGCGGTCAGGTACGCATGCGCTGTACGCCTATTTAAATACTCCCTCTCCCTCTTGTCAGCTCTTGGCTCTCTGGGAGCTTGCGCCAACCTTAACAACTTGGCTTAAACGTCATTGACCGTGGGGCGTAGGCAGGGCTTGTCTCAGAGGGGGTTTTTCCTCAAATAAATAATAAAAATCGCTTAAAACTTACATCAGACATGTATACTAAATTGAATTTCTTGGGGGGTGGGCAGCCGAAATCCCCTCTCATTATACACTGCCACGCCACTGTCTCAAAGCCAGTGTTCTGCTCTGGCAAGCAGCAGCGTTTCGGCAATATTCCAACTTTTCGAAGCCCACAAGTGGGCACTATATATATATCTATATATATACATACATATATACATAACGTAAATGAACAATCAATGATTAGAAGTTGTGAGTAGATATATATATACTTTAGAAAACTTTAATTGAAATTTTGTCTAAAAAAAATTGAATTATTAAATCAAACAAATATATTTCAACAAAAATTAACAAGTAAGAAAAGGTCAAGTTAAGTGTAATTCGATAAAAAAATAATTTTCTGCTATATTTAAAATTTGTTTACAATATTAAATGGCTATAATGACTTCAATATTGCGTTAAAGCTGTTGAAAAGTAGAAATTTTCTAAAATTATTAAAAATACGGTAAAGAAATTTATTAAAAAAAAAATAATTATAAGAAAGAAGTTGAGATTTTCTTTGTGAAAATATTTCTTTAACGTATTTATTGTAACTAGTTTTTATTTGATTGAAATTTAAACAATATATTTAATCATTAAATATTCCTAAAGCAAAGGCATTTCGTTAAGAATATTTAATGCTTAAATATAAATTAAATTAAATATTTTTCGGCTACATTAAAGTTGAGTTTTGGTTTTCCAAACATTTAAAAAACAGATTTCAATTAACTTTTTGAGATAAAGCTTTAAAAAACCGACGATTACAAGCAGAAAATGTATTGGAATTTTTGTGAAGCCACTATAGTCGGCCTTTTCCTACTACGATCAAAAGAATACAGGTTATATTCAATGGAAAATCTCGATAAGGCGGTCAAAATCAATTTTAATGAACCCATCAATGCGATTAGACCCACTTCCGCGGACAATGGGCCAACAATAAAGAGTGGAACTTTCGAAAGAATTTATTCAGTGAGGCAATTACTGTACTTCAGGCATCAGATTAGTTCAGACTCGGCTTACAGCTTCTATTTTCTTTCCCTCTTTCCTTTTTTTTATGGGTGATTCAGTGGTTGTACTATTTTTACTATCCAATTTTGTGAGTAATGTCAATTTCCGGTCCGGTCTCAATAGTTCTCAGAAGTGTTATCCCGCGTTGCACATCACATCATCTCACAATACACAAGAAAAAAATAACTGAAACAAGTACATATATATTTCCTTTTCAAAGGTTACTCCTCACATTATATGCAGATCGTGCGAATGCGACGACTGTGCGCTCATTGTTTATTTTAGTAATTCCACAGAGTGAAAACAACAAAAACCGAATTAATGCTTTCCCAGTAAGCTACTAACACGGACCGCACTCTTGTTAGTATCTTACCAGGTTACCGGAAATATTACAAGCAGAGAAAAAAAAAAAAGAAATATTACAAAAAGCAAAAAAAAAGATAATGCGAAGAAACAGAGAAAAGCTTGTATATACTTTTTTTATGTTTGGAGTCGCGCTTAGGCGCCGTAGCCGTTGATCTTCGTTCGTTGATTTGTTGTGGGCTTAATTTATGCCGATTCTGTGCGAACTGCGGAGACAAGCGAACCGTCTCTCTAACTTTTATCCGTGCCCGAACGCGCTCTAGCGGATTACCTGTTAGCGACTGAGTTGGCTGCTCGGCAATCTGGCAAACTGGCCCCCCAGCCCAGGCCACAGCACTGGCTTGCTCCGCTCCAACGCCGCTCCGCCGCCGCTCACAGCTTTCGGGCCAAGTTGCGCCCGAGTCGGGGTCTGAGGCTGAGTGTCTGTGTTGGAGTTTGTTCATCAAAGTGTTTTGTTTTTTTGTTTTTTTGTCTCTCCCCAGCTGAGCAATTTGCCGATTCCTCTCTCTCTCTCTTTCTCTCTGATGTATTGTTATTTTCCAGCTCCGGCTTGATTCTGCTCAATTCCCCAACAATTTGAACAATTTTTTTGGCTTGCTCTACAAACTTTTACCAAGTTTATGCCATGAATTTCATGACTTTTAAATATGCAATATGCAACAAATACATTATAAATCACATTTTATTCCCTCATTTCCTGAACCTTAAAATATAATAGCTTTTAGCAATTTTAAAATGTTTCAAAATTTTATAAAAATTTCTTTATTAAACAATTTAGCGATCGGTAAGTTATTGTTGTTGAACTTTTTTTTACAATATGTAAGACGTTACTAAAAAGAATTCTGCACTCTGAAAATATACCATTTTTGTGGAGTTTTATTTAATTTTGAAAAATATATTTTGCATTGAAAATAGCTTGTTGTTGAAATTGTTGTTGAAACTGTGGTTGAACTTTTTTTACAATAAGATGTAACTAACAAGAGTTCTGCAAATTTACCAATTTTAGCAAAAGCCATTTTAAAATGTTTATATATATATATGTATATATATACATATATATATTTCAGTATATAAAGCTCCTTAAAAAGAACAGTACCAATTTGTAATTCTTATTCCAAAAATAAGAACACAAACAATTTGCTCGACCACGAAAAGAAAATCTTGATATATTAAATGAAATCTCCGAAAATTTATTAAATTCCAACTTATTTCCTAATTTATAAACAATTACATACTTAATTTCTTTACGCTGGCAAAGACTGTACAAGAATCTGTTATTTTATTGTTATAGTTATTGTGGTACATGTGCATACGGCAGGACTTATGACAGCATACACATTCCTGTTTTTTTTTTTTTTTTGTTTATTTGTTTATATTTTATACAAAAATAAACTGAAAATGTAAATGTTCGTCTCTCTCCGAAAAAACTATAATCATGGAAGGGGGGAAGGAGTTGGTTTCTGTCATATCTCAACCAATCAATTCTTTGTTGGTTTTCGGCATTGTTTTTTTAGACCGAGATTGAGTAGTTGGTTTCAGTGTACGCCTGATAGGAATTCTCTACAAAAAAAAAAAAAACAATTGTATTTACTATTATTCTTAAATTATAAAACTGCAACTACGCACCTGATAGATAAGCTATCGATTTTGGCAAATTAACAACATCGCGTCGGAATGTCGACAAGTTTTGCGTGAACCTAAAGCAAAGAAAGACAAATTATGATCAAGTCTAGAGCTAGATATATATTTTTTAAAAGAATAAAATCGCATTTAACTTTTATATTTAATATATCTATTTTGTATGTGAAATTGAATATGGACTTTAGCATTAATATATTGTTATATCTGAAACTCACTTTTCCTTGTTTTTACTGGACACATTTCGCTCAATTCCAAACATAAGATCATCAAACCACTGCGCCATGGTCTGTTGCTTCTCCACAGGCTGTCCACAGATAATCCTATCCTTAAGTGAACTGCAATTAACAAATTCGTTAAGTTTAAGGTTTAAGTTTCAGATTTCATTTATAAATATATCAATATAAATATGGATAAATAAATAAATATATCAATAATTAAATGTATAATAATAATTAATAATTAAAATATAAACTATAATTCCCAACTAGTTCTAGCATTTTTCAAGTGGTAACCAATGAAAAATATTAAAACTTGAAGACAAGGCGAACCGTTTCAAGTAAAGAATTTCCGAATTGAAATTTTATATATTTAAGGCTTTGTTATTTCCAACCCTTAGATGGTATTATAATCTAAATCCCTGGTATTGCGTTACACTTTTCACACTTACCGATAATAGTCCTCGTACAGTAATATAAGCACCAGCAAAGGACGCGACATGGACCATTGATTTCGGCAATCCTCGGCCAAAACATTGTTCAATAACGACGACATCATGCTCTGCAGCAACTCCGAGTTAATCTCAACAACCTGCAAGGCAAAGGAAGCCAGATTAAAGTTCGTTAAAGCTGAGAACTTTAGTTTTTAGATTTTATATTTAATTATTTTTATTATTTGTATTTTATCTTGTGACTCAAAAAATGTAAACTTACCTTTAGAAACTGGGCATTCTCCTGCGTTAAGCTGCGAAGTTTTTTGTTTGGAAATGTGGAAACTGAAAGGACATAGTTCATAGTTTAGTTTCTAAATGATTTTCTGAAATAAAATAACAAGTATAGATTACCTTTCAGCTGAAGCTGCTTAAAAATGTATGAAACGATGCTATCCAAAATTGTGCAGCAACTTATATAAATGGCGGAATCTAAACATTCAAATAATAATTATAATAGTTAATATAAATCATAAATAATGAATATAAAAAAAACCCACCCAATGCGGCCAGACCCTTTGTTAGACTCTTCAAGATGTACACAAAGGCCGAGGGCTCCAGGGCTGCGAGGTATGTGACATGATCTTGCGAAAGGCAATTCAGCAAATTGTAATACGCCGTCGACAGTTTTGGGTACTCCTGGAATAGTAAATATTCAATTCAGTTTCTCAAAATCCAAATCCACACAAATTGCTTAAATATATACTCACAATTAAATCGTTTTGCTGAATGGAGAGTATTAGCTTGGCTATTATATTCAGGACATTGTCCAATGTATCATCCCCGTAGAGCTTGAAAACCCCACAATTCACATAGTTACCGCCGAGGGAGTTCTTCAAAATCAAGAAACATATGGCGATGCCCTTAAGTTTCATCGGATACAGACGGTCTCGCGGCACATCGAGATGCAAAATCCGATTGCCGTATATGCAGATAAGTTTGGAGGCCTCGCGAAATAATAGAATACCCATGGGACTGGACACATTGCCGGCCAACCTCTGTGTGCGGCAATGTACTAGTTCAGCGAAAAGTTTTAATACTGGCGTTGTTACGGCGGGATCATGGGCCCAGAGTTCCACTGCCCGCAGTAATATGGGCAAATAGTCTGCATAATATCTACAAATTATATACAAAAATTAAAATTATATTCCAGAAAGAGAGAGAGAGAGTCATACGCACAGCCATTCAAAGAGCATTGTGTACTGAATACGAGCGTTGAGCGGCAGGGCCAAGCCGCGCAGGTCGCGAGCCAGGCCAATGATGGCCTTTTTAGCCTCATCATTCGGGAAGCTATTGGCGCCCATTAGCACAGTTCTAAGTGATTCGAATTGATCTGGTTTCAAGAGAGAGATAAAATTACGAGTATTCATATTAATAAGAGATATATTCTGATTACATTTATTTGAAGCAATTGATTTATGTTATGTGAAATTATTGCAACCCATTCCCATTCTCATGTACTCACTCGTTAATGGCGCCAAAAAATTATAGAATCTCTCCTCGTCCTCCCCCAAATCGAACATCAACAGTCGCCCCAGTGATGTGTAGAACATGGTGCGGCAACGCATTTCACTCAGCGAGGAGTTCGTTCCCAGGAATGGAAAGTGTTCGCTGGTGTGATGCGTCAGCATAAACTGCACCTCCTCGAGTCGCGCCAGCTTGCGCACGGAATTGAAGTGCACAGAGAGATCCGAGAGTAGCATCAGAGTCTTGGTTATAATGGGCTCCGACCGTCCCCAGTACTTTAAATTGGTAATGCTAAAAGTAAAGACATTTAAATAGCAAATAAACTTAAGAAATTTAAGAATTCAACACTCACATTTTACGATTTATAAAACTCAATAGCATTTGCTCGTCGCTAACACCAAAGACCTCGCTCAGTCTCTTGTAGACATTCGCCTTTTGCGTCTGCTCACTGCTATGCATCTTCCGGACCTGATCCAAGAAGCTGAGTATGGCCAGCTCGAGCTTCTCGCAGCCAGCCTGCGGCAGTCGGGCATCGGTCAGACTCATCAGTTGCAGGACTCTTATCACCAGCTCCGCGTCCATCGAGTCATGCTCGTCGCTTGTCGTCACCGAGAGGCGGCCAACTATCGCCGAACCGATGATGTAGACCAACCAAGTCAATTGCAGTTCATGCACGGTGATGTCTATGGGATTGGCATTGGGCATCTGCACCAGATTCTCGTATTCGCGTGCCTTCTGATCGAAATGCTGGACCAGGAGGCCGCAGGTCTTGTTGTATTCGCACCTCTCGATCACCGACAGCTGCTCTAGCTGCTGCTGCACCATGCACAGATCGTCCAGGGGATCCTCCAGGTTATCACGGACGATAACCGGAACGGCATCTATACGCGACTCAATGTAGGCCTTGATCACCTCCGGTGTGTAGGAGCCCAGCAAATGCGGATCTGGGGATTTTACATAGGGCACCGAGGCCACCATGCGCTGCCAGAGCGTAAGCAGGTAATGTACACTGTTTGGTGCGAAAAGCCACAGCTAAAGGGGGTGCAAAGAGGGGTTAAAGAGGGGGTTAAGAGAGGTTTTGTATAGACTATTGATGATATCCAGAGCAGAGCATTTAACAGTTGATTGTTTTCTAGAAAAGGAATAGCCTTTCCTCGACTAAAAGCAAGGACCGTCAATAATATCTGGTGGGATTTGGGGTATACATACATGCAGCGATTGTACCGTAAACTTGGCTATCAGTTCGATTGCTTCTGGATAACAAGGAACTGCTATAAGTTCACCGAGTTGGTAATTGGATTTAAGGCGAGCCAGTAAACGGCAGAATTCGTGGTAGTTATCTGGGTCACTCAGGCCCTGAAAACATGATTAGTATTTCGTTTTTTTTTTTTTTTCGAAAAGAAAAGAATTGAAGTAAACATAAAAGTACTCACGTGCAAGTTAGTTAGAATATCTTTGACGCCCTCAACCAAATGTGTTAAAAATTTCGTTCTTTCGGAATTGCTAAAAAGAGATCGACGCACAGATGTCATTTGAACCAAACACGATATGGAATAGCTAGCTAAACCATTTGGCAATATCTGATATAAATCAAAAAACAGTTTAAGTGTGTTTGAATCTAGAAATGCAGGACGCCAAGCTGTGGGTATCTAAGTATAAGGACCAAATCAATAACGAATTCCAACAAAATTAATTGCATACGTACTTGAACATTATTCATATCATCGGCCGATTCATCGGTCGAACTGCCAATAAAGTCAAAGCTTAGGCAATTTTTCGTGAGACGCAAAACATGGGATATAAGTCTGGAAAGAGAGCAAAATTCATATTAATTTATAAACAAATATAATGACTAAGAGGATTATTTTGAAACTTTTGATAATACTCACGCTTGCTGCGACTCATCCATGTAATTGAGGTTCTTGCTATTGTCACGAGCCGTGACCAACAACGAGCAGGATAACAAGAAGGTGTCGTACAGCTGCTGGTCGCGATACGATGTTGCGATTTTTCTATTTTTTGAAAAGGACAAGTGCACATCTATCTCCACAATAGAATTCATTTCGCATACCAATTGTGATAGGATTTGGACACCGATTGTGCAATGCTCGACAGAGCCCTGAACAAAAATATAAGTATACAAGTATAAATAAGTAATTGCGGTGGACGTGGACGTGGACTCATCGACTGTGCATACACATACCTGTAAGAACTTTTTCACATCCTCCAGCAGGTTTTGAAATACCATTTCCCCCTTAAAACTATCGAACCATCCAAATTTTGTTATTTTCGCCAGAAGAGTGACCAATGCCTGAACGACAAAGTGCTGCAAGTTGGGCCTGGTGGCCAGGTAGTTAAGGGCATAGCTTCGGATGTCGATTCGCTGCTCCAGACTCAGTCCCTGGATGAGCTTTGTGAGCGTGGAGGCGGCCAGCAGCTGGGCATAGCTGGAGTCGGCCCTGTCCAATAGGAGCTGACATTTGGGCAGAGCATCCTGGCTGGTCACGAATGTGCCCAGAGCCTTTTCCGCTTCGGCACGAATACCAACATCGGTGGCTTCGTATAGTTGTTTGCAGAGCACCTCGAGTTGTTGTATGTCCTGAAGAGCGCAATGCAATGTTTACATTCGGCACGAGTCAAATTGCAGTGTATATACCAACCATTATACAATGTTATTCCGAATGGCGAGCAGGTGGATTTCCAGTAGTTTATAAAGTTCAGTTTCGCTTGCCTGCTTTTCCTAATATATACTGGGGGCTTACAAAATATGTATATTTCTTACTAACTCTACGCAGTGTGGAGCGGCCCCGCCAGCAAATGGGTTATTAAAAGTATTGGTTTACCAAAAACCATCAATCAATCAGCTGCTTAAGTTTCAAAGCGTTTTCATTAATGTCAGGTTAATAATGAAAACAAAACACCAAATTGTTCTTAAAACAAACGACAAGTGTGACCAGAGCATGCGACTTGAAAATGCCCAACCACATTAATGCACTTGTTGAACCATTCAAGTAAGAAATGCAGCATTTCCTGGCACATTATAGCCTTTAATAGTTATACATTTATGGTTTTCAACGTTGGCCCAAAGATATTTGCATGCCAAAGATATTTGCCAAAACCCCGGCTTCTTCTTATTGTTTCTTATTAGTTGTCTTCAACTGCATACTCTTTACCAGCCATTCCCACCGAGCCACATCAATTTTTACCGTCCAACACTTAGACGGTATAGCAGGATTTACGGCGCCGGCATGCTCCGGTAATCGTTTTTTTTTTCGATTTCGATTTGGATTTGGGCGAAATCGTACTCGTACGATTTAGTTTTTGCTATCGATTTGCTATCGGAATGTTTCGTTTTCTCATCGTCAGCCATGGCGATAACTTTATGCGATAGACTTATCGAAAAATGTATATGAATTCGATTACCGGAGCAGGCCTTATATGCAAAAAACAATATACATAAATAACAGCTAATTGCCATGCAACTGATGAATTGTAATTAAAAAAAAAAGAATACATAAATCTAAAATAGAAATTATTATGGCAATTAGTTTAAAAAACTTTAACTTTTATTTAATTTCATACAGGGGCTGCCTTTGTAATTCCGTTCGTCAAATGCATTTTTTTATAAAATTAAATAATACAATTTGAAAATCTTTTTAATATTATTTCTTAATATTTATTAAGATTATGCCTACCTTTTTACTTTATAAATATTTCTATCCATTAGACAAAAATTTCGTTTATGATATTAAAATCGATAGTTTTGCGGATTTCAGGCGGACAAAAAGACCGATTCAGATTCATAAACGATAGGTTTTGTGGCAGAAAATGCTATAATTTTCGGAATATAAATAATAATAATACAATTTCGATTTCGAACCGTTTTACGACATCATTAGCGGCCATAATCCTGAGAATTTACGATATTCGTCCGCTATTTGTCCGTTTAAGCGTCCATTTTTGAGCGTTTAGCGAAACTAATGGGGCAAGTTTAATTCTTTGTCCGTTATTCATATTTTTAGAAGACATTTTTCGGGTCCATTCGCAGTACGTCCGATTCTTTGTCTGCTGAGTAATCGTTTCGTGATAGTCTTCGGGTCACATTCTATAGTTCATAAAGTGACTAAATACCTTTCAAAATTTCGAACAGCCCCAAAAGAATCGCCCACTCCAGTGTTGGTGTCTTTAAAAAAGGGAAAACCAGTAGCAAGTATTATTTATTTTTGTATTTTTTATTTGTCTAGACTGTTTTAGATTTAATTTTATTGGATTTTTTGTTCAGAAAGGCATGCTAAAATAATGACCGTGATCGGGGGCCACTCGCAACCTCTATAAAAACCTTGGGGGTCCGGAATTGAATGTCCCGGAATGTTGTTGCTGGGGATGGTGTGATGTTGGCGATGGCTGCCCCTGCCGCACGATTTCAAATGGCGAATTCGAACGTTGCATAAAGTGATGATAGTTATTCTGTGGCAGTTGATGCTACAAATGGAGTTTGAAAATATTATTTAAAATGGAAAAAATACACTATAAAATTGATTACCAACCTGTATATTTCGTAATGTCATAGCACTAGCTGCATTCCCAATTATATGTGGGCTTGGCCCATCGCCCAAATCTAATTGCAAACTCTCGGGCATGTCGTTGCTACTGCCAACTGCACCGCGTCCATGTCCATGTCCATGTCCATTGCCGCGCACACCACTTCCGTTGCCGCCGCCGTTGCCGCCACCACCACCTCCTCCGCCTCCATTGCCGCTTGTCAAATGAAGCTGCCCCAATGAGGCTGTAGCCATCGCCACATCCGGCATCATTTCGGAAAGATGACTATTGCCTGTGTCCAGGCCACAAGCACCGCCGCCGCCGACGCCACCTCCACCACCGCCGCCACCCTCGGCGCCCATGCCCATGTCCAGCCCCAGACCATTGCCGCCGCCATGCGGGAACCGAAAGTCTCCCTCGGTAATCAAGGCGGGCAGATCGTTGCGCTGATGATGATGCACCGTCGACGAGAGCCGCGCATAGCTGCACTGCAGAGCCGCTGGGCCCGAGGTGGATCCAAAAATACTGGCCACGCCAATTAGACCGTTCGAGTGGTGGCGTGGGAAGGTGAGATTGCGGCTATAGCACGGGTGAGCGGCAATGTCTGTGCCGCACGACGATATGGATGAGCCCATCGACGAGGAGGATAGAAATGCGGCGGCAGGTGCCGCAACATTTGTGTGCCGCGGAATTGATCCCGTGGCCGCTGGCGATGGCGGCGGACTTTGATCCTCGTCCTCCAGCAAACAGTCCTCGGTTTGAGTGGTCGAGGCCACAACGAGCCCGCCGCAGGTCTCCTCCGCTGAATGCGTCTCACCGCCGCCGCCGCCGCGGCCCTCGTTGGCCTGGAGCAGTGAGTGCTCCAACAGATCGGACACCTCATCCGGCAGATTGAACTCGCGGACAACCCGCAAACGAATTTGCCGATCGATTTCATGCTTCGACGACAACGGCAGCAACAAGGCTCGCTGGCACATCGGCGACTGGCGGAGCTTGTGCTCCCGTTTGCGCATCGCCAGCAGGGTTTGGTTATCCGGCGGCGGTATAGCAGCTGCTCCGCCTCCCCGCAGCATCATGTCCAGGTGGCCGTCGCCAGTACTCCTTCGGCTTTCGTTAGCGCTGAGATCACTGTTCACCTTTGACTTCATATGCGACACCATGTACAGGGTGTCCGGGATGTCGGGGGCATGTCGGGAGCGTCGCATTCGCATTAGTTCCGCCTGGTGATGGGAGGAGGTCATGCGATCCTGGAGCAGCGCCTTCACCTCCTCGAAATACGGCATAAAGAGACGCGGGCGAACGTATAATCCCTGATTCTTGCCGCCCCGAATCCAGGCATTGATCCGTAAATTCTCCCTGTCGTCACCAATCATGTGCGAGGGCGGTGTGCTCACCAGACCCCGACGAATGGCCTGGCAGAGGACCTCGCAGTGCGGCGGCAGGACATGATCCATGCGCACCAAGGGCAACAGTTCCGAGAGTATTTCCCGCAACTCAACGTCACTCAGGTCGCGCTTTTTCACACCCTTGCGGGCCACCGAATGGGCGGTGTGCGACAACAGATTGGGCTCACGATCCTCCATGCGTCGGATGAGCTCCTGTTCGCCCCATTTGAGGACAGCCTGCAGCACCTCCAGTTCGGAGGCTTGCAGAAAATTGCTGTGCAAAATGTGTATTAGCTGTGCCTTGTCCAACTGATGCAGCACCGGCGAAGCGCTCACCGCGGAGAACTCTTCGCGCAGATACTGGCACGCCTGGCGGAAGACCCAGGCCGATCCATGCGGCTGGCATCCCCACTTGAGGACCGTGGGCAGCGTCTCAATCGATAGCCATTCGAGTATTAGGTCCTCACAGCCCTGAGCCAATATATCGAGCTCTAGGAACCGCCCAATCTGATACAGTTCCATGGCCTCCTCCAGCGTGGTGGGTCGCACACGTCCCGTATTGGTCAGGGCATGCACCTCGCCCAGGGATCCCGCCGATGTCCCCGATCCCACGCCTCGCAATATCAAGCTCAAGTCCACCGAATCCAGATAGATGGCCTGCAGCAGAACTCGGGCATAGCGCTTCGGTATAACCGTTTCGTCCAGCACAATCCGCGTGGGCACATGCAGCGATCGCTCCACATACTCGTCAATATTCCGCGTGCGACGCGCTATCAAATTGCGGAAGAACGGAGAGCGGGCGCTCAGCACCGCCTTATGGCATGGCAGCTCAATCTTTGGCCGGAACCCGTACTCCGATGTCCCAGAGTCTTGCCGGAGATAATCATTGGATCCGTCCGCTGTGAAGACAAGTGCCGCATCCGCATAGTCACCCGTTTCCAGCAGATAGCGCAGATCGTGTTCCAGCGGATTTGGTGTCCCAAAATCCTTGCCCAGCTGACGCAAGAGTGTGACATCGATGTTGGGATCGTGCGGACAAAGGTCACCGGTGTATAGGTAGCGTAATAACGACGAAAACAGTTGCACATCTATGGGCGATGTAGGTAACTCAAGACAGATACGCGCTCCGAAGCCCGGACATCCGGCCAGCAGGTCTCGAAAATACACACATCGTGCTGATAATATCGAACGATGGACTGAGAATATCGTTCCCCGAAACACAAGGTCACAGTCCGTGCACAATGTTTGGTCATAGAGAGCGGCCAGATCCTGTTTGTACGTTGTGGCCGGCGGGCGTGCCAGCTCAGCTTGCACCTAAAACATTCAAATATATATATATAAAAGCCAAGTTAAACAAGGAGAAATGGTTGTTTTTGCTAACCGACAAGTCCCTCAGGGCTGACAAGGCTTCAAACTCCTCGCAGAGGGCGGCCAGTTCAATGGGCGCCCAATCGGACACGAAATCTCGTAGGACGCGCGCGTGATCACAAGCCTTTGATGAGCGTCTGCGACGTATGAATTTTCGCTTGAGTGTGGCAAAGCCCGTAGCCCGCTTCCGCCTTTGATCGCGATGATGATAATGTTGTGCCGCCGCCCCGCCTGCACCACCACCACCACCGCTGATGACAATCCCAGGCGCGCCGCCCAAGCTGCCGCTGCCAGTTGTCATTGCCACAGCGCCCGCCGTTGACATCCCGGCCATGCTCATGGGCAGGACGACTGCTGATACGTTTCCATTGGGATTGTTGCTAGAATTATTATTTGCCACGCTTCCTCCTCCGCCACCTGATGCGAGCGTGGGATAGCTGCTGCTCGAACTGTTGGCTCCCATCGTAATATTATTATTCGTGCAATAAATACTAATTCGGATGCTGTGTTTCACATCAGGATTACATCTTGTCCTTGGATGCACGACTGTTTAGAATGTGATCGCCGGGGGCTCTCCTCTGGACAGCCTTTTGCAGGCGGTAACCATCAAAAGGGGTTTTCCTTTTTTGTATTAATACAACCAGATTCTGAAAGCAAAATTTATAAAATTATACATTTTTATATTTCAAGGCTGCAGCATGTTGAAGGGATTCTAGGATTTTTCTTTTTAAAGAGCGAAAGCAATTATGACTTAAATCTAGTTATAATGGTCATATATATCAAGGAATGTTACGATTTATAGATATCAAAGGAAACGATTTTACAGATCATAAAAGTTTGATAAAATTATCGTATTTTCTTTTTAACCTGTTTTTCTAACCTGTTATTTGTTATAAAAAACTTCCAATTGGATTCTGATTGTAAATCAAGCTGTGTAAATTAATTAAATTAATTTCAGTAAACTAATAAATGAGTAAAACTTGTATATAAATATCAAATAGTTGAAATCCATTTTTATCTTTCGATTAAGTCCGATATAACAAGCAAAATATCGATTTATATCACAAATGTTGAAGAAAACATAAATTCCAAAGGAAACCATTTTAGAGATCTTAAAAGTTTGATCAAATAATTATATTTTCTTTTCACGTTGATCTAAATAACTTATGATGAACATCATTAATATGAATACTTTCCCAATTGGATTTCAATTGTTTCTAAATTTGTGTAGAAACTATACAAATATTCCAATTTAAATTAATTTAAGAATTGATTTTGGGTGACCTGGTCGGGGGATTCATTCTAAGTTTAAGTTGTAAAATATCTAATAGTTAAAATTTTAGCTGAACTTTTTAAAGATTAATCATTAACATATTATATGTGCTTAGGCAGCTGCACCAACCTGTGCCTTCCAAACGCAGTTGTCACTGTACATTCAGTCTTCGGAATCCAAATGTATACGAGGTGTGTGTGTGTGTGTTGATGAAAAGGTAGAGCAACTTGGATAATTCAATCAATGGAAAACTCTACTATTTAATATTACATTTATGGGTGCCTATCGATTGTATTTCCCGACAAATACAATTCTGGAAACCTAAAAGAGAGATGTTTTACGCAAAATAAATACACAATTGTGGAGAATGCACTTACCGACAGGCCAAATAACGCAATGCACAAGTGCCAGCATCATATTTTGGAGATTCTATGACCATCGTCTACCTTGACCCACATATAATTATGCATACATATTTATATACATATCGTGTATTTGAAAGTTTTCATCTGCATCGTGTCACAGGAATCACTTGCAATTATTTAAGAGAGATTACAACAACAACGATTAACGTTAAAAGCTGTTTCTAGGCTGGCTTTCATCCGAACACACACTGAAAATATTTTCCCCTTCTCTGTTTTAATTATTTTCACACCGAAATAATAATCTCAGGTCATTTTAGTGACACTCTCCAGTTATACATGCACGTCAGTTGCAAGGGTGAAATAAATATTTTATGCAAAACAGTTATAAATACACTTGTGAATACGTTCTGGGTTGGATAATTATATATGCAACGAAATTCGTGGTTTTGTGTTTTATCTTGTTAATGCGATGACAACTTGTATTGACTTTTATATCCTTCGATATTGTTAATGCGCATATGTACATACATTTATATTTCAACATAAGTGCCCACACACCAATATGCATACATACTAATGCTAATGTGTATCCGGATTTATGTGCACCGATGAAAAACAAATGTACGGTTTAAGGTGGAACAACTGAAAAAATACACATATGCACGTAAGCTAAGCACTTCAGTCCCATTTTTGGGAGCTCCTTAATTGCAAAGCCTGGCAAACAGAATTTTTCTTCACCACTCCATGTATGTATATTTATATCTACACACTTTTTCTGAACTTTGACTTTTTACAACAGGGAATTTCACATATACAGGCCTCAAAGCCCTGGTTTTCATTGTGTTCACGTTTAAATGTAACATTTACATGTTGATTAATTCATATTTTATAATGGCCTTACATCAATTTATAATGTTGATTGTTTTATTTACATGACAATATTAAAATACGTTCGGAAAATTAATGTGCCCGTGCGTCGTATTTCGTCAAAGACACACGAATAAATATACCAAACCAATATACCGAGGAGTGAAAATATACTGAAAGATTCGTCGCCGTTATATCGATAAGTTATTTTGGTCGTTTCCACTGGTGCTAATTTGTGTTCTTCCGTTTTGTAACAAGAAAATCTGGTGTTTTATTCATGAGAATGAGAAACGGCGTAGTTTTAGAGCTTTTTGATATAGGTACAAGCAGTGGCAAAATCGTAATTAAGTTGAACTCGGGTGAATTGACGATATTTTCAGTATTTTTGTCCACTTAAGCTAACAATCGGTCTCTATCGATTATGGCCCAGAAATAACATCGATTCTACAGAGTGGCGCCAAAATAAAATTTTAAATAGGAATAGGATAGTTAATGGGTTTCATGCCAAAACCATTGAATTTGATAGCAAGAAGTTAAACGGTTAGGTTGATATGTTACTTTTTGTTATCATAGTACAGCGACCGCAATAATGTGAAATAGCTCATTGACGTACTTAAAATCTAAAAACGAAAATGTTATTATTTATTTAGATTTGATTTCTATCGTATGCTTAGGGTATATTCATACGCACCGCTGTAAAGCTTTGTAGGGATAAAGTGGAAAATTTATAAGCTGTTATCTTCACGGGTTGCTGACTACAGAGTATCATAAACCTTAAATGATTTTGGATCTGCTTGCTCGTCACTGTATATACGTGGTTGCAATGCACGGAACCTTCCCATTGGCATCCATACAGAACATTTGCTGTTAAAGTCGACTAGGTTTTCTCATATTAATAAAATATATATTAATTTATAGCTAGTTTAATGCTTCTTACATGTTTCAACAAGGCATCTCCGTTCTCGCAAAGGACATACAATTGAGAGATCGCCGAGGATATGTACACTATGAATTTGACATAGTCTCCGATGAACATATTTCTTCCCTGCATAGGTAAGAGACAACATTCCCCTAATAGTATTCAAAATAATTATGGTAAATATACTTACAGTTATTATTTGAAAGCCAACCATGCAAATTAGAATTGATGAAATCATAAGGTTGACTAACAAAATTGGATTAAAAAAGTCCTCCAATCGCTGAGCGAACCTAAAGAAAAATAAATTATAAATATAATAATGCTGTAAATATTGGCATTAGTTACCTTATGATTTTATTATGCTTGTCTATGATTTGTTTTAAGCGCTCCAGCTGGGCACGTTGCGCGTAGTCCCAAATTTCATCGCCTCCTGCGAGGACTTTGACATCAGTAAATAATTTGTTAATATTATCGTGTAGCAAACGGAATTGACCACAAGTGTATGTTATAAAAAAACCGAAAATTGAATCTTCTGCAAACAGAGTGGTCACTACACATATTCCTGCGTACGACGTAAACACGTATGTGAGTACGTAACGGGTCCAACTACTGTAGGGATCGTAGGGAAAGACCATTTTGTAGGGAAAGGGTTTCTCGTGCGAATCAAGCCCAAAGGTAAAAAATAACTCAATCAAGGGCAAAACGCAGTACATAATTATGAGGCAAGAAAGCAGGCCTGTCATGATGTAAAACGTGTTCATTCGCTTGCGGCATTCAGCCACTATCGAATTGTTTAAACTACTGTAGAAGAGAACGAAATGTGAAATTAGTAGATCCATAATATTACCGTTAAACCAGTTATACAACTTACTCTGGCATCCATATTTCCAATGCAAATTGCTCAATGAGCTTGCGAAATTTTCGTTGGTTAAGACGTAAATGTAAAAGTCGGACAAAGTTAAGAACTCCCATAAATGTGGTGCAACAGTTCTCCGTAGTAATTATGATATCGGATAAGTTTTTAAACAGAAAAGCCGATTGGTAACATATTGTAACGCCCACAGAGGCTATAACGTACCAAGCCCAAGTCGTATAAGCTATACCAAAAATTGGGCTGTTTAACGGTAACGGCCAAGATCCATTTAGCTTTAGCCAAGTGCACTGAATAGGCAAGCGAAGGCTTATATGACTGTCCCTATGCCGATATTTATAAAACATGGTGATGATGTCTAGCAAACTATCAAGAGCCGCATATTTTACCAAAACTGTCAACAGTTTTATACTTTTCCATCACACCAACAAATCGGAAATATGAAAGAGAATTTAATATAAACAATAAATTACCCCGTTTAATGAGCTTAATTTGAGTCCACATTTTGTATTTTAATAAGGGGGTGCGCAGGTCCCGCCCTGTGGGGCCATCACCCTCACCACTCTTCGCATATTCAAAAGCATGGTCAACAAAAAACTTACTCAAATTTGTTGGGAAAGCTTTATTCTACTTGATCAGTCCCATATATCCGTTTAAACTTGGGAGTATTTCTTTTTTTTTACCAGATTGCAAACAAGTTTATACCTTTAATGAAATAGATATAATTACAAATATGAAATATTGAACCACATTTAAAGAAATTAAAAAATAAAAAACTAATCCCAAAGGTTAATTTGTATTTCTAAAAGTTGTTCGGTAAAATAGTAATACAAAAAAATAGGATCAAAATGAGATGTGGTGATGCGATACATTACTAAGTCGTTACTTTTTGAATATTTGTAAATGAAATTTTCATTTGAAACATATAGAGAAGATTCCGAGATTCTACGTTTTACTTTCTAAATTATTAAGAAAAACAAAACAAATTATAAGGTAAACATTTATAAACATCGTTTTAAGTCAATATTTTTTAAACCAGACTTTGTTTTTCGATATTGTAAAAGGGTTGCATTTGAAAACTACCAAGTAAATATTGCAACTAAACCGTTCAGTCAAAATCTTTAAAAATATATAGGGAACAAACATGAAAGTTTAGAAACGACCAGAACTTTTGGACTTCCTCCAAAGTTGACTCAGCCGAAAGCAAAAACTGGTTTATGCGAATGGGGCATAATGGACCATCCCATAAGTACTTAGTGGATGGTGGCTGAATATCTGTGTCGATATTTATTGCTATGTAGATATTCAAATGCGTATTCATTGTCTTTTTCAATGCACTCGCCATTTATCTAACTCGAATCAGAGAGGCTTTTCTGAAAGCAAATGTAAGAAATTCAATAATAATTGTGAGTAATAGTGAACTTACTATTGCTCGTTTCTTATCGATATTCTATCGATATCGATTCTGTATCCATTGCATTCACTTTTGGACTTGAGGAAACAGCTGTTGATTGTTTTGGTTTCTGTTCGGTTTAATAATTATAATAAAATAAATTCAAAATACTGTAAAATATTTTAAAATTAAGTTAACAACTAGCACAGCAATTGTAATTAATCTTGTATTAAATGTTGGCCCCCCATGAACACTAATTATCTCATGCTAAACTAACGAAGCTTAGCTACTCAGAATAGTTTATTGCGTTTATTATTTGATTTTTTCCCTTTTCGCTCGATTTAAAATAAACAGAAAATACTTTTCGACGATGGAAATATATGCATTACCGCGAAACAGGGACCAGTGCGAAGGGCCGCGATGGTGAATCGATGTATCGATACAAATTAAATACACCGATACTATTTTCTTACACCCCAATTTGTTTCTAGGTGTTGGCTGCCAATTGTAGAGTGCAAATGAAAAGTTACGGATTGGTTTTCGTTAAAATTTTCAGTTACATGTGTATTAAAATCTGAATCTATCGACGGAAATTTGGTTTTTCTTGTTAAAGTTGACGTTGCGTGTAAGTAACACATTTTCCGGAAAATCTGTATTGCGAATAACAAATTCAAGAAAACGACTGGATGTGTGTGTATGTGCTATGTTAAAATATTTTTCTCATGCCGTATGTATACAGATGCAACGAAATATTTTATGCATTGAAACTTCTGTACATATGACGGGGCCTCGGGAACCGTTTCTTTGCGCTGCGTTCATTAGAAAAGTCGGAAAAATGTTTTACTCTTCGGTCTTTTAAAAAAAAAAAGTTCAACATTTAAAATTGATTATTTTTTGCTATATATTTCCCTCTTGCTCTTTGTCATGTGGGCTTACGCTACCGACCTTGGTGTGAATGGGACAAATAATCATCTCACTGCTGTTGGGGACTTCCGACCTGCTTTTGCTGCCGTGTTCTCAATTGCGCACGGCTCGCATCACTGGCTGTGCTACTTACTCCAATCAGTTCAGCATTATACGCAGCGGTGGTGGTGCAAAAATTGCGATTTTGGTGTACAAAAAAGCAAAAGAAGGAATATCCAACCAACAGAGGCAAGAAAGCAATCGAAAGGACGGGCAACATACAGTAAAATTTGTATTTCTATCTTGTAACACTCAAGATACGCTGTTTTTTTTTGTGTAATTAGTGCTGCTCCCCGACACACAACACCCTTTTTAACAACATTCCGAGTTGAATGAAAGGATTCCGAACACAACAGTTTTCACAGCCGTATTTGAGACACATACTAAGAGCAAGTGGAGGAGCAGGAGCAGGTGACTTGACTGCATTAAAACCAGGTTGGTTAAACTAACTAAAGCAAAAAGCCAGAAGATCTGATCAGCGGCACACATACACACAGTGTTTTTTTTTTTATACATTTTTTTTTTTTCGTTTGCCAACCTTCAGAAAAGCCCGAAGAGAAGATAGATAGTTGAAGTATGCGAACAAAATGTATTTAACAAAGCAAAGAAATTTCTAAAGGTATATATAAAATACAGAAAGTGCACATTTAAACGTAAATCCATCTACATCAACAGCTCCAACTGTGCGGCAGCGACGTTAACAACAAATTTTAACGGAAGTGGAGGATACCGACAACAACAACAACAACAACCACAATAGCAACAGCAACAACAAAAGATCACCGGTCTAAATAAACGCAGGAGTAAAATGTGTGAATAAGTGTAATAGCCGAATGAAAATAATAACGAGTTAATGATTTAACCAAAAAGCAACTAGAGACGACGACCGTGCACAAAATAATCGAATCGTTGTATGTAAGCATCTCATCCTACAAAGCTACATATTTATTAAAATAAGCTTCGACCTTCCTACAAAATCAACAAGAACAACAACAACAAATCGTAAGTAATTTCTATTTGGTTTTTTTACATCGTTCGAAAATAAATAATTGTTTACCTTTAGCGCCTTCTGCTACGCCCGCTGCACTGCATCTGCATCTGTAAAACGAACACACAGGATTTGGGAACGCACGCCGGTCGCGCCGTGTACATACAAAACAAACGAATCGAGGAAGAGAGGATACCAATAATACCATCTAACGAAAGATGAATGAACTAGACAGTCTCAGGCAGGAAGCCGAATCCCTCAAAAATGCTATCCGGGACGCTAGAAAGGCCGCCTGCGACACATCACTGTTGCAAGCAGCCTCCTCGCTGGAACCCATCGGACGCATACAGATGCGCACCCGGCGTACATTACGCGGACACTTGGCGAAGATCTATGCCATGCATTGGGGCAACGACTCTAGAAATCTCGTTTCCGCCTCACAGGACGGTAAGCTAATCGTGTGGGACTCGCATACTACGAACAAAGTCCACGCCATTCCACTGAGATCCTCATGGGTTATGACCTGTGCGTATGCCCCATCTGGGAGCTATGTGGCCTGCGGCGGCCTCGATAATATGTGTTCAATTTACAACCTAAAAACGCGCGAAGGTAATGTCCGTGTGTCCCGAGAGCTGCCGGGTCATGGTGGCTATCTATCATGCTGCCGTTTCCTCGACGACAATCAGATCGTGACCAGCTCGGGCGATATGTCGTGCGGGCTGTGGGATATCGAAACGGGCTTGCAAGTCACCTCCTTTTTGGGTCACACTGGAGACGTTATGGCCCTGTCATTGGCACCCCAATGCAAAACCTTTGTGTCCGGCGCCTGCGATGCCTCCGCCAAGCTCTGGGACATCCGAGAGGGAGTTTGCAAGCAAACCTTCCCCGGTCACGAGTCGGATATCAATGCAGTTACCTTTTTCCCCAATGGACAAGCATTTGCAACCGGATCAGACGACGCCACCTGTCGACTCTTCGACATTCGTGCCGATCAAGAGCTGGCCATGTACTCCCACGACAACATCATCTGTGGCATCACCTCTGTGGCATTTTCAAAGAGCGGACGCCTGTTACTAGCAGGATACGACGACTTCAACTGCAACGTCTGGGACACGATGAAGGCGGAGCGATCCGGCATACTTGCCGGCCACGACAACCGTGTATCGTGTCTGGGCGTCACCGAGAACGGCATGGCGGTGGCAACAGGATCGTGGGACTCTTTCCTGCGCGTATGGAACTAAAAACAAAGAGAAGAACTTCAAACTTCATTAAAAAAACAAAAAGTAAAAAAGTAAAAAGGGTGGGGGTGGGGTCAACGGTTGCGCAGTCTGCGGCGATAGTGTTACTGCACCATTCATCCATCTTACATTGTGATCTGATGTAAATGGCATGTGAATGGTGTTGCCACCTTCCCGTGCGTGGTTTATATAAAATGATGACGGACGGACGAAGACGACGACGACTCGACGAGGACGAAGACGTTTTGAATATGTGGGTGTGGGCGCAGCTAGTTGACTAGAACGTAGACCACAACAACAAAGAACTTTATATACAACATTATTTATATTGCTATATACTTATTAACTAAAATTATACAAAGAAGGAAAAAAAACAAAGTGCAGACATACGCAGCAAACATACATACAAATAGACATACACACACACACATGCAAACACACGCACACACACACAACCAACACACAAAAACACACACGCATACAAGAATATTATTAGTGTAAATGGGAAATTCAAGCAAAAAACAAAACGAAAAGAAGCAAAGAGAGAAAAGAAGAGAAGAGTAATGAAAAGGATGCGCCCGCTGATATTCAGTCAGTTGTGTAGTAGTCAGAATTCCGGGTACAACAGCTACAGTTTAAAAACGTACGTAATGTAAACTTAGTTCAAATCGTGTATTTGAGTGTGCACACGCACGCACGTGCATGCCTGATGAAACCTTGAACAATGTAAGGGAAAACAACGGTATCATTATGAACAGCATACATATGCATGTATGTATACATTGTCTTCTGCGTATAATACATAAACTTCAGAAAAAATGGGATCCTGATTAAGCGAAGTCAAAGAGGTAAAATAAAGTAAAAGCATTTAAAAAAAAAAAAAAGTAAGAAAGAAAGAAAGAAGAAAACATCACGGCGGCGAACCTAAAAGAAAATTAAAACAATTGCGCATAATAAACTTTAAAAATCAAGTAAACAAAAGAAAAGAAAAAAAAGAAAAAGAAAAGTAAACAAAACAAAACACTATACATTTTTGTCTTATTATGTTTAAGTCCCTAATTTATATACAAACAAACAAAAAATAAGAATGATTTAAATAACAAACTATGCATTAGTAAAAAAAAAACCAAGTGGAAACTATACATAATATGATGGCCATATAAGCTATAACAATAAATTTAAAAAAACACCTTTAAATCTTATAATACATTTATAAATGTTTAACAAAATCTTAACATATACATTCATAGAAATGCGGCATTAAGGGGCATCAAAATAAAACCATACTTATTGCAATGAAAAACAGCGTTTGAACAAACTTACATCCTCCCCTCACCTCAACTCAACTCGATTCGACTCACCTCACCTCCTCTCACCGCCACCATTAAAGCAGAGTTACATTTTTCAATTGTTCGATTCAATTTTTTGAGGTTTGTATATGTACGAGAGGTTTGAGGATGCAAAAATCGAATGTTTTGTACTATTCAACACGACGAAATGCTTAAAAAGTAAAGTTTCTTCCGTTTTGTTTTGTTTTGTTTTTTTTTTTTTTTTTAGATCAATTGAAATATCAGAGATATATAGATTCCAGTATTCTGAAATCCTATTAATGCCTATTCTATTGTTTAAAAGTTGTTGCATATTTTTCAACACACTAAAAACACACGCGCGCAAGAAAAGCTCTTGGTCCGATAGATAAACTCCGATTTAAAGTAATAGTTTTTTAAGCACCGAGGAATTAAGAAACTAAAAACCAAAAATACAATCCTTATCAACATTTGAAGTGCACAAGAAAGGGAGAGAGAGAGGAGGAGCAGAATGAAGCATTGTGTATTTTTATTAACTTTTAATTCTAAAAAATATTGTACGCAATATCCTTATGTATATGTATGACTATTGGTGTGTTTGATACAACTGCAATTATTTGAGCTGTGCTTTTTAATAAGTACGTATTATATATTATGTAACCCCCTCCCCCTCCCCCCAACAACAACAACAAGAACAACAACAACAACGCACACTACTCTTCAGACTCCACCCCCCGCCCTCCCCCCTCGTCATGATTTAATGTAATTCAAGCAGCAAATTTTCAACTACTTAAATACGATATGGTTCTGTCTGTCACAGCCTTAGCGGATTATACAGATATACAGTCGACATAGCATAGCATATTGGTTGGTTCGAAATCTTCGAAATCGAAACTCTACAAATCTACAAAAATCTTCGAAATATGTTAATATCACAACCCTTCTGTATGTATGTGTGTTACCATGTAAATTTAATACTGTCCACATTATGTTAATATGTATACGCCACAAGATCGATCATATATATGCGAATATATTGTAATTTAGTTACTCTTTTATTTCGTCTGCCTAAATTTAAAGCATTTTATAAAACGGTACACCTTTGTAATTAGTTATTTGTATTACAAAGTCAACCAACTTAAAACAAAATGAAAAGCTGTCAACAACAACAACAAATTGAAAGAAAATCTAAATAAATAAATGATGTTCATGTAAGATTAACATTAACATAAACAACAACATACAACCTACAACCCATACATATTAAAATAAAAAACGAAAAATGAAAATTAAACATTACTAACATTAATTTATAATTTGTGTCATAGCCGTCAACTCAGCGTTATACCTAGAATATATAATAAAGAAAATTGTGTTAAGCAAATGCTATATCATTTAATGTATGTACGTCGTGTGCCCATGCCGAAAATATTGATTAAGACTTTGGTCGGTTAGGAATAACGGGTTAATAAAACTGGCATGTTAATAGTCATACATTTATATGCAATCTAATCAAACATTATTTTTTGTTTTTTTGTTTTTTTTTTTTAATTAAGCCCTTCGTATAATATTGAAATAGTTCTCTTAATTTAATTATTTAATTGATAAGATTTCATATTTTGTAGTTTTATTTTCTTAATTATTTGGAGGTAAATTTTTGTATCTTTTCACGAGGAAATATTTTAAGTTTTATATTTAAATTTTTGTTTTTACTGTAGGACTACCGGTACATTGGCGCGCCCTATTAGAGTTCTTGAAATAAGACCCTTGAAATGATTGCATTATTTATATTGCGTTGAAATACGACAATTCAGATTTTTTGTTTGGGTTTTCTGATAAAGTAAAGTCATAGATTATTATTAGTAACCAAGGAAGTGGCTATTAATCATCTTAAAATCAAAGCTAATTGGCTAAATCTTTATCTATGCCAGCTTTCAATAGCTTTAACTTTTGGTTAGCAAGCATTCGCCTCTAACATATTAGATAATTTATGTATGTTTGGGCTACTTCAGTCCTTTCTCGTATCTGCTGACATACTCAAGGTTTGTATTTAAAGATAGTTAAGCAATAAACCATTGGTTTTGGTTTCAGTGCTTATTCTTAGGTCCCAAGTCATGAACGGAAATAACTTTGAGATAAATGACTCATACTTGGCGCAGACTGCAGTCCTCCTTCCCCAACGAAACCCGCCCTTAATATCGTGAGTCAAATGTGTGTCATCCATCCGTACTGTATGCTTTTCGAAAGCTTTTCCGCGATCCTCAGTATATTATTTTTATTATATTTTTTTTACTGCACAGAATTTATGGTCCAATTTCAGTCATTGCCTAGGAATCGCTTTAAATTTCCTGTAGTCTGTATTACCAATTTGATTTCTTCTTTAAAGTGGATGTTATATATTGGTAAGTATAATGCCAGGCAACGCCATTAGCAATTAAAATCCATATGATGAACGCGGGAGATTTGAAAGAATAAAGGCGTTGTTCATGCTAGGACATGTAAGGCACCGATGCCGGAAACGATATACCCAACTCCGTGTAATCGATAAATGCAAAGTTCGCGCTTCCGCTTTGAACATTCAGCGCAACGTTTGATATTATTTGAACTTACTAAAGGCAAACGATGGTTAGTAGAGTGTGTGAATATATTATTTATTTATTTATAATTGAACAATAATTATAATTATATACTGCGCATATATAATTGTATATAATTGATAGCATTTGTAATAGGTATTTAATTTGATTTCATTTGTTTAGGGGAATTACATATGTATGTATATTGAACCTTCGATTACGAATAACAAACAATTTTTTATAAACTCGACAAACATGAAAGAATCGTTTAGCAAGACTATGATTTACTATGAATTCTATTAAGTAAATATATTTAATCTTCCTTCGAAAGGCTACCCAAGTCGCTCAGAAAGATCTCGGGAGAAAGGACGTGCGAGGATCCGACCAAGACCTCCCAGTTGCGAACCGAATTGGTCACTTCATAGGCGCACCTCATCTCCGACATGCTGACGCCGCCCACAATGAACACAATGAGTCTGGGGACGTTCTTCACCTGCGCCTGGGCCTTGTCCTTATGCCAGTGGCCATAGCGAGCACTGGCCGGTGCCTGATGGTAGTTCGTGTTCTGGGCACGGCCCTCGAGGAAGGGGAAGTGACGCAAATCCAACTTATCCTCTATGCAGTCCTCCATGATGTCCTTGATGACAGGTGTCCAGCGGGACATTTGATAGGTGCTCTCGGTGATTCGTTCCTTTCGCGGCACCGAGTAGATCTTTTTGCGAGACTATTTTTAAATGGTTTATTAGCATATTATCCAAACAATTATTGTTAACAATAGAAACTTACATCGGCAATGACATTGATTCCCAAATAATTCAGATTTCGAACCATGTCCTGATCCTTGGGCGATAACTGGGCATGGGTGAACAGTTTGGTCAAGTTTTCCTCCGATATTCCGTTCTTGATCATCACATAGAGGGCAATTATGCGAACTTTGTCGTAATTGGAGACATTCTGTTGGAGGATATTTAAGTAAAAAATGTAATTTATATCGAGGATGTGAGTACGCCTTACCGCATCCAACAAAATGGGCACAATGTTGCGCATATGATCCTTAATCTTCTCCCCTTCGGCATCGGTTCCCATCGCCAAGTCCTGCTCAACGCGGCAAAGCTTATCGACATAGTTCTGGTAGGACTTCATACAGTCCTCGGCCAAATGCAAATGGGTCGAGTACTTGGACAGCTCCTTTTGATACTGCGGCATCTTTTTGATCATTTGCGATAAGTCGCGCATTGAAGACTTATCGGCTAAACAGGGATAGGGATATATATTCCAAACATATATGTATATTATTTACAAGGCCTGGACTTACTGGAGCTCATCCTCTTGGAGTCGGTAAACTTCTTCAAGTTCTGCGTAACCTGAGTGGACACTACAGCAATGTGCTCGTGGCGCAGCTCCACCCACAAGTCATCGTTCTCATCCAACAACACCTCCTTGTCGGGCTGATTGGGCCCAGGTGTATACCGATAGACATCATTGACAATTGGAAGCAAATCATAGGCCATGGCCTGCAATGTGAGCTCATGCAAGAGCGGCGAGACACAGTCAAAGCCACGGTCTAGGATCAACAGCTGTGAACGGGACTTTTCCGGTCCCTCGCCCATGGTCGGCTCGTCGGCCTTGTAGGCGTCCAGCTTTTGCTGCACGGATGCAGCCAAATCAATGTTCCGATCCCAGTCACAGCGGTAGCGCACGTTCGGGTATTCACCCAGAGTGGCGCACAGAGTTGCAATCTGCTCCGCGATGCGTTCAATGTGCTTGCTTCGGATGGAAGCAAATGCCGGAGAATACAGGCACTGAAACGTGTCCGGCGAGTCCAGCGAGAAGACCTAGGCACAAGGGAGTTAAACACGTAAATAACAACAATCCCAATTAACCCCATATGGTACTCTGTGCTCGTAGAGCATCGTATTATCTATGCTTCTGTGGGACTATCCCTAACTCGCGATGTATCTAAAAATATACAAAAATATCTGGCTTCGCATACCGAAGAATATCCATCATAATTGCTGTATCCGTCTTCAGATCTTGCGGAGCTATGGCTAGAGGTGATTTAATGGAGAAGATGCTCAAAGGATGCCAACAACGAAACAATTCGATATATTTTTACTCCTGGAAACGCTTTTATCACTTAAAAACGATTTGTTTTCATGTATACAATTTCAATACATTAAATTGAACACTGCAAAAAAAGTATGGCAAAACTTAAGGAGATTGTGTGTACGAGCCTAATATTAAATTTAATAACCTAGCCCGGTCCAGTTTATGTCATTAATAAGTTAAAACCAAAGACATTAAAATTGCTAAGATAAGTAACGTCATACGAACTGGCTTCAAGCTCTCTTAAATTTAGTTTAAAAGCCAGTGAGAGGGTGCTTCAGAGCCAGTCGCATTCTTTTTATAGATTTTGTGAGAGCGGAAAGAGTGCGATTGTGTAGCCTCATATTGCAGAACTAATGTATGGCCGTTACTCATCTTAATAATTCGAATGCCTTTGTTAAAACGCTGTTCAGTTAACGTCCTTTACCTTCATTTAGTACTAACAGTATTGGATTCTAATATATTTTTAGTAACAATATTGCATTTATTCAGTTTTCCTGTAAACTTAGTGAGAGAAATTTTGGCGCACCTGGCATTCGTAAGGAAGAAATGCAATATTAATCTCCTTTAGAGTTTTGATCTTTCTTGCAGCGCACGATTTACACAAATCGTTAAACAATTCCTCTGGGCAAACTATAATTATATTCAAATTTAAAAAGAGCGGTGTTTAAATTGAATATAAATACAACAGCTCATAGAATTGGTAGAATATATTTGTTAAACATGTAATTAAGGCATCAAAATAAAAGGATATATGTATATTGATGTAGTTAAAAGATGGAAATTATGAATGTTATTATATTCAGAAAACCCTTTAATTTTTTCTGTGGAAGTAGGAAAATATCAGCTCAAAGAATAGAATATAGAATAGCATATTGAAGTTATAGTTAAAATAAAAATGGTTTTAATTTTATAACAAATAAATATGGAATGTAATAGACCAGTAAATGAAATTGGCGACTGAAATCTCATACCCTCAGTGAAAAAGACGTGCGCGTAACGATAGGTCGGGCGCGCCGGGTTCTCAAAATCGCGAATCAAAGATCGAACCGACTCATCCGATGGTGTTATCAAATAAATAGCATCCATGGTTGGCAATGGCTCACGCTTCTTGTTAATATCTTCCACCACTGCAATATTTTTTTTTGTAAGTAGTTGGATTGTTAATCTAAAGATCTGAAAAAGAGATGACTTACAGGTGATTCCCTCGGCACTAATCTCATGCATTTTGGTGCAAGCCGAGACCATGCGCATACCCAGCTTGTCTACTACCAGGACACGCCATTCCATTCCACCGGCGCCAGCCTTGGGAGCCGACGTAGTGACTTGTTTTTTCGGAGCTGGAGGCTTGTACTTTACCACCTCGTTCATGATCTCTAAAACAATAGAGGCACATGTGCATACATTAGGTTTGATATTCGGTAACCCCTTGGAATTTTAAAATTCTAAATAAAACGAAACTAATAAATATTTATTTGGGCAGATCAAAATCTACAATCAATGCATGATTCTCTAGTGAATTTTCATGGACAGTAGTCTTGTGTGTATGTCTCGATGGCGGGGTTAAAACATGCGTATTGCTGGTCCTGTGTCCTGGGATAAAATGTATATAAATATGTATGTAAAAGCTGAGCTGCGAATTATGCTGCTAAAACCCGCCAAAAAGAAAATGTTATTGTATAAATTTTTGTAAAATAAGTTTACATAAAGGTTATTGACGTACGATTACGAAAAGAAAATGCTGTATTCTACGTCTTTTATTAATTTGTTTATTGTTTAGTTATTAATTATGATAAAATACTTATTTACAGATGATTTTAATTTAACCCACCTAAAGTCAAACATATTAAAAAATGTATAACTTATTCCGACAGATTTAATCATATCAAAAAAATAACAACTAATAATGAAAGCTTGTAAGACTTGGGAAATTAAAATAAAATACGGATTTGCTTTCCGGGAAAAATCAATCGGACGTCATGCCCTTGCCCGCCCTGTAATAGCAACTATATTGCGACAAATATTGGCAAAACAATGAGTTTTAGCACTTAAGTCACACTTACTTTGACCAACTAATACTTTCAAAGCCATTTTTACTGGACAATTTCGGTAACCACAACAGGAATGTATAGGGGGAAAAGCTTAAATAATGTTTTGGTATATTTCTTCCTTTTGATGTCAACTGCCTTTTCACTCGTAAAATCGACCTCTTACTCGATTCATCGATGCCAAAAAACATCGAGACATCGATATATTAAAACCTCATCGGATGGAATTCTTTAAAAATTCAGACTTAAAACAGTTTATAATTTAAAAAAAGTTTTCAAAAGCAAACAATCCGGTTTACAAAAATGTTCTATCAACATCTTTTAAATATTATTTCCCAAATCAATTTCATAACTTTTTATCATATATTTTTTGTAATATTACCCGACCCTGTATTGTTTCTTTTTATTTGCAATTACATTTTTCTTGAACAAGTAGCTTCAATCGAAATGAAAGAAATCAAAATCTAACGGAACTGTAAACGGTAAAAGTGCCTCGTGAGAATATGTTATAATGCGGTCTTATTCGATTCAGGACTTATATCGATACTATCGATTAGTTCCTGGTAATGAAAGACCTTTAACCTGCTAAAAAAAAACATCAAAGTCACTATTATATGTGGTAAATAAAAATCAACTGCGTTCAAAATTAAAGAGGTCAGTGTGCTGGTGCTGTTCTGTGTTAGGAATATGTCAGTTACGTTCTCATTTCAATCACCTGCATTCATTCGGTATTTTTTCATGTGGTGCTGTACATACATACATTTACATATAAATATATGTGCATATAAATATATTTATTGCAACACGAGTGCACAATTGTGTAAATTGTAACGATATTCAGCTAACTAAACCATTTGATGTTTAATGTATGCGTGATAATGTCTATTTCTATAACATATCGCTTGTAATATTTACCATCTGTTAGGACACCGCCTCATCCAAACGGACAAACATACATTTCGTTTCATGTATACTTCCATCCGATAATATGTATGTACTGTATATATTCCCTGAGATGACGACGATAATAAATCCCAGTTCATTTTTCAGATTTCCCCGCAGAGTAAAAAAAAAGGAAGGGACAACAAAATGGAATCAAACGTTGTTGAGGATTTGACACAAAAGTCTGTGGATACGGAAAATGTTTTGAAGAACGATGAATCTACGTTTCTGGCAAACATACTTCGCGAAATTCTCTACAGTCCCATGAACTTGGCTCTTTTGGGCATTATCTGTTTCTTGGTGTATAAAATCGTTCGGGATCGCACAGAAGTGCCCAGTGTCGGTGCCCCAAAGCCATCTGAGCCGGAGCTACCTAAAATACGCAGAGATTTTACGGTAAAAGAACTCCGGCAGTACGATGGAAATCAGCCGGATGGCCGCGTTTTGGTGGCGGTCAATGGCAGTATTTACGATGTTAGCAAAGGAAAGCGATTTTATGGGCCAGGTGAGTTTAAAATCAGTAATCAAGTCAAGCCAAACCTTTAAACATTTTCATTTAAATAAGTAAATTAGCCCTGAAATTGAATTTAAATTCAGGCTCGCTAAGATTTCGTTAAGAACCAAGGTCAGTTCCGAATTGAGGACACATTTTTAGAGGTCAAAATGTACCAGTAAGCGTTATCTACAGTGTTTTTCGCTTATCAAAATAATCAAAAGAATTGTCGTAAAATATAAACGGTAACCTAGGAAGGATCTGACGAAATTCGCACGTTTTTATTGTTATCTCCAAAAACTGATAATGACACATTTCTGATAGCTGAATACATTAGCATTTCGCTCAATTTCGCTTATCTTTCCCTATATCTGTGGTGTTTAATTTGTCTAATCACACCGATTTTTCAAAAATAATTTCATTTAGGCATTTTTCATTTTAAGAAAATTATATTTCACTTTCCACCCTCTTAAAAAATAGCAATACTCATTTTTATTGCCACCATTTAGGTTTAAATAGAAGATCATTTCATGCTGATGATAATATTTTTTGAATCACTCCGATATGTTGCATAGTTGTACATACATAAAACCCTCCTTAATCATATTTGTTAAAATGATATAGAAACTTTTATGCTGGAATAAAGAAATTGTAATTTTAATAGAAAATCTTGTTTAATACAACTCGTATGTATTAATAACCCAACAATCTAACGATCTTTAAGGTGGACCATACGCTACCTTCGCGGGAAGAGATGCCTCTCGCAATTTGGCCACTTTCAGCGTAGACTCCAATGATAAGGACGAGTACGACGACCTGAGCGATTTAACTGCCGTGGAGATGGACTCAGTGCGGGAATGGGAGATGCAGTTCAAAGGTAGTCAAATGTTAAACAATATACATTTTTATCATATTTCATACGCTTTTATTTTTATTTAAATATATAGAAAAATATGAGCTGGTGGGAAAGCTATTGCGCAAGGGCGAGCAACCAACTAACTACGATGACGATGAGGATGACGAAAGTGTTGCAAACGTTGAGGACACCACTGCCGCTGCTGCTGCTGCTGATATCTTGAGCGATCAAAGCGAGGGGGCGCGAAAACGTCAGCCCGACAGGTCGAAAGCGGAGGGCAATGGTCCCAATGCGAGCACAACTAAGGCGCAGAATGAATCTACCGATTGTTAGCACGCCCATATAATATACACGCATCCTTTTTTTTGTTTGGTTAGAAAGCATACATACGTCTAAACGTTTACAAAATAATAACCTGCAGCATTTCTTCAGATTATTTTCTAAATGCTGGGTCTGCTCCTCTTTTTGGTAAATTGAAACAACAACTTGAGCGATAAAAGACATTATTCAAATTATGTGTATCATTACGAAAGGAAACCGTTATTTAAGAAAAACCATACATACATACACATACACATCTACGAGGGATTTTTATTAATATTGTATTTAGTTTGCAGCCTTGAAACAGCTATAATTGTTACTACCATTTATCACGTTGTGGCTCAAATTGGTCCACAACAATAATTGTATATGCATCCAAATTAAAACGGAAATTGTAAAGTTTTTTAAAGGAGAGGGCAAATTTGTGTGAGGGTATAAAATACTTCAAATAAAAGTGAATAACTCTAGTCGTTAGTGCATATATTTTTTGTTTTTTGAAAGGATGGGGCGCAGTTGTGTGAAAAATCCAATCAGAATATTAAAATTAAGATTGAAAATTCGATGAATTACGAAAATATTTAAATCGGAAACTGTCAGTGTTCCACTTTCCTCTATTCCGATTAATCGAAACCATTTGGTATATTTTTAAGACCCTCCGAGGGTCACACTTGCGCTCTTGATTACGAACCTAAAAAAGTAAAAAGTATTTATTTTGTAAACTGCAATTTATAAAAACATGGAACGTCCCTTTCATTTGTTGTTTTACAATCCCATTTGTCGGCTCACCAGAGTGAGGCAACCAATACGCATGCCTGTGAGGCACAAGAGCACCAGCAATGCAAACAAAGTCAACGTGAAGCGCCAGAGCAAAATATTCAACTCCTTGGTTGGAAATCGGCGCGAAGGCAACACTCGCTGGTACCCTTCCCACGATGTGAATACCAAGAGTGGTCCATCGGCGTCCAATTCCATTCGCACTCCAAAATTCGGAGCAGCGTCCCATTCACGTGCCCATCTGGACAGTCGCCGAATGTCCGTGCTGAATAAGATGTTCATGACGACCATAACCGATTTTTTGGCGACCGGCGATGGCGATGCAGCCCGCTCCTTAGTCGGCCGGGGTTTGCAAGTTTCTCACGTGAAGATCACCAGCGATTTCTCGCAAATCAATGTGTATTGGTCCTGCGGATCGTCGGCTGAACAAGCCAGCACTAAGCTGGAGGAGGATCTGGGTCGGTGCAGCGGCCAGCTGCAGCATGAACTGTCCCAGCTGAACCTCATGGGTGAGGTTCCCCGGATCAAGTTTGTGCGGGACAAGACGAGCACAAATCTGTGTCAGGTGCAGGAAATCCTAGCCCGGCTCGGTCCATTTGAATATGAACCTACGCGAAGCGATGGAGAAGTGAAAAACTCGTCCGTAGATCTTTCCCAATCGGAGACGGAGACGAATGTCAGCTGGCCACAGATGCGACAAGATGTTGTAAATTTCAACCAAAGCTTGGTAATGGACAAGATACTCAACAAGATGCATAAATTCAAAGATGCCTGGGTCTCTCATATGAGGACGTTGTCCAATTCAAAAGATTCGACATGAAAACAACTGTTAACTATTACATATGTAGTAATAAATCGATAAATATTTTACAATTTGTCATATTGTACGAATAATTATTGTATTTTAATAGTTTGGAGTCAGCTGACAAACATCTGATCAAAATTCAACTATAATTATCGATATACAAGCCGAATATATTAGTAGAGGTGGAACATCATTGATAACCGGGCAAACATCGACGTTAGCGATGTTCCGAAAACATCGATGACAGCGATGTGGGCATCGATGTTTTTCCACCTCTACCCAAATTCATTGAAGATTCCAGTTGAATGCTAGTCAGTGGTCCACAAAAATAATTGTTTTGCAGTGAAAAATACTTGATAAATTACAAGTTGGGCGTACGCAGCGGGCGCACAAGATTTCTGCATTCGATCGGTTACTCACCGCAGTGTCACTCAAACAGTTGCCTTTTCGTTAGTTTAACTTGTGTACACATACACACAAATGTATACATTTCTTTTTAATGACTAACTGTTGTGTGAATGTGCATGGAGAGGATTCTTAGTCCCAGCTGCAAATCGGAGACCTGACTTGTCCGCACATAACGCATTCTGCGGGTTTCATTGTTTGTGAGCAGCCAAGTTTTTTCTTTTATTTTTTTTTTTTTGCATTGGTATCGCTTTTACGTGATATCGAGTGTGTGTCTGTTTGTGTGTGTGTATGAGAACCACATAAGCGATTTTTGTTGTGCGCACGGCTTACGCATATTCTTTTCTTTTTATCTCAATGATAGTTAACCCGAAAAATATACACACAAGGCAGTAATCAATGTGCAAGAAGCTGAAGTGAGGGGCAGATTAAAAGGAAGAATCAAGTGCACACAAAGACGCAAAAACAGTTTGATAACACAACAGGAATTCGGCAGCACTTGCAGTTTCGCCAGAGCCCTCATTTGAGCTAACGAAAAAGCAGAAGGAAAAAAAACGGGGTCGAAGTAGTAGTAGGCGTTCTCCGCTGCGCAGCGCCGACGTTGGACATCTACACCTCGAATCCTCGGAATCGTTGCGAAAACATATATATATATTATTTTTGCTAAGGCCGGAACAACCGTCGGAAAAATCTCGCCGCGATGGATAATCTAATAACCATTGTAAACAAGTTGCAAGATGCGTTCACATCGCTTGGCGTGCACATGCAATTGGACTTGCCACAAATCGCCGTTGTTGGTGGACAGTCCGCAGGCAAAAGCTCGGTTTTGGAGAATTTCGTTGGCAAGTAAGTAATCGTCGATATAAACATTAAAGTCTAATGCAAATATTGACACGAAGATGTTTGTTTGTTTACCAAACTGTGGGTTCCCCCAGCCTTCAGACATTGTTATCTTTGCTTACAAAAAAAAAAAAAAAAAAAAAACATTGGCTCAGGAGAAAATTGAACCGGAAGGGCAGGGAGAAAAGAAGTAATATTTCGAGATATTGGATAATGTGTGTCCTGGTCAGCTAGCTAGTGAACTTAATCGGTTTTCAATCTCACAATTATGCAAGTGCGCTTTGTGTACATACAATTGTGGAGCGGGTCTTATCAGTGGCCATCGAAAACAATGGTGTTTATCTAGCATTTTTGGTGGAATGCCGGAGCAGGTGCTGAGCCTGAGGCGGTGTAATCATACATTCTTTGGCCTGAAATATTAGTTAACGAAATTCGACAAAAAATCAGTGTTAACAATAAAATCAACCCCGTTTTGTCGTTGTCGTTGGGTCTTTTTAATGTCATTGCTCTCATTTTTGTACATATTAGGCTCTTGCGCGCGAGAGAGCTCTCCCATTCTCTCTCTCTCCCTCTCTGTGTGTGTCGACCACCGACCGCCCACACTCTCAAAACACAAATACAATGGCTTCAACGCCCCAAAAAGAATGTCGATAGGAAAAATCAATATATATGTGTTACCGAGTCTACTTTCTTGCATTTTATCGTTTCGCTCTTAACAATTCCCATACATATATAGGAGTGACCATGAACTTTGCCATTAAACATAAACATAAATGATAAGGACTACATTCCGTTAGGTTTAAAATCTTTTGGCAAGGTGTCTTTGCTTCCCTTTCACCTGTGTTTAATTTCCAAATCAAATAAAAAAAATATGATAATAGAAGTAAAATAAATATTGACCTGCTAATATAATTATATTTATAAATATCTATGGACACATGTATATTGCATTGTTTTGGTTTATCCCTATCTGTTTTCTTGTGATAAGATATCAATACATTTTGCAACGTCCTTTTGTCATTCTATAAATGTTCCATTAACTTGTAACAAAAAGCGTGTGCTGCTTACATAAGCTTTCTCTCTCTCTCTATATATATATATATATATTCTAAATAATCCCGTTAGATTCGGAATGCGCATGCGTTCACATATATGAATGTATGTATGTATGTGTTCAGGGTCAAAAAATAATGTGTAAGCTTAAACAAGAGCCTAGCTTACAGAATCCCAAATATCCTAAGAACCCATTAATGTACCTATCTGAAAACTATTTTGATATGCTAACGATTTAGTGCCCTGATCTCGTCGTAGATCTACTCGTTACATTGTATACGTTATTTATTATACAACAAGTTATTAAATACTCGTTAGAAAGACAGGAGTTTTTCATTATTAAGGTAGCAGTTACTCGTTAGGTCAGATACTCCTGAAAAGGTTGATAAGCTTTACACTTAGCTTAGAAAAGTAGAAAATACTCGTTATTCTGTAAATGAGAAATATTGGGAAAGGGCACTACTCGTTAGAATGACTGACTCTTGAAAAGGTTGATTAGCTTTACACTTGGCTTAGAACAGTAGAAGTTACTCGTTACTCTGTAAATGAGAAATATTGAAAAGTCCACTATATAAGTTTACACAAGACATGCGATGGTATAAGATACTCGTTACTATGTTAAAAATACTCAAAAAAGGTTTAGGTTTCTCGTTACTTGTTACCCAGCAAAGAAAATATTCGCTATGCCATAGAATTCAAATTACGGATGAGGTCACAAAGCTGTAGCTAGCTCTTCTAATTCCAGTCAAAATTTTCCCACGATTAGAACTTTTATTATATGTTATAATATGACTCATTCTATTGTTCGCAGGGACTTTTTACCACGTGGTTCTGGTATTGTGACTCGTCGGCCTTTGATATTGCAACTAATAAACGGAGTTACCGGTACGTATCAATTACTAAATTCCAGATAGAATCATTTTCAAATAATGAAATATATATATATATATATATTAACGGAAAACAGAATATGGCGAGTTCCTTCACTGCAAGGGCAAAAAGTTCTCCAGCTTCGATGAGATACGCAAGGAGATCGAAGATGAGACGGACCGTGTGACTGGCAGCAATAAAGGCATTTCGAACATTCCAATTAATCTGCGCGTTTACTCGCCGCATGTCCTCAATCTCACGCTGATCGATTTACCCGGATTAACCAAGGTGGCGATCGGTGATCAGCCCGTGGACATCGAGCATCAAATCAAGCAGATGATCTTCCAGTTTATACGGAAAGAGACATGCTTAATTCTGGCCGTGACGCCGGCCAACACAGATCTGGCCAATTCGGATGCGTTGAAGCTGGCCAAGGAGGTTGATCCGCAGGGCGTTCGCACCATTGGCGTTATAACCAAGCTAGATCTCATGGACGAGGGCACGGATGCGAGGGATATTCTCGAGAACAAGCTGCTGCCGCTGCGACGCGGATATATTGGCGTAGTGAATCGGTCACAGAAGGATATCGAGGGACGCAAGGACATACACATGGCGCTGGCTGCCGAGCGCAAGTTCTTCCTAAGTCATCCATCGTACCGTCACATGGCCGATCGCCTGGGCACTCCCTACTTGCAGCGCGTCCTCAATCAGCAGCTTACCAACCATATAAGGGACACGTTGCCGGGCCTGCGGGATAAATTGCAGAAGCAGATGCTGACCTTGGAGAAGGAGGTCGAGGAGTTTAAGCATTTCCAGCCTGGCGATGCCAGCATCAAAACCAAGGCCATGCTCCAGTAAGCTCTACAGCTCTACAGGGAATCATTGGAAATATTAAAAAAAAACTACTATGATTTGAATTACAGAATGATTCAGCAGTTGCAATCGGACTTTGAGCGAACCATCGAGGGCAGCGGCTCCGCCTTGGTCAACACCAATGAGCTCTCTGGCGGCGCCAAAATTAATCGCATTTTTCATGAACGGTAAGTGTGGCCCCTCTCCCCGTCCACTATAAATACTCACACCTCCACCTCTGTTTGTTTAGTCTACGCTTTGAGATTGTAAAGATGGCCTGCGACGAGAAGGAGCTGCGGCGCGAGATCTCATTTGCCATTCGCAATATTCATGGTATTCGTGTCGGTCTCTTCACGCCCGATATGGCCTTTGAGGCGATTGTCAAGCGGCAAATAGCATGTCTCAAGGAGCCGGTCATTAAGTGTGTCGATCTAGTTGTGCAGGAATTGTCGGTGGTTGTCCGTATGTGCACAGCCAAGGTGAGTTGAATTCAACACAATATCGCAATTGATATTGATATTCAAACCATAGATGAGCCGATACCCACGCTTGCGGGAGGAAACGGAGCGTATTATTACCACGCATGTCCGCCAACGGGAGCACAGTTGCAAGGAGCAAATCCTGCTGCTCATCGACTTTGAGCTGGCCTACATGAATACCAATCATGAGGATTTCATTGGCTTTGCTAAGTACGAGAAATGAGACAATGGATTGCAGGATATATACTAATAATTATTTATTTTTTTATTTTTAGCGCCCAAAACAAATCGGAGAATGCTAATAAAACCGGTACGCGTCAGCTTGGTAATCAAGTCATACGCAAGGGTCACATGGTTATACAAAATCTTGGCATTATGAAAGGTATGTATGCTTTCAAAATAACATATATATCAAACATTTTGGGTTTTAACTTTGAGTTCCAGTCTTGAGTTGAATGTTAAGTTTAATTTAAAGGTAGGCAAAAATAATATATATAAGTACGCAGAGCAAAAAGAGCGTCTGAAACTATCATAAAATATTTTTATAAATAACAACATTTAATATCCCGTTGAGCGTGATTTCCGATCCTATAAATCATTTTCCAAATTTTTAAAATGGTCAAAAATTGAAATTTTAAAAATAAATAATAATAACTAACTCAGAATTGAATTTAATGCATTTTTGGCTTAGCTATCATCAAAATATATGGATAAATATATAAATTAAATAAAGTATAAATCAATAATTTCAAAAATAATGAATTTAAAATTAATAAAACCAAAATCACTCGCTTGACACTATAATTCCCAACTAGTTCCAGCTGAATGAGCGTCTGAAAATAACACATATATAAATTGAGCTTCCTAGCATATTTAATTTATTTATTAAAAGACTAGTGTTGCATACTTGATGTTATTGAAATGAATCCTCCTTGAACATTTATTGATTCAAGCTTCAATGTGTCTTTTGCAGGCGGATCGCGGCCTTATTGGTTTGTGTTAACATCCGAGAGTATCTCCTGGTATAAGGACGAGGATGAGAAAGAAAAGAAATTTATGCTGCCGTTGGATGGTTTAAAGTTGCGCGATATTGAACAGGGCTTTATGTCAATGTCTAGACGTGTCACATTTGCTTTATTTAGTCCCGATGGACGTAATGTTTATAAGGTTAGTAATTTTTGTTAGCATACAAAAAAATGAATTTTAAATGATTTCAAAACTAAAAAGAAAAACAAAACAAATGAATCAAAAACAGAGAGGCAAAAACCTTAAACTTCTTTGAAACAAATTAAACAAAAAACTAAAACACAACAAGAGCAAATTCTTGAAAAGTCTTGAAACTTTTGCATAACTAAATATTTAAACAAGTAATTCAAACGTAACAATTTAATACCAATTTGAGAGAAACCCTTTGTTAATTATATAGACTTGAGGCAAAGAGATCGAGATCAATGAATTGTTTTTTTGTATAATATATAAAAATTACTATGTTTTTATCAACATTTGAGTCAAATGAAAGGCCAAGGAGCTTGCGCCATAGCAACAGCATACGTAAGCTCCTTGTGCTTTTTCTTCACATCAATTTTTGAAACACATGAAGCATCGCGCGTCGTCCTAGAAACACTCTGTAGCTGAGTCTCCTAAACAAAACGTAATCCTTTGGCTTGTACTGCTAATCATGAATGTATTTAATGAATCTTATTGCTTTCATTGCTGTTTAACTCTGTGCTAGACCCACCCGTTGAAGATACCTAACATTTAACATTTGTTTCAGGTTTGGTTTGCTGATTTACATAACCGAATGGGGAAAGCGTATACATTTTCAATTGCAGTGTTTAAAATTTGTGAACATTTTTAAAATTATAAATACCTTTAGGACAATCCGACTGCCACAGTATCTTTTGTGTTATATTTTTGAAGAAGACTTGAAGTTTTATCAAAATCATACTTTTTTAGGTTTCACAAGAATTCACTGGCTCGTTTTTTGGTGTTCTTATGTTAGGATTCTTCTGTGATTGCAGTTTAACTATGTGCAGAGCTGCTGGAAAATTCTTTTCAGTGTATTGACAGACCTCACAAGTATTTTAAAATGCTATTCCCATAAATTCATTTGTACATAAAACCGCTCCTTCGATTCGTTCACTATAGATTAGCACTGATCTTAAGCATATTAACATTTTGATTATATACTTTGTAAAGCTAAAATTATCTTAGTAGATAGAGTAAGCTTTTATAAAAGGTCTGCTAAAAATGTCCGCTTGCAATTTATCCAAGTTTATCCAAGTTCTCTTTTCTCCCGTTCTAAGAAGGTATGTACAGATACTGCGCCACCTTGCCCTTTGGGGCTTATGGGTTCTAACAAGGGAATATACTGCATGCAGTTGCCATTTTTGGTGATGCCAAATCTCTTTTATTTTTTTTTTTTTAACTCAATAAAACCGCCAAGAGGCCACAAGGTCTTGTTAAGAGCGCTACTAAACTTGGACGAGACCTAAATAAGACCCCAACGAGAGCTCAACGTGACTTAAGTTCTGTACGAGACACCAACGAAACCCCAACGAGACAACGACATTGCAATGAGAACTAATCAGAAGCCCAAGTAAACTTACGAATACCTGTTTAGACGGGCTAGTTATTTCTTTGGAACCTTAAGAGTATATATCATGCGATTCTGATAAAACACCAAAGGCCACAACAAGACTGAGTTTTCAGTCGGAGGATTCTTAATTGGGTATTCCAACTAGAAAGAAAAAACCCACAGAGAGAACGAGATTCAATTTAAAACTAAGCAGATATATAGCCAAAGGAGAGAAAGCAGCAGCCAAAGGAGACAACGATATATAACATAGACACGAATTTTGGTCCAGATCTTGTTCTTGATTCAAATAGGCCTTAAAAGATGGAGATGAAAATATATTTAATTTGATTTCATTTTCTTTTCTTTTTGTTTCTGTTTCTGTTAATTTCCTCTCTTTCCTCCGAACAACTATGCGGTGGTGTCTGTGTGTGTTTCTAGGACTACAAACAACTGGAGTTGTCCTGCGAGACAGTCGAGGATGTTGAGTCGTGGAAAGCATCCTTCCTCCGAGCCGGTGTCTATCCAGAAAAGCAGGAGACCCAAGAGAATGGGGATGAGGTGCGTATATATCTGTTCAAGTATACATATATATATAAGACGAAATCCTCTACTTACACTTGATATATCTCGCATATTTGTGTATTAAAAACAATGCATATATGTTAGATATTGTGTTGTTTAAGATATCCTAAACAAATTAGCCTTTATAAATAACATGAAAAGCATCTTTAACTGTTCCATCCCTGACTGGAGGTAGGCTGAGAAATACAATACGAACAAAACGTATTTATAGAGATATTTGTGGATATGAATATCGGTCTATAAACAATAGAAGAATGCAAGCAAGATTCAACTTAATTAATAACCAAATACCTTTCATATAGTGAAAACCCAATGAAAAAAAAAGAACTACACAAACTTGATTGTCCAATATTTTATATCTTATCTTTTTGCTGTTCCGTTGTTGTTGTTGGCCAAATCAACAAAATATCTCTCGCCATATTGATGCTCTAAATGCATAATCTTCATCCAGGAAGGACAAGAGGTTTGTGTGAATATCTAAGTAACTTTGACAATGTTCTTTTGTTTTTGTTTGTCTTTTTTTTTTTTCTATTTTTGTTTTTGAGTATAATTTAATGAAAAGGCTCATAGAAATATTGGAGTTTGCTCTGATTTAATTGAGACTACTAATCACATTTGTAGAGCAGTTATACTAACTAAATATATAACATATTATCAGAGCAAGCCGATATTTTATGTACTTGGTTTATATATTTCTAGTGTTGTTTTCGTTGTTTACTAATATAATATTAACACGATTATAGGTAACTCGAAATAATTGTGTTACAGAATGTGATTTTGCTTTTTACAAACCTAAAACATGACCCTGTTACATATATATATATATATATACATTATTGTTCATTACTAACATTGCATAAGGATATATACCTTCCCGGAATATTTAAATATAGTTTTTTATATTTAAATATTTAAAAAAGTGGAAGCCAACTACGTTTATATGAAATAAATCCCACATAAGCGCCACATAGAAACACCCCCCACCATATATATCCCGTTTGTCTTGGAGCTCAAAATATACCTGATATATGTACATATATACCTTGTAAATCTTCCCCCCTATCGCGTTATGAAATACTAACCAAAATTATTGTATTTGCGAAAAGGGTTATGAAGAGCTTAATAACTAACTATGGCCATGTTTGCTAGTAGTTATTAACACAATATACAATATAATCAAGCAACTAACGGAAAAACCATCTGGTCGGATGACCCCGACCATTGAATTATCTTACTTATTTATTTTAACAATTGTCTTTATATTATTTTCTTCTATTTTTCCCTCCACGTACCTCAAACAAAACGACAAAATTTTACCCGAAAAAAAACGCCAATAATAAAAATCTATACAAATAAATATTTAAAACGTTCTGTTTATAGCAACAAGTATGTGTTGACCTCCAAAATTTGTTTTAAGATTAACTCTACTTTATTAATGCAATGAAAGTATTTAGACAAGCTTTAAGTATTTAGTCTTGTGTCATTCCCCTGGTCATCTATATTATATTTTAATAATCTTGAAATTAATGGGTGGTGTAACCGTTTTACAAAGTTTATTTTTGTTTTCTTATAGTGATTTGTAATTAATCGATGCGATATTATAATTATTTTGGTTACACACCTCCAGCGATAAAGAGAGACAGTAGAAAGTAGAAGTGGACAACAATCGATGGCAGCAATAGCAATGCTTACTGGGGCCTTATGCTAAAAACAAATGTTAAGTTTCTTTATTATATATAAAAAGTCCATATGTAGGTCGATATTATCGACGACTATCGAAAAACTATCGTCGAATATCGATGGTTCTCCACCTCTAATACATAGAAAATGTTTTCTTTTATAAACAAAATTGAACTGCCATTAAAGGCTGAATACATAGAGACAACTTATCGGGATCAGATTGAATTCGAGTCGTAAGAATGATTATTAACTTTATTTATTTGTCTCTTAAAAACCTCAGAGGAACCTTAATGAGTTTGGGTATATTTTAGTGGGTTTTTATTTCTTTCTTAAATAGATGACTATATAATTTGTATTATTTTTTTTTGTATTTTAAAAAGGATGCTCCGAAAACCTAATCGAATGTCATTGTTATTTTATCAGGAGTGCCACAGAAAACGCTAGAGATTTGAATTCAAATAGAAAATGTGTCTAAAAGTGGGGAAATCCAATATTTTAATCCCTTTTGTACTTTTGGGCCCACTTTCCAAGTGCTTTCTGTGAGCACTCCTGTTTTGAACAGACTTTTAGACCTTACATTTTGTTGAAGAAAATCTCTATTCCAATTGCTTTCTTATCTGGCACCAATTAATAATTAAGTCATATTTACACCCTAACACATATACATGTATTTTGTTGTACAATTGGGTTTTCCATTATTTGTGCACTCTTTATGCTCTTCCTTTTTACAAAAAAAAAACAAAAAAAAAATCTATTTGGCAATCAAATTCAATCAAATCAAATCGATTATTTCCCACACCAAACCCTTTCTTTAAACGAAACTTTCCACAAACCGCAGTCGCAGAGCGAGGAGAGTTCCTCCGATCCACAGCTGGAACGCCAGGTGGAGACCATACGCAACTTGGTTGATTCGTACATGAAGATCGTAACGAAGACCACCCGCGATATGGTGCCCAAGGCCATTATGATGCTGATCATCAACAATGCCAAGGACTTTATCAACGGCGAGCTGCTGGCCCATCTCTATGCGTCCGGTGATCAGGTATTAAGTGGCAACCAAGTTGCAATTACATTTCATAATTATATTTCATTTGTTTGTAGTCACAAATGATGGAAGAGTCGGCTGAATCGGCCACGCGACGAGAAGAAATGCTGCGAATGTACCGGGCCTGTAAGGATGCCTTGCAGATTATTGGTAACTAAAATATATATATTTATATCAAATCTCAAATGGCTTAGTGAAACTTTTCAATTAAAAACCAAAGGGGACGTATCCATGGCAACTGTATCATCGCCATTGCCACCTCCGGTAAAGAATGACTGGCTGCCCAGCGGCCTGGATAATCCACGGCTCTCCCCACCAAGTCCGGGCGGTCCTCGTAAGCCAGCTCCTACCGCACAGGTACGAATATATATTTAAAATTCCTGATTAAAATATTGTATATATTTATAATATATTTCCTTCATATAATACATACATAATTACTTATTTATTCGCAGGGCTCTATGGGTGGACGAAATCCCCCATTGCCGCCAGCTACTGGTCGTCCAGCTCCAGCGATTCCAAATAGACCAGGAGGCGGTGCACCGCCACTACCTGGTGGTCGACCAGCCGGCACGTTGCCACCACCAATGCTACCATCGTGAGTATTAGCAGAGCTTCCCTTTTGCCTCTAGCCTCTTAAGTTATTTAACAATATCTATAGTATATAGTATGCATACATATGAAAGTCGACGGTTGAGACCTCTTTTTATTATGTGCAAAAAAAAAAAAAAGAAAAGGCTCTTACAATTGACCTTGAACCTTGATCTCTCCGAAATATGTTTCTCTTTTGCTTCATTTGGCTTAATTTGGCTTTTCGCATTTTTATTTTACGACTTTATTGGTTTATTATCATTATTTATGCAAAATTTTGTTAAGAACAAATCATATAATTTCAACATTTTCGATATCATAGAGCTGCATTTTATTTTCGGGTAAGCTACAGCAACGTAAATTTATTTATTTATTTATGTAATAATAACCAAGTACACAAAAAACACTCGTTGAACAAATTTTGTAAATTAGGTACATTTACACTTTTTTCATTTCTGTAATACAAAGTTTGGTCCGGTGGCAATTTTGTAATAACAAAAGCATTATTCTTTAGCCGTAAGCGTTAAGTATGTTTTATGTTTTCAAATCTAACAAAATAACAACTTTGTTTCATTTAATGACAACTAAAATTTCTCGTGTTTATACATACATTTAATATAACGCTGTTATAAAGCTGTTATAAAGCTTTATAAAGCTGCTTCTATCGACAAGTCTGTCTGTCAGTTTCCTTCAAATTTATATTTATAATTCCCATTTTTTTTTATACTTAAGGCTATGCAGTTTATTTAGTATTATTTATAAACATAAAATATTGGTTAAAAAGCTTGAGTATAACAGTTTTTTGTATCTTGATGTGCTATCGAATCGTTCGGAAATATATTATTGAGAGAAAGAAAGGTTAAGTTACAAAGTTTTAACCAAAGACCAAAAACATTTTATACAAAACTTCGTCAACTGTTATATACGAGCTGTGAAAATGATACGAAACCTTACCAAAATATAGAACTAGATTTAAACCTTAGGTTGCTTGTTAAGAATTTGATTACATTTAAATAAGAGATTTGTTGAACAAAATTAACAAAACTATTTTTGTTGTCTCTCTTTTTTCTCTTTCTATGTGGTACGATTAACACCAATAAAATAATAATGCATTAATCTAATCACTCACACACATAATGTAAACAGACGTCGTTAAGTTGTTGTTCAGCCATCGCGAGATATGTACATCCATAGGCCGAGATCGATCCACCTTATAAAAATTAATATATGTATCTTGCTGACGATTTAACCAACACACACACACCCACACAATATCGCCAATATTGAAATTGAAATATGTATTTCGACTTTGGTATTATTCCGGCATAAACAGATAACACGGCAACAACGATGTGTGAAATCGATACATTTATCGTTAATCGTTTATGAACTATTGTAGTTAATATTTAATCTGGCGCGTTAATAATATTGAAAAAGAATTGTTTATAGACATATACATACAAGCAAACAAAGAAACCAGAAAAAAAGATGAAAGAAAGAAAGAAACTAGTCGAGAAGCACATGTTTCCTTTTATTCCAAAAGAAGTTAGTTTTCTTTAAAGTTTAAACCCTACTCTTACTTTCCCGTGTATATATACATACATATGTATATGTATGTGCTTATGTATGTCGATCGATGCATGCAATCCTTCTACATCAAATTATCCTCCTAAGTCTCGCTTACAACGGCAAATGCTCAAAAGTTACATACATATATACATACATTTGTATGGGCAGATGTCGAGTGACGGATATTAACTAATGATCTTAATTATAAAAGTAAATAACTATAATATACGGCTTTCGTTATTACATATACATAATATTATATGGCTTTGTGTTATTGTTGTTGATGTTAACACTATAACTCTATGAAAATGAGAGAAATTGTTAGGTAAAGCACAATTAAAGCTACATATGTAAAGTCAGTCACAAAGTATTTCCTTCTAATTGAAACCAAATTATCAACTTGTCCGTTGGTTAGAGCGACCTTTGCAATTCAATTCAATTTAATTACAATTTTATTTTATTATTAGTCTGAAGCTGGCATTTGAAAACATAAGAACCTCGATGGAAAGCTTTGATGTTGGTCGATATAAATCGACTAATCGAAATAATTCGATATATAACATCAAAAATCCTGTTTTCCAGCTTTTCTCTAATCGTATATTTATATTATTTTTTGTATTTGTTCAAGAGTTCCAAATCATTTTGAAAAAGCTTATATTTGCTTAATGGTAAAGCTACTTATACAAACATAAAGCATAAAAATATATATCACATTTTTGGGCAAGACCAGAAAAATACAAGGCATTCCTAGCTGCTGCAGTCGTGTTAACCCCCATAGATTTGTAGATAATTTGTTGCCGAGATTCAATTTGAAGTTCAATTTAGGTTTTTTTTCTATTGTAAATGAGAGCATACTAGTTTTGTGACTCACTGTAGTAATGGATTATGACGAAGGAAATATGCAGCTACTTATATTACAACATACAAGCAAGTTTACGTATACTAAATAAAGTGCATAAATAAATAATTAAATAATAAATACGGGTTTTGTGTTGCGTGTGTATCTATTGTATATTTCAAGTGAAGCTGGCGGGCAAGGTTTCTATGTATGTTTCAATATTTACTTCCTTATAAAAAATAATAATTAACGCCATACAAATATCTGCATTCATGTATGTATAAAGAAAAGGTATGTCATCTGCATTTTTAGTTTATAAATTGTAATAGTTACCCAGCATACTTTAATTTTACAATGTTATCTATGTATTATCGATATTGTTTTGCTTTTGCTTTTATATATATATATATATATAAATTTGAAATGAAGTCGTTTAACAAAAATGATAAACACCTTAGATTCGGCAAGGAAGAAGCAAGTGAGCAAATAAAAAGGGGTTTCAAGCGTTACGATGCTTGCTTGGTGGCATAAGACGATGTTGCCTTAGCAAATATGTTGAATGAATGAATGTATATAAATGTAAAATACCATTTATGAATTTCAAGTCGCGTCTCTGGAGCTCTCGGCGGTGCCATAACGCAGCAGACGGGCGCCCATCGCTATGTGCCGGAGAGCATGCGTGGTCAGGTGAACCAAGCTGTTGGCCAGGCGGCTATCAATGAACTGTCCAATGCCTTTGCTACGCGGTTCAAGTAAACTGAGGATTGAAGAGAAACAGTATTATGCACTATATAAATATAAATATATGCAATGCAAATTGGCATAACGCGCGCACGCATCCATATTAAGAAGATGTATATCGGTTGGTTTTCAAAACTCTACAACTAAATTCGTCGGTATCGCGAGAGTCTTAGATATATTTTCAGCATTTTAGGTTCATTTTCTATTTAGAATAAATATATCAACAAAAAAATTGAAAAATATATAAACATTTAATTTATTTTTGAGGATTAGTTTTGTTTAATTTAGATTTATTATCTTTTTATTTTAGAAATGAGATTTTATAAATAACCACTTTAATGATTTAAAAAAAAGGAAATACACACACATATATATATATATATATATTTAAATATATATATAGATACATATATATATATATTTATTTATTTAGAAAACTTATATAACCGTGTTAATAAAAGTGTTTCGAAGATCACTCGTTTGTCTATTTTATTTTAATGCTTTAAAAGTGGCCTGAACAATTGAACAAGTCTATTGGTGAGAGGAACTATAGTGAGTGTGAATCCTGATAATGGAATGCGTTAAATGGAATATTGGAAACTTTTATTAAAAAAACATTTAGAGTCCTTATATTATAATGGTCGTCGATGGTAAGCGTCCTTGCTGCTCCTATTAAATCCTTGGATGCTGTTGCTGCTGTTACTCAACTGTTAAAAGCTTCTTAAAATAAATTGGGGAATAAATTTTAAAAATAAAATAAAAATGTAAAGGTAAAACTAAACACCAAGGCTGTTATTTGCCAGAAATATTATCCTTATAGTAGTTATCATCAAAATTAATCAAAAATAAAGTAAATGCTCATTTTTTCATAATTTGAATTATTACTCGTTATTTTATCGCACCGCCAAAACTATCGATATATTTAAAAACCGTTTTCAGTATTTTCTGGTCTATTTAGCGGTATATTTCCCAGCGTCTTATGGCTTGTTTTGCAGGTCGACGCACGGTTACACTGCACAGCATTCAACACTTTGGAAGTGAAATAGAAAGTTTTTAGTTTGTAAATAAACGCGGAATACCCGATCACTTTCTCCTAATATACGTTACGTTTTGTACTATTTATTCACTATGTTTTCGGTAACTTGTGTGGCTCCTGTAAATATTGCTCTGATCAAGTATTGTGAGTAGGCAGTACAATTCAAGTTTCAAAGGGAAATCTTAAGCAATTGATCAATTTTCTAGGGGGAAAGCGCCATGAAGATTTAATTCTGCCCGTCAATGACTCCCTAAGCATGACGCTAAGCACAAATGAGGTAAAGTATTCATGTTGATCAGCTGTGACTTAATTAATTGTTATAATTAAAGTAAGAAACATTTCTGAATAAACTTGGAAAGCTTATTAATACCATAGATCCATGAAAGAGTATATTATTTAAAGTTATTTGCTTGTGATCAGGCAAGACGATCTAGCCTTTAGGCCGTTGTCTTAAAAGCTATCTGCCTTTAAATTTATACATTTGCAACTTCCCTAAACAAATACAAAATATATTGTTTCTAAACTTATTTTTAAATCGTTACAATAGAGCTTAGGTTCTGAAATGTTTTGCTTTGTTTGTTATCTATGCACATAATTATAGCTCTGCGCAAAGACAACAATAACTGCCTCAAAGAGTTTCGAACACAATCGAATGTGGCTGAATGGCGAGGAAGTCTCCATCGAAGAAAGCTCACGTCTCACGCGGTGTTTAAAGGAAGGTGAGTAGTTTCTCGGTTAATCATTCTCTTGGTTCTCTATTTGCAATATATTACAGTTCGCCGCCTGGCCCTGGCCACTGGCTCGCAGAAGGTGTCACCATCATGGAAAGTACACATTGCCTCGGTCAACAATTTCCCCACTGCCGCTGGACTAGCATCTAGCGCTGCTGGTTATGCCTGCCTGGTGTATTCCCTAGCCCGTCTCTATGAAATTCCATTTAGCGATGAGCTAACCACTGTGGCTCGGCAGGGCAGTGGGTCAGCATGCCGCAGTTTGTTCGGCGGATTTGTTCAATGGCATCGTGGTGTCCTGGACAATGGCACCGACTCTGTGGCCAAACAAATCGTATCGTCTCAGCATTGGCCCAACATGCACGTTCTCATTTTGGTGGTGAATGACCAGCGCAAGAAAACCGCATCTACCAGGGGAATGCAGAATGCTGTGAATACGTCGACGCTCCTTCATCATCGCGCCGATAAAGTGGTTCCCGAGAGGATAAATCAACTGAGGGAGGCCATTCAAAATCGTGACTTTCAGACTTTTGGAGAGATAACAATGAGGGACTCAAATCAGTTTCATGCAATTGCCATGGACACCTATCCGCCGTGCGTGTACATGAACGACGTGTCCCACGAGATTGTATCGTTTGTGCATTCCTACAACAATGCAATGGGATCCCTACATGCGGCGTACACCTTCGATGCCGGGCCGAATGCCTGTTTGTACGTTTTGGCGGAACACGTCCCCCAGCTGGTTGACGCCATTCAGAAGGTATTTCCCAGTGACCTAATGGACAGTGCCGAATACCTACGGGGCCTACCCATTTCCCCCGAACATCTGGAGACTTCTCAAAGCAATAAAATTGAGTCGCTGGGCATTGAGCCCAAGAAGAATTCCATCAAGTATATAATTCATACGGAGATTGGTCAAGGACCAAGTCAATTGGGAGAAGAAAGTAGTCTACTGATAAACGGGCTTCCACAGAACCAAAAATAATACTGCTTGACTGTTTTTTTTTATATAAAATTTTGTACGAATTCTACGCTATTGTGAAATTTTGCAAAAATTTGCTGGCAAAAATCGGGTTTATGGTAACGATAACGATTTTTGTTTTTGAATGTTGTTATCTGGATAAATTATAAAAAGTTGTTAAATAAATCTTTTGGGGAATCCATATTTTTAACATTTGTATTATTTAATTAAACAACATATATCGAAGTGCCGATTGATGACGCAAAAAAGCTCAAACGATGTAATGATCATCACATGAAACGAAATCGAAAACACTTCGACCAGCTGAATTCGTATACATACATCATGCTATGCATTTCGTCAGATGTAGATGTACATAGAGTTCATTCATACGCCTGTCCACCTCGAAGATGTATGATTTTAGCTTGTGGCATTTATTTGATAAACATTCAATGTGTCCCTGATATATAGACCTTTTTGTGTGCATGTATGCGCCGACACAATTATTTAAATGCTTGGTAATCGGTCTTTTTTCATACAACTACATACAGAGTGAAACTTTATTTAACAACAATAAAAATATTTGTGTATGGATGTATGTATATTTATATATATTATATATTTCTTGGTTTTCACTTTTTTTTAATGTTGTTGGTAGCTTTAAGAGAAGAAATAATCTTGAATTTTGCGTATATTTATGTAGTGCTGCTTCACCGGGGAGCAACAATATTATTTTTGTTATATAACTGTGTGTGATGCCAGCACTGCCAGCCGGTTCTGCTCTGCTCTTCTAGTTGATGTACGTAGCATCTCTCCCGGCTAACCGCTATTTAACCTCTATCTCTGCTACTGACGCGGGGTCTGTCGGTTGTATTTAATCCTTACTCTGCATGTACTTGATCAAGTCGATGACGCGGTTGGAGTATCCAAACTCGTTGTCATACCAGGAGATGAGCTTGACGAACTTGTCGTTGAGAGAGATGCCAGCCTTGGCGTCGAAGACCGAGGAGTGGGTGTCGCTGAGGAAGTCGGTGGAGACAACCTCCTCGTCGGTGTAGCCGAGAATTCCCTTCAGTGGACCGTTGGCAGCCTCCTGCACCTTGGCCTTAATTTCATCATAGGAAGCGCCCTTGCCCAGGCGGACAGTCAGATCGACAACGGACACATTGGGGGTGGGGACACGGAAAGCCATGCCAGTCAACTTGCCGTTGAGAGCTGGGATGACCTTTCCGACGGCCTTAGCGGCACCAGTCGAAGCCGGGATGATGTTCTGGGCAGCGCCACGGCCATCACGCCACAACTTTCCAGATGGGCCATCGACGGTCTTCTGGGTAGCAGTGGTGGCATGCACAGTGGTCATCAGGCCCTCCACAATCTCGAAGTTATCGTTAATAACCTTGGCCAGAGGAGCCAGACAGTTGGTGGTGCAGGAAGCGTTCGACACAACCTTCATGTCCGGGCTGTAGGCATCCAGATTCACACCGCACACAAACATGGGTGCATCGGCAGAGGGAGCCGAGATGACGACCTTCTTGGCACCGCCCTTCAAGTGAACGGACGCCTTATCGAGGGTGGTGAACACTCCAGTCGATTCCACAACGTATTCAGCGCCAGCGCTGGCCCAGTTGATGTTAGCGGGGTCGCGTTCGCTGAAGACGGTGATCTTCTTGCCGTTGACGACCAGGAATCCGCCCTCGGCGGAAACAGTTCCCTTGAAACGTCCGTGAGTGGAGTCAAACTTGAACAGGTAAACCATGTAGCTGACATCGATGAAAGGATCGTTGACGGCCACAACGGTGGCGCCCTTGTCGATGGCGGCACGCAGCACCAGACGGCCAATGCGTCCAAATCCGTTAATACCAATCTTCGACATGATTATAGCTTGTTTTCTTCACTTTTGCTCCCTAGAAAAAAAATACAAGTTGATTTACAGATGTGTGGGAGTGCGGCTTCTACAAAAAGCAATACCGTTTAGTTCGCTAGCAAGGAATCGACTGCGCTAGCGGAGAAATTCGTTGAAGTAAGCTTTTTTAGCAATTTTCAAAGTCAGATGAAGGACGTTGATGTCAAACGAAATGAAGACAGAAAGGTGCTTTTACTCTCACCACTCTCAAAGCTCCAGGGCTACCCAGTAAACATAGCACTGGGTTCTTTTCTAAATGCATTTAAATCTTTTAGCAAAAACGTGCTCTATTCCAATTACTTCATTTTACAATACTCGATAGAAAAACAAAAAAATCATTAATGTCACTGGCGCAGAGTTGATTTTTATATTGTTTACGACACTTGGAACTTTTCAGGTTTGTGTGTCTAAAAAGTGTTTGTTGTGTTAACCGCCACTTGCCAATTTTAAGAGCTTTTAGAGAGCGAGAGAATTTGCGGTGCGGTGCGTGACACTCTCACACATACACAGGTATTTTTACAAATATGTATTTTAAACATGCCGAAAAATACAGTATGTAATAATAACAAATTTGATGTAATTTCGCCGATAACTTTTCCGACAGATTTAAATGCATTTTTGGCAATGTACGATAAATTACATCCATATGTAATGTTTGTCAGCCATGAGAGTGAGTGAGAGGCACATATGAGATGAGAAAAGAAAGCGCTAGAAATGAATATTTGTATGTATGTGTGCAAATATGTATATGTATGTATGTATTTACCAGCGGAAGCGGATGAACTCTGTATGACCTTTGCTAAACCCGGATTATTAATTGTTTAATCTCTCCTGTGCACATACGAAAAATGAAGATGATACGAATGTACTTACATTTTCCCTTTCATTTGTACATCATACATAAATATGTAAACATGTATGCACGTATGGACGTACATGTTCGTTTACCCTATTACTTTAGCTTTATTTAAATTTTATGTTTTTGCACTGAAGTGCAATAAACATCAATGATTTTGCAATACAATATACAAGTGTACATACATACACACATATGTATGTTTGTGAATAGCTCCATCTATTCAAGATTATAAAATATTTGTATTATAGTCCAAATTTCAGGGAACAGCACAATGGATCACAGCTTAGCTTGGAAACATACATATTATAACTCGAGGAATCTGAAAAAGCTCTTCAAATTAAATACTACATAACTACCAGTATAGAATAACTGTAGAATTTATTAATTCCAGTAATTTATTATTATAGTTAGCACTTAAGATAACGTTATACATTTGTATGGCTTGCTTCTAGTCTCTGAAACCCATCTAAAATTGTTTCTTTTTCGGGGTCCAAGTTAATAGGAAATGATAAAAACGTGATAATGACATTAATCATGAGTTTATTTCGATTGATCAGATTATACAAGTGAATGTAAAAAAAAAGATGTAAAAAATATTTGTTGTGTAACAATGCATAATAGTTTTATTGCAAAAATACAAAAATGCAGTTTGTATGCGAAGAATAAATTGGTTGCCTTCATTAAATATTATATATATTAAATATATATATGCTAGCAAGCAAGCATATACTGTATGTACATACAATTTTAGTGTATAATATAAAATGATATAATTCATACTGGATCATAAATGTTGCAAAAGAGATTTTTTAAATCGAACCAAAGCGATCGTATTTTCCCATTATTTTTTGTTTCTCAAAGTTAAGGGAACGTGGGAGACAGGAGAGGTTTTTAAGACATGCGTGCGCCTGCTCCTCCATAAACTGCTGATCTTTGGTTTTGCCACAAGCCACCCGTGCCCATTTGGGATCAATGACATGGTCATAGGAGGACGACGACAGACCTCGGAACGTATAGCGACTTCGACTGGAATGGTATGGCCTGCTATTCTCCTTTCTGCCCTCGTCGAACGGCAGGTCCTGTTCGCTGCACAAGGTGTCCTTCATTATGCTGCATGGCGATGATAGAAATTTACTCGGCGTCTCCGTCTCAAAGGGCTGGATTCTCTTGGTGGTGCTGTCACCCCCACCATTAGGCAGGTGGTTGGTGCTCCAAGTTGATAGTAATGATTTCCTGGCACGTTTCTGGTGTGGCGACACCGACTTGGTCGCACTATTGTTGTTATCAACGCTCAACGAGCTTCTGTAGTCGCGTCGGCCCTTTCGAATATCAACACCGGAACAGTTTCTCGAGTTTTGTGTAGATTGCGAATCGTTCAGCTGTTCGTCGTGAATAATTTCAGCCAGATCCTCCACCAGGCTGGACGGGCTAGAAGGTTCATATTGTCGACCGTCTCGCTTCTTGCCAATAGCAGCTAGCGCATTTTTGAAGGGTGTTGGCGTTCGCGGTCCAAGCTGACCTGTATAAAGTAATAATAGAGTTGGTAACAATGAGAGGAGGGTCTATTTTGATATAATTATAAGGCACTTACTCTTGTGCGGCGTTTCGATAGACGATGACTCCAATTCCTTTTTGATCTCCATTCCAACGCGATTGTAGATCTTCGTAACGGGCGTACTGGCTCGCAAGTTCATATCCTCGAATGTGGTCAAACATGGAGACTTGAGGAATTGACTCGGCGAGAATGGTAATGATTTAATCGGCGTAATGACGGGGGACTCCGGGAGCCTGCTCGGCTTTACTTCTCCAATTGGTTGTGGCTGAGACTGAGAAGGTTCGGGCGTACGCTTCCGAGAGCGCTTCAGTATGTTGGGAGTTTTCCGGGGTAGGGTCGTCATTTTTGCCAGTGACTGGGGAAGCACAGAAGACTCCGTTTGAGGTTCAGTTCCAGCAGAATCCGTCTCCTTAGGGCTTTCATCACTGCCTTCTGTTTTGACCATTTCCTTGTCTTCTGTTTTCTCAGAAACAATCTTCTCTTGCGAATTGGCCAGACACTTGCCAATGCCGCCCGACTTGATCAGGGTGATGAGATGGGTTCGCGAACTCTTCAGATCACTTCCAGATGCGTTCGCCGTCCTGCGCTCAGCATCATATTTACGGCGCATGGTCGAGTTCCAATGGTTCTTAATGGCATTATCGGTGCGACCTGGCAGAAGCTTTGCAATTTTTGCCCATTGGTTGCCAAGCTGAATGTGGGCCTGGTAAATGATCCTGTCCTCCTCCTCGGTCCATGCGGTCTTCTTTATATTGGGATTGAGGTGGTTGTGCCACCGTTCGCGGCACTGCTTACCAATCCGCCCGTTGAGATACCGAGCTATCAGCGTCCATTTCTTGGGCCCAAAGCTGCGCACCAGCTCAATAACCTTTTCGTCTTCGTCACGCGTCCACGGGCCCTTGATGAGTTCCGGATTAAGCACCTTGGCCCAACGCTGCTGCACCTGCTGCTCCAATCGATCCTTAAAATGGGGCCCGATAATCTCCCAGTTCTCGCCATGCTTCTCCACCATAGACTTGAGCAATAAATCCTCAGATTTGGACCAACGCTTACCAAATCCATAATTCGGATGACACGCCGTCGAGGTGCCATTCGCACCCTTTCTGGGACTTGTTTGTCCATTCGACGAGGGGGTTACGCGATAGTGCGAATCGATTTTGAAATTTAATGTGACTCCTTCATCCGTTTTAACATCCGATTCTTCTTTATCATCATCGTGATCCGAGTATTCCGACTCCTCGGATTCGGAATTTGGATCGTAGTTTACTTGTTCACCCCCATATTCAGCGCTAGCACTCGCGCTCGCACTCGCACTCGCACTCGCCATCTTGTCCTTAGTTCTGTTTGCGCGGCGAACAAAAGTGATAAATTGCCGGACTTGTCTTCTCCGCACGTTGATAATAATGGACGTCGCGGTCGCAGTACAAGCACTTGTTGGTATTGTTCTGATTGTAATTGTTATTGTGGTAAAATGTATAATGAGCACAAATGTCGCTAAAGGAGCAGCTTTCAAATTGCATATGACACGTCAGGCATTGGACCAGTTCACCCTGATGACGATGATCACTGCGCAGTATTGGGTGCGTCGCATCATTTTCCGTACGATCCAATAGGTCAGTTATGCTATTGCTGCCGTTCACCTTGTTTGGGGTTTGCTGCGTCTGCGGCTGTCTGTTAATAGACATGCTCATTCATTCAAATTCGTAACGTGCAGGCAGCTGACAAAACTATACACCCGATGGCTGTCGACACGCCAAACATTTTGTCAATATAATTTGTTGTAGGCCATCCAACCATCTGGTTTGCTGAGAACACACTTTAAGTTTGTTGGCGAGCGTTCATTAGATATGTATATGCGGATGCATTAACTTTCGAGGTTAATATAAGTGCTAATATTTATTAGTTTTAACTTGATTTTTCACGTTATTTCACTGTAATTTGACGGCGTCGTTTATCTTTTAAAATAATGTAATCAGTGTGACCGTTTCTGAATGGTTAGCAAATACTGGTGAACCGAACAAATGGAACACAGAAATGGAACGGTGGGAAGGGACTGACCTTATTCCTGGTATTTTAGTGGTATATTTTAAATACGAAATAGATTTTAGTATATTTTTGAGGGAGTTCGAAAAAAAATCTGGGAAAAATAGATTTTTCTCGCTCTAAATTCTGGTTTTGTCTCGCTCTAAATTTGGCTATTTATCGTCATTTTTTTTTTGATCTTCGCATTCTCATTCAAAACAAACGTAAAATTTGAATTTTAACTTTCTCTTTTGATCTTATATTAAGCAAATGAATTAACTTCAATGAATTTGAATAAAATATATGTCGGATGTGTTTAGGTTGATTTATTTCCCTCTCTCCTAAGACTTTCGGTAGCGCGACAACCAGCGTTGCCATAATTTTTCCCGAAAAAAAGTTGATTAGCAAAAAAAAAACCCAAAAATCCTTTTAAAAAGGCTTTAAAAAAACCCTATATTTTTTAAGTCATTTATTATTTCGTCTATATCGACTGCCTCTTCGTAAACATACTGATTCTTAGATGTTCCGATCATCTTTAGAACATTTTTTGGTGTTTTATAGTCGCACTATGCAAATGTATGAAAATATACTTTTGATGCATAAAAAACTCGATCTGAAATAAAGCTAAATTAGCGTCTTCCCGCTGCTTTACATTTTTTCCCGCAAACGGAGTTCAAAAAACCCCAAATCTGGTGGGAAAAACCCTAAAACGGCTACACTGGCGACAACGTTTTAGCGTTTTTTATGCATTCGTAATTGCAGACTTGAGGTCGGCTTCGATTTTATACAAATCAAAGGCTCGACTATAGCTAAAAACAACAAAAAGAACTTGTCAATAGACAAGTAGCAGCTGTGGTGACGATCGTTTCGTTGGCGCTGCCCAACTCATCAGACCACTTGCTAACTATTGCTAATTTTCTTGGTACTTTACTTTAAACAATTGATTGGAATATTCAAATATATGGAAGTTTGCGCAATCAATGTTAATTTTGCCAGTGGAACGTAATTAGTTAAAATAGTAAATAAATAAACGATACTCAACTTTTTTAAATATATTTGCATACGAAGTTCAAATATTCAGGCGTTTTAACTGACATTTTTTATGGTATTTTAGTTATTTTTCCCACTATCGATTTCTCGATATTTTTACGGGCAAAATTTTAGTGGTATATTTTGAAATATGAAATAGTATATTCTAGTATATTTTTGAGGGATAAATGGTATATTTCGATCTGTCCGGCGCGGTCACGCTGCCCTACTCTGTATTTGTTCTTTGTGGTTAAAAATTTTTCGGAACATAATATTGTATTTTATGTAAAACACTATACATAATAATCGTGATGACAGTTAGTTGTAACAGAGTTTAACCCAAGTACATTTGTGTACAAAATGTTACGCGAATTGTCTGCAAAATACACAAATTGTATTTAGCATTCAATAAGTTTCTTGTATGTACGTGCAGCTAGAGACGCCTTGTCTCTGTTGCTGCTATGTCGACGCAATCGCAATTAGAAAAGTGTAAGCGAGATGACTATTGCTACTAGAGACTTTGTATACTTGCATAGAGAAAAAAAACCGAATTACAAATATATTCACAGTTATAAATATATATATGTTCTCATGTGTAATAAAAGTATTCGATTATACATAAACTATACAAAATAATAAACATGAAGTGCATATATTTAATTTAATATGAATACAAAATATTGCGCGTACTAAACATAATTTGCATTAGTTTTTGTACAAATCGGCTTTTTTTGTTTGTTTTTGTTGTGTGTGTGAGTGTGCGTTGTTCGTAAGGTGTGTGAAAATATGTATGAAAACAAATTACATTTGATGGAGGTGATAAAATCAACCAATATGGCTTTGCAAGTGTGTTTCGTCTTCCAATTCGCATACGAACTGTAAATCGTAGGGGAGATATTAATGTAATTCAATGTGGCGGATACTTGATTTTTTTGTTAAATATATTTTATATTATTTCTTTGCCCAAAAGAAAGTGTATATAGTAGTGCATAAATGGAATCAAATGTATATTAAAGCCTTTATTCTGTTGGTTTAGAGCCATCATCAGAGCCGGATGCATCGGATGAAGAAAAGGTTTGCCGTAGCTGCTCGTCGTAAGGCGTATAATGGACATCGATCATTTGTATTCTTAAGGAACTGCTGCTGAACCATTGCCACAAATCAAACTCGAAACGGCTTTGGCTGGAAGGAAGCCCATTGCAAGTGACGACGACATGGACAGCGCTAAATTAAAGACTGCCTCTCCGTCTGCGTCTGGCGGCAACAACAATAATAACAACAACAATAACAATATTAATGGATCTGGAGGTGGAGCAGCGCAAGTGACGACGCATGTTTCCTTGCAGGATCACATCGCAGGATCCGTTAAAGCGAAGCCTCAAGACGACAAAAGTGAAAAGCCACTGGGCGCAGTCAGTGGCCTGGCAGCAGTGGCCAGTAGTCAGAATAGTGGCACGAAAAGTATTAATCCTGCTACTCCCGCTCCTGCTGCTGGTGTCGTGGTATTAAATCTTCCGCCGCCTACTGCCTCTGCCTCCGCCTCCGCCTCTGCCTCCATTCAAGCCAATGCAGAAATCACGGAACAGTCTGCAGAACCAATAATCGCCGTTGCAGGAGCATCAGCATTGGGAGCATCTGATTTGGAATCGACGGCTTCTACGCTAGAGCCAACCTGTTTGGAAACAGCTTCGATGAGGCCCAATAATAATACATGCGACTTTGATTCTGATACGGAACTATCCATAGTGGCCGCCGCGGCGGCAGCTGTCTCAGCGTCGTCAGCCGTCAACGTCTCGTCGTCGAGGTCTCCTCCCACATCGCCGCCTGCATCAGCATCCCTTATACTACCGGCACTAAGTTCCAGTGTGGCCAACGCTGCGACAGCAGCAGCAGCAGTATCCTCCTTGTCGGCCATGGTGGGAAATCAGCAGCAGAATCAGGCCGGATTCGGTGGAGGAGCAGGAGCAGGAGTTGGTGTTGGTGTTGGCAGCACTAATGGCCACAGCAGCAACAGCACTCACCTGAGTCTAAATGCAAAGCAACAGCGTCAGCAGAAACGTCGGCGGGAACGTGCACAGCGCTTGCAAGCGGAACGCGACAGTCGATGCAATTCCAGTGCAATGAATGGCACATTCATCGCTGGATCTGTAGCTGTCAACAGTAGTGCCGGCAGCGGCACTGTAGGAGCTGCCACTGCAGCTCAAGGAGGCCTAGTTACACCTGTCGGCGTCGGCGGCGGCTCGTCATCGTCCGTGGTGGTAATGGGCAACGGATCAGGGACAGTGGCCGGAAACGGTAACGGAATGATCTATCACATTAACAGCGCTGGCAGCATGGGCGAGGATAGTAACAATTCGAATGGCAACTTCACCAGCAGCAGCAACGGCAGTAATAATCTCCTGCCGCCGACAGATAGTATTGCCTCGTTGCTCCTCAACCCGCCACATTCCCCCGAGTGCAACTCAGGACTAATGGCCACGCCCAGTGATAGCGAGGGCGAGTCATTAGACGAGGATCTACTCTCCACATCGTCGTCGTCGACGCTGCTATTGCCGCGAGATAAACCGCCGCCGCGGCCGCCACCTCCAGTTCGAAGGAAACTGCCAAGATCTCCGGTGCTGGAAGAGGAAATAATCGATGGCTTTGCTATATTGGAATTCAAGACATATGAAGATCTCGAGGTAAGTGTGTTCATCCTCTCCATCTTGCAAGTGTAATACTAATCGAATCTCTCTGTAATTCCGTCTAGTTTGCTATCAAATTGGGACAGAAGCGTAAGGAGAAGCGCCTGTCGGCACTCGAGGAGCTAACGTGTACCTACAGCATAGAGGAAATGAAAATTCCAAAGGTCATTGATACGGGCCAATCGTCGCATCCGATGCGCTGTGTCTCCAGTCTATCCACATTGTCTATTGTTGGCAACACAAACAATAATAGCCTTAAGGAAGTCACCTCCCAGCCACCAAATCGTCATAATACCGGCAATATCAACAGCAATGGCTCCGCCACTTTGAACAGTAAGAACGACGTGAGCGGGAGCAATGTGTACATGCTGCCATCTGCGGGTTTGGAGACGGAAGCAGAGGCTAGAGCCCACTGGCGAGCTGAATACGGACAGCAGCAGCAGCAGCATCAACAGCAGCCGCCACAGCAGCAGCAGGCACAGCAAACGCAACAGCTGCAGCAACAGGAGCCACAGCAGCAGCAACAGCAAGGCGACAAAAGTAAAAGTAATGTCATCAACAATGATGTTCAAGTTAAGAATAATCACCAAATAATAAGCCAAACCGGCAACAAGAAAACGGATGCAGCGGCAACAAATGAACCAAGCACTGACACTAGCTTCCTGGAGAACAATGGCCACGATAACGATTCCATAATGCTGGATATAACCCTGACGCCAGCTGGTGCTGCTGCCGAGCACATGGATGTGGGGGCCATAAATGTCAATAATAAATCGCACAATTCAATTCCCAAGAGCAACAGCAGCCACAGTAGCAGCAGCAGCAGCAACTCGAGTGATCAGACCAAATCGCTGCCCCAACTCCAGCTAAATAGTTTAATGTCAAGGGATCTTGCTGCGGGAGTAGTGGGCGTGCATAATAATCACCTGATGGGTGTTGGCTGCAAAGCGGCGGCGGCATCAGAGCACACAACAGTAAAGGTGAGTCTCGATTTGGTAACTGTGCGTCCATTTGAAATAATTGTTTTACCCCATTTCAATAGAAGTTAAACAGTTTGGAGAATATGGAAATTGTCACACCGTCGGCTGGCGGGTGCCGCTCCTTGGATGTCCAGGAATTAGCCAATGGCTCAGCGCAGGTCGTTGGTGCCAGCGGCAGCGGAACCAGTGCAAAAAAGGGCAGCGGGGAGCCTAGTGATCTTTTACATGAAGTAAGTACATTAATTAAAAAGTAAATAAAACACAAGTTCTTATCTCTGGCTTCATTTTTACCTTTGCCAGGCTTCGAAGAATGGTAGCAGTGGCGGCAGCAAAGTGAGTAACATTTAATTGTTATTTATTACTTTATTATTTATTTCAACTTGACTTGAAAAGATTCTCTTATTCACAAGGCCCCAGTGAGCCAAAAGACAATAAAATAAATAAAATATCAGATATCATCGATCCGATTTCGAGCTTTCGAAAATGAAGCCTTTACTAGTCTCCACTTTTGGAGACTACATGTTTACGTTTCGCTTGATTATTGTTTACTATATGGCTCACGAAGTTTTGATTCACTGGCTTTAGTTTGGGCCAAGTTGTGCTTATGAAGACTCTCTAATAAATCCACTATTATCCCCTTTCCAATTACAGAATACAGAGAAAATGTTTGACATTATGGATTACCCCACAACGACAACGACGACGACGACGACGACTATGCATATTTCAAATAATGCCTCATCGGGTCAAGATCGATCAGCTGCCGTTGCCGCCGTTGCCGCTGCTGAACTGCCGCACTTTAAGGGCATTATGTCTTTGGCCGCCGCTGGAGACAACAATAATGTCACATTTTCGGGAGTGCCTTCGTTGAACGTGCCTGCTGCCTCGGGATTGGAGAGCGATGCCATGAAGAGTACGACAACAGCTTTAAATGAAAGTGCACAAGCCAATGTGACAGCGGTTTCAACAAAAGCCGAAGGCGAAAGTGGAAAAAGGGAACCGTCCGGCAGTATTTTGCAGAAATCTACGGCCGACAAGCCGCTGCTTTATCCTGCTGCCCTGGGCTCTTCTCCCGTGACCACACAAGTGAGTATCTTAACACTTTTCCTACTCTGCGAATTTTAATTCAATGTATATACATTTTTTTTTGTCGCAGTTTACCGGCGTTGGAATCGTACCCTTTGGGAATGATAAAAATGTGGTATCAATCTCGGCTTCACCGGCATCTGAAAATGATCAAAAGATGAGTTTCGGTGCCACCAAGGCGGTAGCCAGTTCAGTTTCGAACGGCTTGTCATCGGGAACAGGAGGAGGAGGAGGAGGAGGGCAACGTCCCATTGTGCCGCAGTCTCCGGTTGCTGTCACAACACCCTCACCATCGCCATTCAGCGCACGTGGTCTGGCGACTTCGAGTGTGATACTGGCGAGCAGCAACACGAGAACTAGCAGTGGTGCCTCTGAGCCTGCAGCAGTGACCACTGAAATGGCAAAGAATCAAAGTACGGTTCTGACCACTTGCCCCATCTCATCCTCCTCATCCTCAACAACAACATCAACATCTGCGTCAGCGGCAAGCACCAATCCAGCTTTAGTCAATGGTTTCCTTACTGGTTATCCGCCTGCCACTAGCACCACAGTGATTGCCAGCAGTACGATGCCGCGTGCTTCGCCCACCCATAATAGCAACAAATTGATGTCACCAGCGGCAGCAGTGGCATCAGGAGCACCAGGAGCAGTTTCTACAGCTCCACCAACGGCTGCCTCTAGCATGGGAAAGATGATGTTTGGCAGCGGAAATACAGCACCGGGCTCCTCGCCGTTACTCTTCTCAGGAGCTGGACAGCCCATGCCCATGCTTATACAGGCTCCACCTCCGTATCGTACTCCGTATGCCAACTACCCGCTGTTCACCCCATACAGCAGCCTGACCACGCACGGATCGTACCTGCCGCCAGTATTGCCGATCGTTGCCACGCCCAATATTCCGCCGCCGCCCTCGCCTTCGCATCACATTCGCAGCTCTGAGCTTGGCCGAAGCAGCAGTCGCGAATCGCCATCCGCAGTGGGGCTAATGAAGGCAGGCCAATCGGTTTTACAAAACGTATCGATGGCAGCCCCGCCCACCATGCTGCGCTCCATGACGCCGATCAGCAGCAGCAGCAGTAGCAGCAGTGCATCGCAGCCCGTGGCTAGTGTGGTCACCACAAGCAGTGCCGGAAACTTTCTCTCCTCAACTGCCACCCTGCCGCCCAGCCATTCGCATAATATTCTATCTCATTCCCACAATATGCCCGTCTATGGGTCAAGCAGCAGTGCCGCAACTGCAGCAGCAGCTGCTTCATCGCAAACGCTTCCTCCCCCGATCTCTGCCCAAATACTGGCGCAGCCTGGGAACTTTTCATCGCTGTCACATCATCTGCTGACCACGCATCCATCAGCAGCACAACAACAACAACAACAACAACAGCAGCAGCAACATCAACCTTTAGTACGTTATTCTTCATCATCCTCTGTCGCTGCTGCTGCTGGCTCCAACTTCAACTCCCCATCAATCCTCACCGTCCAAAGTTTAACCACTGCGGTAACGTCGTCGTCGAGTCTGTCATCTCTATCGACGACCTCGTCCTCGTCATCATCATCGTCATCTGTGATCCAAAAGATTGTTTCGCCCAAAGGTGAAAGTCCCAGCAGTAAGGATCGGGATTCTAGTCATGGGTAAGGGGAAATTGATGACCTTGAGCTTAGACGTGTATATCTAATCCAAATCCCTTTTCAGCAATCCAAGCATGAGGTCCTCCCACGTGGCATCAAACCTACTGCCTGTGGTGCCATCGCAAGGCATCGGAGTGGGCTCTGCTGGCCCATTTTGTGGCATTGCCTCGAGCCAATATGGAGGTGGCACGCCCGTCTTGCCCTCGAATGCATCCATGATGACCAGCATGGGAATGGGAATGGGCAGCCTGTCGTCGTATCCCTCAAAGGCAGCGCTTTGGCTGAAGTAAGTTGAGCATTGTTATTACCCAAACGAATCGCAACTAACTTAATGTCTTTTATGATGTAAATACACAGCTCCTCCGCGAATGGAATGGTGACATCCTGTGCTGCCTCCTCAGCGCCCATTGTCTCCAGTGGCAGCAGTACTCGACCGACGCCGCCGCTGCTCAATTGCACGCCGGGCATGGGAATGGGAATTGGTCTGGGAGCGGCGGGCCTGTCTGCGGCAAGGAGTTCTTGCAATACGATTTCGCCTCACCCATCCATTCCCCCAACTGCCAATCCGTCATCGTACTTCCCAGCATCGTCGCCATCGCCTGCCGCCATATCCTCAGCCAGCTCTTCGGCCTCGCAATTGCCGATGGTGTCGCACTCAATGAGCAGTATTGTGACAACGACAGCGGTTGCCACGCCCACCACGTCCTCCGCCCCATCCATGGTACAACAGCCGGGAGTAGCAAGCGGTGCCAGTGGCAGTACAAGCACGTCGGCGCATCCCTTTTCCGCCGAATCTCTGTTTCAGCCAAGCAAAAGTATGTTTTTCTGCAAACAAAAAAATCCATTTTATGAATATATTTCATATATATATATATTCTTTTGCAGACGATCAAGCCGATTTGCTGCGTCGCGAGCTGGACAGCAGGTTCCTGGATCGCTCGGGATTATCAGTGGCGGCTCCCACGCCGCCCACGTCGACATACTTGCGGCCGCCCGAGCTACAGCAGCCGCAGCAGCAGCAGCCACCACCGCCGCCGCCGCCGCCGCATCATCATCACCAGCACCAGCACACGCATCTGCATCAGCACCAGCAGCTGCTGCCACCGCCACAGGCATCAGCGGCAGCGGCAGCAGCAGCAGCGGCGGCCTCGACTGTACAACCAAATCCGGGACAAATCTTTCCGCCGCCCCTATTCAAGGACATTTCGAAAATGTCGGGCGTGGATCCGCAATTCTACCGCTCGGCGGGGGGCATGGGCTTGCCAACCGGAGGAGGTTATGCGGGATATGCCGCCACCGGGCTCCTGCACAGCGGATTGGGCGGGCCAACGCCGTTTATGCCGCCCAACCATTTAACATCCTTTGCGCCCAAGGTAAGAAATGTTTAAATATTTATTTTCAAAAGTATGGCATCGAAATATATTCTAGTTGTAGCTAAGTATTAAGTCTAAGGTGTATAACTATCCAATAATTATATTCATTTAATTTGATTAATTTGTTATTTTAAAAAGTTTAAAGTAATTATATTTTTATTTAAAATGTTTAATTTGTTATATAAAAAAATTAAATTAATTTAATTTTTATTTAAAATATTTAATTTCTTATTTTAACAAGTTTAAAATAATTAAATTGTCATTTAAAATGATTAATTTGTTATTTTAAAAAGTTTAAAGTAATGTTTATAACTAAATCCTATTTTAAGAATGAAAGGCCAACAAACTAAAGTCTGTCGATCCCTAAGCTTAACGGTAATCTAAAACGAAAGAGGGTTGCTGATAAAGAAAGAGAAGGAGAGTGTAACAGACAGAGGCAAAGAGAGAGAGAGAGAGAGACAGACAGAGAGAAAAATGCAGAGATAAAGATAAATCTAACATCCCGTTTTACAGTACCATTCGATGCTTAACAGTATATTTAATAGCACTCTGTTATTGTTTTAAGTTCTGTTAAATTACAGGAAGGTGGGAAATCGATTCGCTGAACGACTTGTTTTAACTTGCGATTATCTTTTCCGGTTTTCCGGAATTATTATTTTATTATTTGATTTAATCGAATTCAAAATCGATCATAGCTTAAAAAAAAAAAAAAAAAAAAAGAAAAAAAAAACACTCGGAAAGCTTTTTTTTTTTTTTTTTTTAATTTGTTTCAAGTTTGTTTGCATTGCTCGATTGTCTCGGATATTGATGATAATCAATATAATATAAAATTTATAAGACCGGCAGTGACCCTAAAATGATAATAAATAAAGAAATAATTCAATATATTTATTGTCAATTAAAATATGATTCCAGAAAACTGGCCGTTGGAATGCCATGCATGTTCGAATCGCGTGGGAAATATATTATCACCAAAACAAGCAAAGCTCGGACAAATCCGGAGGCTGTCCTCCGGCGTCTTCTAGTCTTCTTGGCAACAGTAGTTCCAGTGTGAACCCAGCATCATCTGCGATCAACGCGCCAATTGCTGCCGGCAACCTGCTTAGCAGCGGAGGCGGAGGAAGCGTTAGTGGTGGGGCCAACACATCAGTTAATAATGTTGCATCTGGCCCAGTTGTTGGCAGTGGCAGTGCTCCCGGTGGTCCTGGTGTTGGTGGTGGTGTCGTTGTGTCCAACGGACAGACTTCAGTCTCGGCCATTGGTATTAAGACGACGCCAGCGCTATCCATAAATACAACACCACAGCATCTCCTGCATCGTGCGAACGAAATGCCGCCCGCGGCCGCATTCGCCAGTGCTTTGCCCGGCAGATCTCCGTTTGAAGCCTCTCCCCTGGCAGCGAGCTTCATTGGTGCGCCACCTAGTCATATTGGTAGGTAGTCGTGTCTTTGCATTTTCAAAAAATATAAACCGTCACTTTAACGCCTTTGTAATGGACAGGAACAGCTGTGTCTCAGTTCGGACGCTATGTGACTCCCTTCGGATTCACAGGCCTAACGCATTTCGGTGGACATTTGGACTCGTGGAGGTGAGGTTTACAAGAAATATAGAATTTTTATACACCATTTAAAAATATTTATTCATTTTATTCATTCCACTTTTTCCCGCTTTCCTTTAGGACAAATGCCATGCAACGGAGTGTCGCCTATCATCCATCGAGTGCTTTGGCTTCCCCAAACTGGCCCATCAAGGCGGATCCCGGCCTGGACAATGCCCGACGCGAGGCCGAGGAACGTGAACGAGAGCTGCGCGAGCGTGAGCAGCGGGAACGTGACCGGCAGCGACGCGAGCGAGAGGAGCGCGAGCGTAAGGAGAAGGAAGAGAAACTGAAGCGAGAGCACCAAGAGCGGGAGAGGGAGCGTGAGCGAGATCGCAAGGAGCGGGAGCGGGAGCGAAGGGAGATAGAGCGGCGTGAGATGGAACGGGAGCGGCTCCTGCAGCAGCAGCGGATAAATGAAAGCAACAAGCAGGCAGCGGCGGCACAAGCGGCGGCAGCGGCGGCTGCCTCTGCAGCGCCCGTGCGTGACCGGTCGCCGCATCGAAACGTGGGCGAACTTAATACAGAAATTCGCATCAAGGAGGAGCATCCGCGGCCAACAAAGGACGAACAGGATGTAATGCTAATGCGTGCCTCGGCCGTTGCTGTGGGCGGAGATCCCCGCTATCACTCATCTTCGCTGGCAGCCGCTCAGGCAAATGCCGCAGCTGCGGCTGCCCATCACCATCATCATGCCAACTTCATGGCCGCCAGTCGACATGGCTTGGCACCGCCCCCGCCATCGCATTTGGCCCGCACCATGATGCCGCCCACCCTGAGTGTCGGCGGCCCCATCACGCACTTCAGTGCCCCCGCACCGCCTGGTTGGGGCATAGATCCCTACCGCGATGCATACCCCATCCTGCGCTACAATCCCATCATGGAGGCGGCCCTGCGCCACGAAGCGGAAGAGCGACAAAAGGCGATCAATATCTATGCCGCCCAATCTGCCGCCCATTTGCGGGGCAAGGAGCCAAGCCCCATTCCGCCGCCGCCAGTTGGTGTGGGTGGTGCCCTGGGTCCACCGCCGTCCCATCACCGCCTGCAGATTGTTTCGCCTCAGAGCCAACAGCAGCAGCAGCAGCAACAGTTGCAACAACCTGCTGGAAAGGCGAACGCTGGACCTTCGTCGGTGGCGGTAGCACCTCCACCATCAATCGTAGGCATTCCAGTCCAGCACATGATGAGCGTCGATGCGTTGAGTCAACAGCAGCAGCAAGGAGTAGTTAACACGAAAAAGGAATCGACCGACCATACAACGTCCATGGGTGGCATGGTGGTGGGCGGTGCTGCCGGCGGAGGTGGTGGAGGCGGAGGCGGAGGAGGTGGTGGTCTTAGTACAGTAGTACCTGGTGGTGTAATAGGAATATCTCCAGTGTCATCAGTGGCGCCAAGTCGATGATAAGCGAATTATAAACGCAGCCTCTAACCTCGGACTAAGTTATAATAACAGTGTACTAGCGAATAAGCCGAAGAGGAAATTTTCAAAATTTCAAAGATAGAGCTGGTGGTAAAAGCACTTCGATGACTTTACAGGTAAACACATCGATCTTCAGCTCTACCTTGTCCTGATTCCTGGTTCCCCTTTCTACCTGTCTACCTGCCTTCCTGCCTTCATTCCTTCATTCCTTCACCTCTACACCCCCGTCGCAGCCAGAGAGAACACCAATAAATAAATAAAGCGAAACGCTTTTGTAAACTAAATTTAAATAAAATACGACCTTTGAATGCAGGTATTTTGAGAAGGAAAGTCAAAAGAAAAGCAAGAAACTAGGAATAGTGAGAGAGAGAGAGAGAAATTAATCAAATTAAATGAGGTAAAGACTTCCTTGTACTTCACACACGACACACCTAGAGTTTTCAGTCCCAAGGCACAACAAGCACCATCACTGATCCCCCCCCCCACACACATACATTACCTTCCTCTCGACTCGCATAAATCTTGTCTCGCTTGGTGACGTCACACATAAGTAATATAATGATAAACCTTACTTATTTATAATAAATACAAAAAATGACTAGCATAAACGAAAGCAAAAACAAACTTAAGTTGGCAAAACATTTAGTTCTAGTTCTAGTGTATTTGTATTATTTGTATAATATATATATATAAATATATATATATATATATAGGGTTAAGAAGAACGAACAGCCAAGCGGCAGACATAATTCGATCGATTGTAAATAAATAATATATAAATATAGAAATATAAACATATTCGACAAAAAAGGAACTCATGATGTACTCTACTTAGCTATACGACGACATCAACATGCAGCTTATGGACATCCAAACTTATGATGACGATGCAATGATACATAACTGTAATGTATATTCTGTGACAGCTTCATTCCCTTCGTGCATTACATGTTTAAGGACTTATTATCACATATGCAATTTATGTAAAAAATGAGAAAAATTAATAATAGAATCATTACAAAAACTACTACAAAAGCAACTGTCAAACCGTTTTTACTGCTTGGGGGGGGTTTGTTGTTCAAATGCTTTTGTTGTAAAAATATTTCTTCATTTTCTGGGTTTCAGGATTTACTTTGGTGCCACAACCCTTATAATAATAACTAATTACAATCAAAAAATAATAATTAAATAATGAATTAAATAAAAAATCACTCACTTGACACTATAATTCCCAACTAGTTCTAGCATCTTCCAAGGGGTAACCCAGCTTCATGTTGAGGGTGAGGTGGTGTGGTTGAGTGGTATTGTTGATGTGTGGTAGTGGTTACTGGTTACTGGTTACTCTCTCCTAAAGGAGCGTGTGTGTGATTGGTTCTGTGAGCATGGGAAAGTGCAAGTTGTTGCTTTCTTTCCGTCGTAAAGCGAGAGAGAGAGAGAGAGAAAATAAGCAGATATCATCGGAGAGGCTTTGAGATCAAAGGGAAATTACGGATATTGAGGCGGGACCTAGAGAAATGTAAGTATGCAAAATATATATATATTTTTAGCTTAAAGATCTTGTTAATATTAACATTAAACAATGTTTAAACTAGAAACTTTTAGGCAATGTGAAATAGTTAGACTTGAAAGACAAGGCCAACAATGCTGATTTTTATACCCCTGTATTTCTGGCTTAGTTATTACATTTTGAAGCTTTAGATTATCCAATAATTATCATATTAAAGTTATCGATACATTTACAATTTAAAACCCTTGTAAAGGGTTCATTTCCAACCCTATAAATCACATCTCTCTCAGCATCCACAGATGATATTTCCACAAATATGCCCAAGGCAACCTTTACCGTGAACCCAGATTTAAGATACTATATTATATATATATACATATTCAATTTTTATTTAAGTACCATTCTCTGTATTTAAATTGTATAATACATAAAGCTGAACGCGCTTTTAATATTTATTTTAGCGTACTCCCATTTGGTTATCTATTATACATTAAACCCTTTTTTACACAATTTCTTTTACATTGTTCGTATATTCAAGCATTATATTATTCCAAAATAATTAAAAAAAAGCATTGTATTTGACGAATTTAAATTATTATTACACATAATTGTTTGATTGCAAATTACCCTCCAATTGTAACAATTTTTACTTCACTGATTTTATCTTAAAAGGAAAATTAAACATTGGGTAATTACGTTTGGGTTAAAAATAAGCGTGATTCCTTTTTTTTTTTGTATTGCTTCCTTTTGTTTTTTTTTTTCTTCTTTGAGTAATTTCTAAATCTTAATGTTTAATTAATGGCTTTTAACTTTAATCAGTTTAAACGAGGTAATTGAGAATCATATCTCGTTAAATGTCGAATTTCTTATTATTATTCTTCTGCATTAATATATTTAAAATTCAATTTACTTACCATTTAAAACAAAATGGGATCGTAAATCAGGAAACCGAACGGAGATCTTCAAATAAATCGATTTTATGCCCTTGCAGTGGGTATTATTATTTGTCTGTTGTCTTGAATTATATTTTATACATACGCTGAATAAGTTTAAAACCACATGTGAATATTGGATGAAAGTCCTAGGCACGACCAACACAAATATGAATAATTATTGTATTTATATTTATAATTATAATTATTTTATAATTTATTTCTTTTAAAAAGGGACAACCTGGTCGATCTAGCTATGCCCATTTCCTCCGTCTATCTGTTTGTCCTAACCGAAAAAAAAAACAAAGTCCCTGAAACTAAAGCCTTAGGAAATCTAAGTAACCTATAAATAATCTTTTTATTTCACTGTAGAAATTAATCGGATAAATATATATTCCAAGTGTCTAGAATGCGGATACATTTGCTCCTTTCTTTTGGGAATATGCCGACCGAAGAGCAGATTACCCTTTAAAATTTTAATAAATTATTTAAGTAAAATAAATCCCATTCCATTTAAATTTAATACTGATGTATAATATTAAAATATAGTACATATTTTATATATTTTTCTGTGCTGCTTTTAATAAATATCAATCTAAACGACTTCATTCAAAGATCCTTTTCACATAGCACAACTTTTCAAGAACAAGTCCTTTTTAAGTTGCATTTTTTATATTTTATTATATAATTTACGAACTCTAGTTTTGGCATTGTAATTTTGAAAATACATTCGGCATTTATAATTAGTTTAAAAAGACTAGTTCTTTTATTCTAAAATTGGGGGTCATAGTTTTTTAATTTTTGAAATTATTATTCATGTAATTTGTCGTGCTCTTAGGTTATCACATGTATCATCAGCACACAATATTTCATACTTTTCTGCCAATCATGTTGCTAACAGTGAAGATTTTAAAAAGATTTTGAATTTTACTTATTCAGTATTGAAATTGCTTGGAAATTTGTTCGATATACAAAAACAAAACATTGACTTATCGCACATATGTATATGTAAAGCAACGTTAAAATATAGATTCCTATATAGACCGATATTTTAATACCTTTTCCATCCCTAATGCGTATTGATTTCTGTGTCCAAGACGCTTGGAAATGATACCGGAAAGACAGTTGGTAATGGTAATCAGGTATGTAAATATATGTTCTTAAGGATTGGATTTTTATTAATTTCTGCGCCACAGATAATAATAATACCCTTTACAAGAGTGTACAGACAAAATGCATAAATATCGCTTTACTTGACTCAAAATTGTATTTACATACTAGTTTTGGATACACTGCTTTTGAAATATTCTTTTTTTTTTAGTTTTTATTTTTTCTCCAATGTTTTTTTTTTTTTTTTTTTTTGTATTTTATTTTATTTTAATAGTTGGTTGATTTGCGAAAGCAGACTTAAACTCAAATATCATATAAAAATATGCCTAATATAGTTAATATCTAAATAATAATTGTTTAAAATTACTGACTTGATAGAATGAAAAAAAATGATATAATCATAATTATAATTAAATTCAGTGAAACTTGGCTGAAATTTGTGTTTGATTTATGTTCTTTGTGCGCCTAAGAACGACTCAAAGCTCCCAAGACAACAGCTGATCTCGTTTTTCCTTCATTTCTTATACATCTTCAGTTGAGCTTTTTCAACGCTCTCTCAGTTACATTCAAAGAACGGGGGAGAGAGAGCGACTCTGTTGAGCGCTCGCACAGAGAGAGAGAGAGAGAGTTGATAGATGAGCGTAAAGCCCACAATCTAAGATGGCAAGTCGTTTATGCCACAAGATCTCCCGAAATCAAGTTAATCATTACGATTCCTCAAAGAATTGTGTTCAATTTACATGTGTGTGTGTGTGTGGAGATTAAAGCGAAGCCAACTAGCTGCCTAGTTAGATCATGTGCAACTGCTGCTGTTCGAGCTTAAAAGTCGCCGCCGCATTGCTCAGGAGGTGAAAAGGCACGCTAGCAGCATCCAGTGATGGCGGCGACGCTGCCGCCGCGGCTGCCGTCGCTGGACTATTGCTGCCGCTGGTACTTGCGATTCCGGCCTTTAGCTGCATCGTATTGAGCGATACGTCGTGCTGCTGATGCTGTTGAGATGGAGGATGATGTGATGTTACAATAGCCGGCGCTGGCGCTGCCGCCAGTGTCCCTGAGTTTGTCGTTGTGATGATTATGTTGCCTGCATGCGAGGCTCCGCGTCCGCGCTTTCGTTTCGGTAGAATTCCCTTGCGAGCCATGTAGAAGCGAATGGTGGAGACTGGAATATTGAACATATTGCTGACGGTCTGGAATGTCTCGCCCTTTGAAACACACTTGGCCGCTTGTGCCAGCGATGCTTCCGAGCGCCGGACCCGCTTATACGAGGTGTAACCATCGACTGAGTTGGATAGCAGCCCCATGGAGGCATTCGTTAGCGATGTGTCATGTGGCTCCGTTTCTGTCATGCTGAGCGACAGGCAGGATCCACCGCCCTTGGCCCCGCCTGTTGTGAAACTATTGTCATTATCCTCGACATCATTAACGGCCACATAATTGTGGTCATCTTCAATCGCAGTGTCCATATATTGCTGCTGCTGCTGCAGCTGCAGCTGCTGCTGATGATGAAGCTGAAGTTGTGCTCTGCAAAGGGATATAAGAAGGTTGTGGTTCAGTCTATGTCTGGTGCGATCGCTAGAGGATCTTTCCCTTTTACCCACCTCGGTTGCTGTAAATACGCGACATTCGTTCTGCTGCTGTTGGCCAGTGGCGCGCCAGCGGATGCATTATAATCCTCAAAATGATCTCTGTAGGCATTCCAATTGTTAGACACCTCATCGGCCGACTCATCTTCGGTGGGTGCATTCGAGTTGCTGCCCAGACCGGGTGCCGAGGAGGCGCATTGTTGAGCATTGTTAGTGCCATTGATTTGATGGTGTCGTTGGCGCGCCTCCTTGATAATCTGTTGCTGCTGCTGCTGCTGTTTGGATGTCAGGACTGGAGGGGTGGTGGTCGTTGAGGTTGACGTTGTTGTTGAGTTAGTGGCTGCATCGTCCACGGCATCGGTACTATCCACACGGCTGGCCAAAGTGGGTGCTTCCTGCTTGGTCTGAGCCTGCTGGAGCTGCTTGTAATTTATCGTTGCCTCTGAACCGTATAGGCCACGAATCCTCAGCTGTTCGGCACAGCGGAGCAACTGTCCCAGCCCGGCCTGTGTGACATTCACCTCGCCTTTGTACATGAAATCGACAAGCGCCTGGATTTCCCAGAGCTTAATCTCTCGTGGCAATATAATCACGGGATGCTTGCAGGGATGCTCGGCTAGTATGGTCTCGAAGTAGGTGGAGCAGGCGGCCAGCACTAGACGGTGACATTGCAGCTGATGGCCCTCGCAGGCCAGCGTCACATCCACGAATCTCTGACCGGCCAAGAGCTGGGGAAAGGCGGCACCGATGCTACCCAAATGACTGTTCCAGCGCACGCAAAACTCTTGCGTGACGGCGCTCATTGCGTTTGAAGAGAACTTTTGTATCTGCTTTTGTTAGCTGTTATCTTAATATAAGCTCTATGAAACTTTAGTCCTTGTGATATTCACCTGTTATAAAAAAAAACAGATATTACTAAGGAATTCTGGAATTGTAAGGGGTTAATGGATACGTACATACTTGGTGCAAAGTGCAACACGGAAATCTTGAGTACTTGTTGCCTCCGGCTTTGGCTTTAATTTCAATTATTTCTCTGCAAATTGAAAATTTAAACATTTAAAAATTAAAATTAAAAAATTAAGATTCCAGAATATTTACTTTTTAAATTTAAAAAATTTAAATGAATTGCTAGTTCATTAAAATAAATCACTGCAACTCTTTTTTATGACCCTAAAACATTAACGTTAAAATTAAATCTAGTTTTTTACTTCAATCCGATTTCCTCAATCGCCAATAAGGCTCATTTTAATGCCAGTAGTTAAAAAATATTCTTATTAACTCAATTCACTTGAAGAATAACGCTTTGTTATTATTTGTATCAGGCACCGACTGGGGAGCTTTATGTATTAAAATGCTTACCGGTACTTGAATCTCCCCCTTAACCCTCTATCAAAAATAATGTTTTAATAACTATGTACCCCCAGGTGCCTGAGAAGGGTTAAGGTTTTGTGTTTGTAAACTCAATCCCGAGCATCAGCTCGCTGGCGCCACCTATCAAAACATAACGCTTCGATCCAGGTTCTAAGGGAACACTGATGTACATTTCTTTAAAGTTTAAACATTAAAGAACCTTTTGAAAAAGTCGTTCTCTAAACAATCTTGTTTATAACAATAAGACATTTTTTGCTGTGCCTGAAGGAGCGGAGCACCAAAACAATAAATGCGAAAATGCACACACATACAAACACATGTTTATACATACACACGCATGTGTTTGAGTCGGTGAGGTCCCGAGCTCTAATAAGAGAGCGAAAAAGAACCAAAAACAAATAAAGTTCTGCACGGCGGCTCAGGCTCAGTAGTTAATAAAAATAAACAAATAGAGGTTTGGAATACACTGCATTTATCCGCAATGTACATGCGTACTTTCAATGGCCTGGCCTGTCTGTATGTATGCATAGGTAAGCACTTTTTATCGTTTCCATTCCTTCTATATTTAGTGTAAAGGATGTGGATGTGTGCTCTTGCAGAAATAGATGTATTCATAAATACATACCTGTTTTGTAGAAAGAATGGTACGTTTTCTGCCTTCTGAGTTCTGAGCAAGGAGCGAGGCCGTTTTTGGCGTTAACAATTTGCAGTTTTGAGTTTTAGGTGTGGGGTGAAAACAATTTGCAACTTAGGCGTCATGCGGACCTTTCACGCAAACTACATACAAATGTCCTGTGCGCGTGAGCTACCAACGCCTGGGTCTTTTTGTTTAATAAAAGAACTACACTGGCATGAGTCACACACACATACATGATGGCACATACATAAGTGGTTAAAAAGATTCTATTGATTTTTCTTATTAGTTTAAGGGGTCTGCATGCTATTCAAAGGCATTATTTCGAAAATGTTCATTCATATGCGATGCTGCGCGCGGTTTTGTCATTTTCAGTGGCGTGGCGGCTAAACAATCACCAATTGACACTTACTGGAACCAAAATAAACAAGAAGCGCATGTGTTGAAACAGTGCTCGGAACTAACTTTTATGCACCTTTTTTAAGTCGCGTTATTTCCAATTAAATTTAAATGGAGAAATTAAAATTTGCTTTCGCGCTGCCAACTTCTTTTATAATCATTGTTATTTAAAAAACGCGTTAGGGATTCTGACATCTAGACAATTATAGTTATCGATGGTCGGCACTATCGATATAGGTTCGGGATGAAATATTTTTTACTTTATTGTGTTTGCTGTTATTTTTTCTTAATCAGTGTTATTACCACCTTTTTTTTATAATAAAAGTCTACATTTTTGTATATTACCGATTACAGATTACCACTCGATTATCGATACTAAAGTATCGATAGGAGTGGGGATTTTTCAGGGCACTGGTATCGTGACTCGCACACCCCTATCTTTCAGTCGTCCGAATAGTTAAACAATGAATTATGTGTGTTTGAGTTAAATAAGAATTAAATTTGTAATCTGCTTCTGTGTGCTCGCTCAGTCGCCGTCAAGCAACAAAGCGACGTTTTCGTGTATGTACGTTTAAGAATACATGCAAACCGATAATTTGTGCAATAAATACACAGTTAAATGCAACGCATATTTTGTGTAAAACAAAGAGAAATTTAATGTTTTTGTTTTTGCCGTAGACTCGTTTTTCGTTTTCTTCGGTCAATGTATTTGTGCAGTTAATTTTTTTTTCAAGTAACCATTACGTGTTTATGTGGCAAACTGCAAATGTATGGTATACATGTGTGTTTTTTCCGATACAGATTAGACACATATGCAAAGGTGAAAGTTCAATTAATTGTGGTGCATTTATTTATTTTGGGCTGTACAGCAGTTGAAGCGCAAATTAATTAATTGTACTTGTGCCGTGCCGCTGAATAAACGAGAGCAAACTTTTGTGTACCTGTGTGTGTGTGAGTGAATGACTAATTCTTCAAAGCACAACTCAACATGGCTGACTTTAACTGTGGTGGGCAGACGGTATATCGCTGCCTCTTTTCTTCTCAAGCACTAGATTCACTCTCGCCTCGGCACAAAAAAAGTTCTGTGAATTTCTCCACTGGAACCCCAAAGGCAGAATTGTGCATATTTTATCGCCGTTGAACGGAAGGAATGCCTTGATAATGATTTGGAGTTTTTACCAGCTTAACATATGTGTTTATATCTCTATGTTCCATTTAAGGGCGTTTCTTCTTGTTATCTCCAGTTTCGACTTTTTTCATTTGGTGACGCTGTCACTTTCCATCACCAAAAGTAGAATTGACGCCTTTAATTTCGTGTTCTCAATCACATTACACGCTTTTAATATGCTCATTAAAATCTTTTCTATTCAGTTGGAAGAGTCCGTGTCCAGGAAAACAAGTAACTAATTGAATCGAAACAAAGACGTGAAAGAAAACAAAGCAATCGAGATATAATATTTGATCGAATCAAAAAACAAAAAAAGAAAAGTGTGAAGCACATCTTAACAAAATCATCATCACCTACCAGCATTGCTTGTGCAGCCCGCTAAGATGACGCAACCGTTGCCCATTCGTTTTCAGGAGCACTTACAGGTAAGTTTCGGTACCGGTTGACCGGTTTTCATAAATCTAATAAATGTAGAGTGCATTGTATGGGCAGAAGAGGGTGCATTTGAGGTACACCTTTTGAGTGGGGAACGCGTTGCAGCAACTTGTTGAGTTCCTGCTTACAGTAACTTCACAGAAACAATATTGTAGGAATTTAGGAATTTTATGTAGAATTTAAATAAAGGAATATGGGGGAATGAGTGGTTTTCATTGTATAAATTCTTGACTATTTTAAAAATATATAATTTAAGATTTATTTAATTTTCTCTCAAAAACTAGAAACTAATCGTATTATGCTTCCATTTTGTAGCTCACAAATGTTGGAATCAACGCCAATTCCTTCTCCTTTAGCACGCTCACAATGGAGTCGGACAAGTTCATATGCGTGCGGGAGAAGGTTAACGATACCAACCAGGTGGTCATCATTGATATGAACGATGCCACCAATCCCACTCGCCGTCCCATATCAGCTGATTCGGCAATTATGAATCCAGCTAGCAAGGTTATTGCGCTCAAAGGTAAATTATAAAATTTGTAAACTTGTAAATAAAATAGTTTTAATAATATATTTAGCCTCGAAACCCTTCCCAAACTAATTCATTTATCAATTTTATACATGAGCTAATAATAATAGTGATAATATTTATTTATCAAATCCAAAACTTGATGTATTCTTAAATGTTACCCCGCTCTTTTCGTATTTAGCCCAAAAGACGTTGCAGATCTTTAACATTGAAATGAAATCGAAAATGAAGGCTCATACAATGAACGAGGATGTTGTGTTCTGGAAATGGATATCCCTGAATACCCTGGCTCTTGTCACGGAAACGAGCGTATTCCATTGGTCAATGGAGGGCGATTCGATGCCACAGAAGATGTTTGATCGCCACTCCTCCCTTAACGGATGTCAAATTATCAATTATCGATGCAATGCATCACAGCAATGGCTGCTTCTCGTGGGCATATCGGCGCTCTCGAGTCGCGTTGCCGGCGCCATGCAGCTGTATTCCGTGGAACGTAAGGTTTCCCAGGCCATCGAGGGTCATGCCGCTAGCTTTGCCACCTTTAAGCTGGACGGCAACAAGGAGCCAACGACGCTGTTCTGCTTCGCTGTTCGCACCTCAAGCGGCGGCAAGCTGCACATCATTGAGGTGGGAACACCGCCAACCGGTAACCAGGCCTTTCCCAAGAAAGCCGTCGATGTATTCTTCCCGCCGGAAGCCCTCAATGATTTCCCCGTGGCAATGCAAGTGTCGGCCAAGTATGATACCATCTATTTGATAACCAAATATGGATATATTCATCTGTACGATATGGAAACTGCGACGTGCATCTACATGAATCGTATATCGGCCGATACGATTTTTGTGACGGCACCGCACGAGGCCAGTGGCGGCATCATTGGCGTCAATCGCAAGGGTCAGGTGCTATCGGTGACCGTTGACGAGGAGCAGATCATTCCGTACATCAATACGGTTCTGCAGAATCCCGATCTGGCGCTGCGTATGGCTGTTCGGAATAATTTGGCCGGAGCCGAGGATCTGTTTGTGCGAAAGTTCAATAAGCTCTTTACCGCCGGCCAGTATGCCGAGGCGGCCAAGGTGGCTGCACTGGCTCCGAAGGCCATATTGCGTACCCCGCAAACGATTCAGCGTTTCCAGCAGGTCCAGACGCCGGCGGGTTCCACCACGCCGCCATTGCTGCAATATTTTGGCATTCTGCTCGATCAGGGAAAGCTGAACAAGTTCGAGTCCCTGGAGCTCTGCCGCCCCGTTTTGCTGCAGGGCAAGAAGCAGCTGTGCGAGAAGTGGCTGAAGGAGGAGAAGCTCGAGTGCAGCGAGGAGCTGGGTGACCTGGTGAAGGCATCGGATTTGACGCTGGCCCTCTCCATTTACCTGCGTGCCAATGTGCCGAACAAGGTGATCCAATGTTTTGCGGAGACGGGACAGTTCCAGAAGATTGTCCTCTATGCCAAGAAGGTGAACTACACGCCGGACTATGTTTTCCTGCTGCGCTCAGTTATGCGCAGCAATCCGGAGCAGGGAGCCGGCTTTGCCTCCATGCTGGTGGCCGAGGAGGAACCCCTGGCGGACATTAATCAAATTGTGGATATCTTCATGGAGCACACGATGGTGCAGCAGTGCACAGCCTTCCTGCTGGATGCCTTGAAGCACAATCGACCGGCTGAGGGTGCCCTGCAGACGCGGCTCCTCGAAATGAACTTGATGTCGGCACCGCAAGTGGCTGATGCCATTCTGGGCAACGCCATGTTCACCCACTACGATCGCGCCCACATTGCCCAGTTGTGCGAGAAGGCTGGACTCTTGCAGCGTGCCCTGGAGCACTACACGGATCTGTATGACATCAAGCGGGCCGTTGTCCACACGCACATGCTGAACGCCGAGTGGCTGGTCAGCTTCTTTGGCACCCTCTCCGTGGAGGACTCTTTGGAGTGCCTCAAGGCGATGCTAACGGCCAATTTGCGTCAAAATCTGCAAATCTGTGTCCAGATTGCCACTAAATACCACGAACAGCTGACGACCAAGGCGCTGATTGATCTCTTTGAGGGCTTCAAGAGCTACGACGGCCTGTTCTACTTCCTGAGCAGCATCGTCAACTTCTCGCAGGACCCCGAGGTGCACTTCAAGTACATTCAGGCCGCCTGCAAGACGAATCAAATCAAGGAGGTGGAGCGCATTTGCCGCGAGTCCAATTGCTACAATCCCGAGCGGGTTAAGAACTTCCTGAAGGAGGCCAAGCTGACCGATCAGCTGCCGCTGATCATCGTCTGCGATCGCTTTGACTTTGTTCACGACCTGGTGCTCTATCTCTACCGGAATAATCTGCAAAAGTATATCGAGATTTATGTGCAGAAGGTGAATCCCTCCCGCCTGCCCGTCGTTGTGGGCGGTCTGCTCGATGTCGATTGCAGCGAGGATATCATCAAGAATCTGATTCTGGTGGTCAAGGGTCAGTTCTCAACGGACGAGCTGGTTGAGGAGGTGGAGAAGCGCAATCGCCTCAAGCTGCTGCTGCCCTGGCTGGAGTCGCGCGTCCACGAGGGCTGCATTGAGCCGGCCACGCACAATGCATTGGCCAAGATCTACATTGATTCGAACAACAATCCGGAGCGATTCCTCAAGGAGAATCAGTACTACGATAGCCGTGTTGTGGGACGCTACTGCGAGAAGCGGGATCCCCATCTCGCCTGTGTGGCCTACGAGCGGGGATTGTGCGATCGCGAGCTGATTGCCGTTTGCAACGAGAATTCGCTGTTCAAGAGCGAGGCCCGCTATCTAGTCGGACGTCGCGATGCTGAGCTCTGGGCCGAGGTCCTGTCCGAGGCCAATCCCTACAAGCGCCAGCTGATCGATCAGGTTGTCCAGACGGCGCTCTCCGAGACGCAGGATCCCGACGACATCTCGGTGACTGTGAAGGCCTTCATGACCGCCGACTTGCCAAACGAACTGATCGAGTTGCTTGAGAAGATTATACTGGACTCGTCGGTGTTCAGCGATCATCGGAATCTGCAGAACCTACTGATTCTGACCGCCATTAAGGCGGATCGCACCCGCGTCATGGACTACATCAATCGATTGGACAACTACGATGCCCCGGATATAGCCAACATTGCGATCAGCAACCAGCTGTACGAGGAGGCCTTTGCCATCTTCAAGAAGTTCGATGTGAACACCTCCGCCATCCAGGTGCTCATCGATCAGGTGAACAATCTGGAACGGGCCAATGAGTTCGCCGAGCGATGCAATGAGCCGGCCGTGTGGTCTCAGCTGGCCAAGGCCCAGCTGCAGCAGGGACTGGTCAAGGAGGCCATCGATTCGTACATCAAGGCCGACGATCCGAGTGCCTATGTGGATGTCGTTGATGTGGCCAGCAATGTTGAGTCGTGGGACGATCTCGTCCGGTATCTGCAAATGGCCCGCAAGAAGGCCCGCGAGAGTTACATTGAGAGCGAGCTGATTTATGCCTACGCCCGTACGGGACGCCTGGCCGATCTGGAGGAGTTCATATCGGGTCCGAACCATGCCGATATCCAGAAGATTGGCGATCGCTGCTTCAGCGATGGAATGTACGATGCCGCCAAGCTGCTGTACAACAACGTTAGCAACTTTGCCCGTCTGGCCATCACGCTGGTGTATCTGAAGGAGTTCCAGGGAGCCGTCGACTCGGCGCGAAAGGCCAACTCGACGCGCACCTGGAAGGAGGTGTGCTTCGCCTGCGTCGATGCTGAGGAGTTCCGATTGGCCCAGATGTGCGGATTGCACATTGTGGTTCATGCCGATGAGCTGGAGGATTTGATTAATTATTATCAGAATCGCGGACACTTTGATGAATTGATTGCCCTGCTGGAGTCTGCTCTGGGCCTGGAAAGAGCCCACATGGGCATGTTCACGGAGCTGGCCATTCTCTATTCTAAATTCAAGCCGTCGAAAATGCGCGAACATTTGGAGCTGTTCTGGTCGCGAGTCAACATACCGAAGGTTTTGCGTGCCGCCGAGTCGGCACATTTGTGGTCAGAGCTGGTCTTCCTTTACGACAAGTACGAGGAATATGACAATGCCGTTCTGGCCATGATGGCCCATCCCACGGAGGCGTGGCGTGAGGGCCACTTCAAGGACATTATCACCAAGGTGGCCAACATTGAGCTCTACTACAAGGCAATTGAGTTTTATTTGGACTTCAAGCCGTTGCTATTGAACGACATGCTCCTGGTCCTGGCGCCCCGCATGGACCACACTCGTGCCGTTGGCTACTTCTCGAAAACCGGCTATTTGCCGCTAGTCAAGCCCTATCTGCGCTCAGTCCAATCTCTCAACAACAAGGCAATCAATGAAGCCCTCAATGGACTACTGATCGACGAAGAGGACTACCAGGGACTGCGTAACTCGATCGATGGCTTTGACAACTTCGATAACATCGCATTGGCCCAAAAGCTGGAGAAGCATGAACTTACGGAATTCCGCCGCATCGCTGCCTACTTGTACAAGGGTAAGTGGCAAACACAATCATCGATTCTATAAACTAAATTACTTTTGATGTTAGGCAATAACCGCTGGAAACAGAGCGTTGAGCTCTGCAAAAAGGATAAACTCTACAAGGATGCTATGGAATATGCCGCCGAGTCGGGCAAGCAGGATATTGCCGAGGAGTTGCTGGGCTGGTTCCTAGAGCGCGATGCCTACGATTGCTTTGCAGCATGTCTATATCAGGTAAGGCTTACAAATATTTATTGATAATAAGAATGTAAAAGTAGAAGAGCTGGGGAAAAAATATATGAAAATAAAAAACGATTAAAATCGAAAATTGAAATAATTACAATCGGGTTTTTCGATTTTAATCTATTTATTTTTAGATTTTTTAAGAGAGTTGGAAAATCCCGATTGTAATTATTAAAATTTTCGATTTATTTTTAGATTAATTATTTTTAATCGATTATATGCAAAGTCTATCAAAAACTCTTTGATTTTCTTGAACTAAAGTTATGTAATTCTTTGCTTTAAATTTCCCATAGTGCTACGACTTGCTGCGCCCCGATGTCATTTTGGAGCTAGCCTGGAAACACAAAATTGTGGACTTTGCCATGCCTTACTTAATACAGGTAATGGTTTTGAATTAATCATACTCTCAGTTCTTGCATTTGATGTATGCCTCTTGATGCATAGGTTTTGCGCGAATATACCAGCAAGGTCGATCGGTTAGAGCTGAACGAAGCTCAGCGGGAAAAGGAGGACGATACCACGGAACATAAAAATATTATTCAAATGGAGCCACAGCTAATGATCACAGCTGGCCCGGCAATGGGCATTCCGCCGCAATATTCGCAGAATTATCCGCCAAATGCCGCGGCGACTGTTGCAGCAGCGTCAGCAGCAGGAGCAGGGCGTAACATGGGTTATCCGTATTTGTAGGCCACATTATAATTCTAATTATACAACATTAAACCATTAATTAAAACGACCTTTACAAAATAAATGTATCAGCATTATAAAGAAAATACCAATAAAACAAGAACAATAATAATCGTCAAAACAACAACAAATGCATACAAAACAACAACATAACTTCAGATTGAGAATAAGTCGTAAAATCATTATTCAATACAAAAACATCGAAGTTCTAAAACGTTTTCGATGAGCTATCGATAAATATCGATGCGTATCCATGGTCGATTTTTGGCGTGTTTTTCTTGTTATTCCTTTATATATAGAAAAATAAATTGCTTTTATCATATTTAATGTTTTTGTTTTTGATTACAAAAGTGAAAACAGAGATAGAGCGAGAGCAAGCATAAATAAATATATACATATACACTGAAATTTGCAATGTTTAATTCAAAGACGAAAATAGCATATTAATTTGGGCTTAAAATATTTTAATAAACATATGTATGTATGTATAAGAACATATTTCAGCATTGCAATTGACACCCTAACTATTTCAAGATTTCTATGATCAACAAATTAGTACATTTTAAATCATATTCCATATTATCTATAAACAAAACTCTGGAAGAGTATATACATTTACTGTTCGATCTTGTAAGAAATATTACACTAAAATATGAATAATAAATCTTCAGTGTCGTAGGTGAGACACCGTTTCGTAAAAATGTTAAAATATGCAACGTACATATGTACATACATATGTTGTTTGGTTGGAGTTTTATGTTTGAAATTTTACAGTTATGCTGCGGGAAGTAGCCTGAATGCACATTCATACGTACATACGTTTACGTTAAATCATTTTTAGTTTAGTATATCCCATTTATTTCTAAAACATTTTAATTACAAGTTTTAAGCAAATATTAAATATTTATGCTACTGGTTTTTGAAAAATTAACATATACATAACTACATATGCACTACTAAACCTTGTATTATTATTACACTTATTTATTACTTTGATGTATGCGACAAATTGTCAGAAACCTTTATTATTTTTTTTTATTCAACAATCAAATTTAGTTATATTACACTTGAAGCAATCAGTTGTGTTGTGTGTTCTTTGGAAAATTACAAACAAATCGTATAACATAACTATTGCTACACATACAAATATACATACATACATTCATATATTCCAAGTATTATTGTACCTTATGCCTTTAATATTTTCTTATATTATTTCGAGAAACTTATTTAATACAAATACCAATTGAAAATGTATATTAAATTATATATGAAATTAGTTTCTTGTCTTTTTTGGGCTACGAATTTGGGAAATTAATAACTGCCAATGTATTTGAGCAATGTTAATTCATTTATTATGTTCTACATTTTAAATCTTGTTTAAAGCAATTTTGGAAGTAAGGTCCTTCAGTTGCACCCCTGATGGTGGATCGGCGTTTTAAGTGTCTTTTATTATACATTTTATTACAAATAATTTTTTCAAGTGGAACGTTTAAGTGACGTTTGAAAAGACGTTGAAGCTTATGTACAATCGATTGCCGATATCTTAAGATACACTAAAATCAGTTGGTATTTTTTAACAATCGTTTTCCCATGTCTTAAGATACATTAAAATCAGTTTGGTATTTTCAAACCATTGGGTATCGATAGACGATAGGCGCGACAATTGGATTTCCCCAGAAATCGCAGTGCGTCCACACTGTAAGTCATCCATGTGGCATCCTTGTTGTGATTTGGCAGAGAAGTGAAGACAAAAATTAAGAAACATGTCGGAGCTAAACATAGAGTTGAAGAAACTCAGGGAACTGGTAAGCAAATACCCAGCCGCACCACAATATCCCCAACTAAGCAAAACCAATTCCCTGAAGGAACTGAAAACGAATGGACTAGCTACCCGGCTAAATTCTGGCACGTCTGATCAGCTCGACGGCGACTTGGTTCAGCTGCAAATTGAAAATAAAAAGCTGAAGCACCGACTGCAGATTATCAACAAGGTAATAGTTGCACTCTCAAGGTGTTCATTATACCTCATAAGGCATGTCCGTCTCTTTCCGCAGTCCATTGCTGAAGAATCAACAGGTGCAAATAGTTGTGCAAATTGCTCGATCACCGAGCATTTGGAGAGTGTGTTTGCGCAAGCAATCGCACTGGCGTATCCGGAATACAGCAAGACTCCTGTGCTGATAGCTCCCGTCAATACTGGATCGGCGAAATTCGGCGACTATCAGTGCAACAATGCCATGGGCTTGGCGAAGAAGTTCAAGGAGGCCGGCATCAATAAGTCCCCGCGTGAAATAGCCACCGAGTTGCAGCGACACTGCCCTTCATCGCCCCTTATAGACAAGCTCGAAGTGGCCGGAGCAGGCTTTGTGAATGTTTTTCTAAGCAAGTGAGTGTTTTAATGGTTTGCCAATCGACCGTGGCTGGAAAAAAAATGCATTTTTGCAGGGCATTTGCAGCAGAAGCACTGAGCAGCATGTTGCGGGACGGCATTAAACCGCCATCGGTGCCAAGGAAGCGTGTTTTGGTCGACTTTTCGTCGCCGAACATTGCCAAGCAAATGCATGTTGGTCACTTGCGTTCCACAATAATTGGTGAATCGATTTGCCGCCTGCTGGAGTTCCTGCAACACGATGTGTTGCGCATCAATCACCTTGGCGATTGGGGAACACAGTTTGGCATGTTGATTGCCCATTTGGAAGATCGCTTTCCCAATTATCTGAACGAGAGTCCGCCCATTCATGATTTGCAATTGTTCTACAAGGAATCGAAACTGCGGTATGTGTTCTTAAAAGCGTTTTTAATCTCGGTTTTCAAGTTGATTTTTCCCCTTATTTCTATCCCACAGTTTCGACGAGGACGAGGAATTCAAGAAGCGTGCCTATAGTCGCGTGGTGTCCCTCCAAAACGGCACTCCGAACTCCATTAAAGCCTGGGAACTGATCTGTAATGTTTCGCGAAAGGAGTTCCAAACGATTTATGAGCGTTTGGATGTAACCATCCAGGAGCGTGGTGAGTCATTCTATCAATCCCGTATGCTGTCCGTGGTGGAGCTTCTGCGGTCAAAGCATTTACTGGAAACGGATGATGGACGGGAGATTATGTGGCCGGACGAGACCAAGACGGGAATTCCCCTGACAATCGTCAAGTCAGACGGCGGCTTCACCTATGACACCTCGGATATGGCAGCTATCCGCCATCGTGTGGAAGAGGAGAAATGCACCTGGATAATCTATGTGGTGGATGCTGGACAGAGCACACATTTCAATACCATATTTAAGGCTGCCGAACGGTGTGCTATTCTGAATCCATCCGTCCACCGCGTCGACCACGTCCAGTTCGGTGTGGTGCTTGGCGAGGACGGCAAGAAGTTCAAGACGCGATCCGGCGATACCGTTAAGTTATCCGACCTGCTTGACGAGGGCATGAAGCGTTCGTTGCAGCAATTGGAAAGTCGTGGACGCGAAAAGGTACTCACTCCTCAGGAGCTTAAGGACGCCCAGGAGGCTGTGGCCTACGGATGCATCAAATACGCCGATCTGCGCCATAATCGGGTTGGCGACTATATCTTTTCGTTCGATAAGATGCTGGACGATCGTGGTAACACTGCCGTTTACCTACTGTACACATACACACGCATTTGCTCAATTGCCCGAAACTCTGGTGAAGATTTTACCGATGTGGCCAAGGTGCTGAGCACCGTTAGCATTGAATTGGGCCACGAAAAGGAGTGGAAGCTGGCGAAGACTCTTTTGAAAATGCACGACATATTTATCAAGTGTTCCAAGGAGCTCTTCCTGCATTTCTTGTGTGAATTCTGCTATGAGGTATGCGCTGTGTTTACCGAGTTCTACGACAGTTGTTATTGCATCGAACGAAACAAGGCTGGCGAGATTATCGGAGTGAATCGCAGTCGAATTCTGCTGTGCGAGGCCACAGCGGCCGTATTGAGGCAGAGCTTTCATATTTTGGGCTTGAAGCCCGTTGTGAAAATGTAGGGATTTCATATTCAAATAATGGACTAAAGGATTGTAAACGAATAAAGCCAACCAACCGATTAATTCATTTTTCTTTACGTTGTTAAAGTCTGGTATGCGTTATATTAGTTGGGAATACCCAGAAAGTGCATTTGGAAACTTTACATTTTAAAGTTTTAACTAAGAGTTGCTTAATTAAAAACATCTAAAAGAGAATACTCTGCCTTTTTTTTATATTTTAATACATGTACATTTTTAAAGCTAAATAAATTAGACACCTCAGCTGATCAATTTTATAAGTTGAGCTTATAAATTAATTATTAAGACCATGTAAACAATAATTTAATTTATTCGTTACTTTCCCATATTTTCGTTAGTGTGCATGCGGTATATCGAAAATCGATAAAATACCAAGCAGGGTAGATCTGGTATTTTGCAGTCTAGGGTCACACTTATGTGATTGTGTCAGTTCATCGCCTGAGCGTATATTAATTTTTCGAGTGTGTAGTTGTTAATAAATGTATGGTTCTGGGCGATAATTTACCGAAACGTCTAATGTGAGAACACCAATTGCGCGTCTTTCGCTTCATATTCACCCAACGCTATATGCCTAAGACAAATAGATAAACCCAGCTGCTCCGAACTGTTGACCAGAGTTGTATTCAATGTATAAAAAAAAAATGCAAAACTTTACAGGCCGGACATGGAATTGTTTTATAGTGATTAATGTTTTAGAATCTCTGCAGTGCACCGAAGTGTTTGCAGGGGGCCTATTCGCAGGGCGGTGTAAACTGCATTTGTTTTTGTCAATCCCAAAAAGTACCTGCCTCCGAACACACCTAAATACCCTAATATGTACATGACTTGTATGTATGTCTCTGCAATATACCCTGCAGTACCATTCATCAACATTTCATCAACGTTTCATCAATGGCAGAAGCGTTTTGTTGATGATTCATCGATGGATCGCCATACAAATTATTGATGAGTTTAACATGGGCATGTCATAGGCTGTCATCATCAGCAATTCATCAACATTTCATCCTCATTTCATCGATGAATTGTTAATGAAAACGCCTATTGATGAAATGTGCTACTGCAGGGTAGTACACTCATCTGTAAATATATATATACAAATGTGTGTAAAGTCGGTAAATCCTAATAGATAACTTGTTTCGCTCCGCTGGGACACGCATAGTTCAACAGGCCGACGCGATACCGGTTTCATACCAAAACTACCGGCACAACACACAAAACTTTGGTTATCTTGCCCATAAGTTGAAAAGTGTCAGTGCAAGTGTCAGTTGCTTTATTTGCGAGTCCTTGCTCACAAGTCTTGAGTATTTCTATTGATTTTACCTGGAGGGAGTTTTTGCTTGTTTTATTTAATTAATTCAATTCCCAACAGTGTGCGGCGAGGATAGAATACATATAACTTGAGCAAAAACCCAGGGAGCAGGAATTCGGATGCAATGGAAAGTGCCAGTACTGGTCGCCGAAGGAACAACATGCGGGTCAATGCGGAGGACAATGCACTAGATCAAATAACGAAAGAGGTAACAATCCTGCAAATTCGCATCAAAAGGATGATTATTAATCTGATGAATCTAGGCGGAGGCCCGGCTTGCAGCGCGTCGACAAGCTCGTGCCGAGGCTCGCGAGATCCGTATGCGGGAGCTGGAGCGACAGCAAAAGGAGCTGGAGCTAACGGCCGACCGTGTATTCGATATGCAAAGCACCACTGGCGTCGGTGCAGGCGGTGGCGACACACTCCTCTCGACGCATCCCTCGCGGCTCGTCTATGGCGGCCTGGTAAATGTGGCCCGTGCATCGGTATCGCGGCGTAGCAGTGAGGACTCATTGGAGGATGACGGCCGAAGTTTTCGTGACTTCAAGCATGAGCTTAAAGTGGGTTCCACAGTCATTTCCATGTTTCCATATTAATTAACTCGCTCTCTCTCTCTCTCAAAGGACGTTGAGGAACGGTTTCGGAAGGCGATGATAACGAATGCCCAGCTGGACAACGACCGTGCTTCCCAGGCTTACGAAGTGAAACTGCTCAAGGACAAATGCGAAATAATGCAGGAATCGTTTGCCCAACTGCAGCGCGAATTTAAGGAGAAGATGCGCGACTGCAATGCCCTCAAACGGAGCTTGGATCGGGCCAATCTCGAGCTGAAGCTAGTGCAAGGCCAGTTAAATGAGCGGGACTTGTTGATATCGGAGCAGGGCCTTCTGATTGTGGCTGTTGAGAACGAGGATGGCAGCGATGCCAAGCGGGCTCTAGTTAGTGTTGACAACGCCAAGCTCTTGGCGTCCGTTCAGGGTTCTTTAGGTGAGAGCTTATCCACAGACCTTGTGTTCACTCGAATTTACAGCCAATGTCGCCTTCATTCATTTCCAGATGTTAGACTCAAAAAGTTCAGCGACGAAAAGAACAGATTGCTATCCGAGGTGCACAGTCTTCACGAACAGCTTGATGAATATAAAAGTGGAGGAATGGCTGGTGGATCTGGCAGCTTTGCACATGGTTCTTTAGGCGAAGACGATGATTACGAGGCTCAAAGTAGGTTCATTTTTAATGCACATTTTATTTAATTTATATTCTTTTTTAACTATAAAAACGAATTTGCGCGGGGGCGAAACAAGGCATATTTTATTATATATTTCTTTTTTTTATTTATCGATAGTCTGGAGTCTTTCGAACATATCCAAAAGTTTGCTATAATTTCGGTCTTGCAAATATTAAAAAAATTAATTATATATAATTTATTTGTTTCGTTTTCCGATTATATTGGTTCAATATATAAAACAGATTCATGGCACATATACCTCACCGTAAAATATCGATTTATATATCATCTGTTACATAAAATATTCATATATCAATATATTTTGTCTTCCATATGTTGAGGTGCTAGATCGACTCGACTGTTGATGATAATCATGGAAAGAATAGGGGGAAAACTTGCTTTTATTCTGTTAACTATGCTTTTTTTTAATGTTCAACACTTTTTTATTGCCTTTCCAAGATTTATTTATATTTTGTAGCATACGATAATTGCTAAATCGACTCGACTTATGATGAAAATCAAGGAAAGAATATGGCGAAAACTTGCTTTTATTCTGTTAACTATGCATATTTTTATTGTTCAACACTTTTTTATTGCCTTTCCAAGATTTATTTATATTTTGTAGCATAATTGCTAAATCGACTCGACTTATGATGAAAATCAAGGAAAGAATATGGGGAAAACTTGCTTTTATTCTGTTAACTATGCTTAGCTTTCATTTTCAACACTTTCTTATTGCCTTTCCAATATTTATTTCTTCTTTGCATTGTTTTGTATTTATTTATTCATTTTGTAGATAGAAAAATCTTTACAAAAAAAAAAAAAGCATAATATTGAAATTTTACCACGAGCCTTTGTCTTTCTTCTTGCATCATCCCGCAGGGGAGTCAAACAAAATCATTTCAGACTATAAATATAAGCTGCAAAAGGCTGAACAAGAAATCGCCAATTTACAATCGAGTTTAGCACGTTCAGAGACTCAAGTCATTCGATACAAAAGCACTGCGGAAGCCGCCGAAAAGTCAGAGGCTGAATTAAAAGTCGAGCGCCGCAAGCTACAACGTGAGGTAAGTGTTGAGGACATTTCACGACCTAATTATTTGTCACCTATAAATACTAAAAACCAAAGCCAATCCGAAATATTATATTTCGATTGCGCGGTATCGCACCTAAACTTTAAGAATAAATATTTTATAAACTAATTGAAATGGTCAATTGACGTTTATTGATATTATGTAGACTCAAACTAAGAAAGTAAACTAATAATGGAATTTCAAGACCTAAAATTTATAAAAAAAAGAAAATTATGCAAACTTTTTACAAATTTATTTAGAGCCATGATGCTGCTTTTCTGATATAGCGAGCATTTCGGCAATGTTAGATTCAAATAAATCAATTAATTCAAATTTCCAACTAACCGAAATGTTGAGGGTCTTGTTTTTATGCATTTTGTTTCTTAATTTCAAAGAGAATCTTACTGAAAATAAAGAAGTAAAGAATAAAGGACAGCCTACATTAGGATGACATAATTTATATATACATAGAAATTGTACTCCTAAAAGGTGTACAAATATTTATAACACATAAGGGAAAAGGTGAAGGTCGAGACAGCTTTATTGCGCCCCCGCTTTTTCATAACAAATTATACCTTGCAGGGTATTATATATTCAGTCAGAAGCTAGTAACACAGTGAAGGAGTTATTCCGGCATTATAAAACATATACATATGTATATACTGGATCAGCATCAACAGCTGAGTCGATTTAGCCTTGTCTGCAAACATGAAGAAATGTTTCCATTTTTTTTTTAATCGTTAAAATTAAAAAAAAAAACAATGAAATTAAAAAAAAAACTTAAATGAAAGGGTAATGCATCTTTGGCTTCGTTATGAATTTTTAAAATTAAAAAATATATATAAAAATATAAATTTAAAAATTAAAATTAAAACAAAAAAATAATAGTAAAAATAAATTTCAATTTTAATTACATTTAAAACATTTGGCAAAAAATTAAATTTAAAAAGAACTTAAAAAACCAAAACAAAAAAGATTTCTGAATAGATATTAAGCATTATTGGATTAGTTGTAATTGACTTCAACTGCGATCTCTCATACAATTGCAAACAGCAAGGGTATACAATCTTCGGCCATCCGAAGTAAGCTTTCTTTCATGCAAGTGCACATTTTCATAACATACATCAGTATCGGGGAAATTGGGAAATATGCTGGGTATACTACAATCTTAAGCTAACAGTACAGTGTAAGCCCGCTCTTCTGATTTGCAGAGAGCGAGAGCTACAAGCCCTATGATTCCATTACAATATACCCTATTTGTATCCCTTCCTTATAGCATCGGGAAATACTGGAGAGATTGGAGGAGGCGGAGACGGCCAATAACCATTTGCTAAAGCGTTTGGATAAATTAAAAAACGCCAAGAGCGCCATTCTAAAAGACTTATGACCTAAAATGGGAAACTACTGCATTATTGCCTCCAACCACAACGACGTAGCGGCATCATCCGATGATGGCACCAAGAGAAGCAGCACGGCATTAACAAAGTCTGAATGCGATAAGACATAGAAGATAATAGTCCCGGAAGCCAGCACACATCCTACGTTAAACATTTAATACACTTAAAAGGATACGTATCCTTATTCTTATGCGCATGTGTACTCCTCCAAACGGCAAACATCAAATTGTGTTTATTTATAATACATTTAGTGCGAAAATTAGTAATAATATCAAATTGATTCATTAGCGGATATATATATATATATTGATTTTGTGCCCACACTACCGTTAATGACATTTATACGATTTTTTTTTTATTTTGTTACGTGAGCAAGGTATAGTTCATGCTTTTGATTTAACATAAGGTTAAACGCAAATATATTATGTAATAACATTGTTCTGTAATATTTCAAATTAAATATATATACATTTTATTTAATAACACCTGAAAATTGGTAATTAAGTGTTTTTTTATTCAATACTTCAATTATGATATTAAAAAAGATAGTTTGGCGGACTTTAAGTGTACAAAACGGATAATAAATCCTATAACCTCTCATTGATTTTGTGGCAGAAAATGCTATAATGTTCGGAATTCGAATAGTAATAATAAAATTTCAATTGCTGACCTGCTTACGACATCATTTCTACGCATAATCCTGAGAATTCGCGATTCGTCCGTTTGCCTGTCCGCAGCAGTAAGCGAAACTAATGCAAAACGTCCGATTCTTTGTCCGTATTTAATATTTTTAGCGGCATTTTTCGGATCTACGTCCGCTTCTTAGTCTGCTGGGTAAAGGCCTCAGACAGAGATTGGGATTGTACAGATTATAAGAGATAATTTACTATTATATTTTTTCAAAAAAGCAAGGTTCGATTTGCCTAAGCTGTCGAGAATATCAAAAGTGTCTCTATTTCTATATGTGTTTTTAACAAAATTTAATTAAAATGCTAACTATATTTTTAACGTTGATTTGGAAGAATTTTAAAAAGCAAAGCCACCACAAGGTCATTTTCATAATGTCTATATTCGTGCCTATGTTTGCGGCTGTGTTACCTTTAGTGTCTCCGTATTTGAGGGATCCTAATCCAGATACAAATCCCTCCATAAGGGACACGAGTGTTGATTTCAAATGGTTTTCGTTGATTCAAAAAATTAATGCTCGACGAGAGCGTATGTTGAGGGCAAATGCGAAGTAAGTGAGAGAGAGTAGTTTTGCAAAGATTTATTATTATTATACTGTATTTATTTATTTTCAACTATAGCTTTAAGGCAAACGTATTCATTCCGCAATCAAGGGTGGCCTATGCCAGCAGCTCGCATGCTGGCTTGCAGAAACTTATGGATGCTGCCATGGGAAATCTTGGCTTCGCCAAAAATCAGACTTTTGGATTTGAAAATTGCGATGCTATGCGTACCAACGCCACCTTTGAGCACTTTATAGCCAGCGTTTGTTTCCACAATGCGGCAGGGGATGAGTCCAAAGACGGCCTGCCTCAAGTGCTAAACTTTTCCATTATTATGCCCTCCGAGCTGCGCAACTATGAAGGCACTGCGATTGGTCAGAAATGGAAGCAAAGCGGGCCCCGCTATTTCGTGAAGAATTCGGAAATCGATGACGATGACTCTACGGACTATTTGCGGGAGGGCTTTGTGCCGCTCCAGTACCATATAAGTACGGAATATCTACGGATGGCTTCCAAGGGTGCAAAACCGCCAGCTGCTAGTTTGTATCCCATGAGTCGGGCTGAAGCTATCGTGCCAAAGTTCTCCGAGTCTTCAGTCACTGCAGCCTTTATAGTAATGGTGCTTGGGTTTATGTTTCCGGTGATTATACTAGTAAAGGTGCGTATTTAGTTTCTAAATCTGAAAATTATATTGCTTCATATTTTATATATTTTCTATAATAACTCTATCTTATATATATTCTATATAATTTCTATATTTTCTGTATGTTCTATATTTTCTATATTCTTTATTTTTGAATCAATCCCTTTCAGCTCATTGTGGAGGAGCACGAGTTGGGTCAGTGCTTCGTCCTGGAAGTGAATAATGCTGGTAGATGTTTACAAGTGGTAGCTTGGTTTTTCAACGCATGCATTCAGCTGCTGATAAGTTCGTTTTTTCTCGCAGTGTTGATTATGGTATTTTGCCTTTTTCGGGATTGTAGTTATCTTAAATACCTCAAAATGCATTTCTTTCAGTATACCTCGAATTGGAGCTCCCCGTTGGAATTGATCTTTGCGCTTCCCTTTTTTGCCTCCTACAGCGTCTCTGTTGCCAGCTTTATCATATTTTTATCAGTCATAATACGGAGTACAAAATTAGCCTTGGTTTTGGTACCCATTATTTGGTTCCTTGTGCCGTTTCCTTTTCTGTTCACCGAACAGCTCAAGTTTGAAGCGCCGTATTTTTTGTATTTGATAGCCACGTTTCTCATGTGCAATGTCACCCTCAGTCGGGGACTCAAAGTACTGATGATGGACTTTTACGATAGGCCTTCTCAAGGCCCTAAATCAGATCAAATAATAACGGATGACAATTTTATAATATTTGGATTTGCTGGCCTCATTGGGATCTTTTTCCTACAGGCACTATTTTATATCCTGATGGTCCTAGTTCACCTGGCCATAGTTAAGTTTTGGGAGTGGGAGCTTCTGGGGCGTTACCTGAAGACCTTTCCGCGAAAGTGCCGAAGATATTGGCGGGCCAAGAAGCGAAGGCAAATGAATGCGAACGCAATGTTGCCAAAGGAAACCAGAGTGGTAATTGACGATATTGAACCGGTTCTAAAGAGCAATTTTGCCACCGACAGAACTAAAAAAATCAACATCAAGTCGGAAAGAAATTCTGAAAATCAAATTAGAAGACCGGCCATTGAATTTCGAGATGTCTACAAGAGATTTTTGAAAACCTATGTGGTCCACAGGTTCACACTTAATGTGTTTCCGGGGGAAGTTGTAGTGCTATTGGGTCACAATTCGTCGGGAAAGACAACACTAATACGGATGCTGCGTGGCTTGATACTGCCGACGCATGGCGAGATCCTCATGTCGGGAGTTAACCTCGTGAAGAACAATTTGTATTTTAACATGAAGGCCCACAGGCGTAGCGGAATCTCCCTGGCCTCCAAAGCCCTATTCCTCGAGCTAACCGTGTTCGATCACCTGCTGTTCTTCAGCAGGCTGCGCGGCCTCAAGAAGGACGAGGCCCGGGAGGAGGTGGAAAACATTATACGCTCGCTGCATATGGAGGCTCTGCAGGGGATTCTAGTGGGTAATCTCAGCATTGGACAGAAGCGTATTGTGCAATCGATATGTGCCTTCGTGGGACGAACCAAGATTGTTCTGCTCCACAAACCCCTGGACGGCGTGGACGAGGCAACGGCCACGCTGTTATTTAGCTTTGTCCAGCGAGAGAAGAGAAATCGTGCCATTTTTGTCACCTCTAATCGCTCCAAGGTGGCGAGTGGCCTGGGCGATCGCATTGGCATTCTGGAGAAGGGTCATCTGGTGTTCCTTGGAACGGAGAGACAGCTCTGCGAGGACTTCAATGATGCCTATCGATTGGTAAACCCAAGCTTTGTTATCCCCTTCCCCATAACCCATAACCCCCATTGTCATCCCAATAGACTATCTATGGCAAAGCCCACTGTGATTTCGACAAAATATGGACGTTCTTGGAAGACTATACAACCACTGGCATTGAGGTGGAGTCCAAAATGGGTGACCTGGCTGTTTTCCTTATAAATAAAGTCGATTTTCCCGGATTGATTCGCCTGCTAGATGACCTGCCAAAAAACATGGTTGACTTGAAAATAGATGGCTTCAGGTTTCAGGAATGCAGCCTCGACCAGATTCTCATCAAGTGGTTTACACCGGAGCCATTCAATTTTGCTCTTCAGGAATCGGAACCGGAACACCTAAAATTTAGGACCAGATACGATGCATTGAAGAGATTTTTAAGAGGGGTCTCTCACTTTCAAATTGTGTTGCGCCATCGCGCGTTAATTGATTTTTATAACGCGTACTTTCTGATTATTAAGATTTTGCTGCCCATGCTCATGACCCTGTGGTTGGCCCTTTGCATTAGGCATCATCCGTCCAATTTCCAGTCGCCAGAAGGTAGAGTCTTTCCCATTGCTGATGGTAGTGGTAGTGGCGGCATGACTTTTGCACTAAAAGGATCTCCCTTTGGCGATGATAATCCCCTGAAAGCTGCCTACGACAAATACGTAACAACGGGAGGAGCCAAGGAAGTTGTCGCGGATCTGGGAGAGATGCGCCACAGCTATGAGATATACGAGGACAAGAGGATACTGGCGACAGCCAAGTTCAAACCGGACGAGGTCGAGGCTCTGTACAACAACAGGTGGGGTCACGCAGCCCCCCACAGTCTGGCGCTTGTGATGGATTCCCTAGCTGTGTATGTACTTTACATTAACATCTCTCTATTAAGAAAATCTCTCAGAAAGATTGAAAAAATACATTTAATTTTCCGCGGTTCAAAGTTCGCCGGGTCAGCTAGTATATCTATAAAAGCTATAACCCATATATATATTTTGCAGTGGCTTCGTTGGTCCCGATTCCGGAATAAACGTGGAAATGGAGAGGATGCCCCTCTCGACCCCACACCCCCTGAACATGTACAATGTCCCCCTGCTGACCCTCTGCGTGATAAGCTTCAGCTTCTGCTTTACCTGGACCATGCCCATACTGTACATGAACCTCAGCCGAGACCGTCGCTTCAACTACATCGAGTTGATTGCCGGAATGCGGCTGAGCGTGCTGGCCAGTGCCATAATGCTCTATGAGCTGCTCGTGGCTGCGTTTTCCTTTGTCACCTCTCAGCTGGTCATCCTCATTTTGGGTTACGACGCCGTGATGTTCAATGGGATGTTCCGTAAGTAGTAACGTAAAACTCTGAGGGGGGAATGCGTCATAACCTGATTTCCGTAAGCCAGTGATGTATGCGCACGTCATACTGTTGGTGGCCCTGTGTGTCCTCAGCATTAACATACTGATTTCTCTCGGATCGACGATAACGCAGAATGCTTACCTGTTGGTCTTGTCATTGCACGCAGTGGGCATAATCAGTTACCTGTTTGTAAGGGAGTTCCCAACGGAGTCCGCCAGGTATATATACATATTTATGGACTTTTATCCGCTCTTCTCCTTGATGGATCATATGGTGATATTGGTTGATTTATCGGAGCTGAAATGGCTCTGTCGTGACATTCAAATTTATGAGACCAGTGTCCACGTGGACAAGTGCAAGACGAAGCCAAATTGTTGCCGTAAGATTGATTTTTATATTAAACTATATTATATGTATACCCTTGCAGGGTTTATAAAAACTTCGGCGTACCGAAGTTAGCTTTCTTTCTTGTATATTATATTATAAATCTTGTACAGTTATCGACGATCCAACAAAGGAGTACTATCACCATCGCTATGTAGTCTGTAACTACCTGTTCATCTTCCTTACCTGGGTCTTGATCTATTTTCGCCTGAGAGCTTCGTTGCCCAAAACCACTTTGGAACACGGCAAATACTTGTGGGATAGTGAGTGAGTGAGTTGTGGTATTTAGTTTAAGGAGAGAGGAACTAAACCTGTGCTCGCAGTGCCGACAGTTACAATGATCAGCAGCTCCTACATTTTGGCCAACCCACTGACTTGCAAAAAACCTGGTTGGGGGAAAAGTCGCGGGTTCGGACACTGGAACGTTCCTTGATCTGGCAAAGAAGTATCCATGTGGGGCATTTGAGTGTGCTATTTGGCAAGTTTGTGGCCCTAAACAAAATTAATTTCATGCTCGATAGGTATGAGTTTCCAAAACAAATATCAGAGAAATCAGATTTCTTGAATGTTTATTATTACCTTTGCTAGGCACCAAGTCTTGAGCTTGTATGGACCCAATGGTTCGGGTAAAACAGTTTTGACCAAATCCATTCTGGGCTTTTATGCGGCCAACACTGGTCACGTGAACAGCTCGAATAGGATGCCCTACCAGAGGTACAAGTCGCAAATAGGCAATCTGGCCGGTTACAGTGCCCAAGAGGTTTTCCTAATGCAGGAGCTGACGATATTGGATGTGCTAAGTCTGGTATTGCGTATACGGCACTGGCTAAAGACCAATCAGCTCAAAGAGGAGGCGAAGGCGATATGCAAAATCCTAAACCTGTACAACTATCGGCATAATATTCTCTCAACCTGCAGTCAGGGTGTATTGAAGCGATTAAGCATCGCTCTGGCCCTCATGACCAATGCCGAGCTGATCCTGTTGGACGATCCCTTTGCCAATCTGGATGTTATCACCCAGCACACGGTGCTCCAGTCCATACAGGCTGCCTGCAGGCACGGCCTCTGCATCATCTATACGTGTGCCGACACTGATTTCTCGACGCCGGCACAGCGCCTGGCGGCGATTAGCCAAAGCGCCTTGATCGCCATCGGTGAACGCCACGAGTTGACCCACAATTACTACTCGTCGTACTATGTTATCGAGACCAAAATCCATCTGCCCCACATTGAAGCCATGAATGCCATGAAGTGGGACGAAAACGGGCTCCCGACTGATGAGCAGGACTTGGCGCGTCAGAGTCTGGAAACACAGATATATCTGGCTATAAAAGGCTTTGTAACGCGCATTTTTCCCAAGGCCATTGTTAAGTAAGTTGTTCTCCCTGAGTTTAAATTTCATTATACATAAATCCAATATGTTTAATCCAGTTCCAAGTCAGTGAGCTATCCAAGGATCTGGTTTTGGCTGCCCCGTCAAACGTATTCTGTGTCGCAAATATTTAAAGCACTTCATGGAAACCAGAATAGCTTTTATTCGTTCACCATTGCCCAGCCATCGGTCGGAACCCTATTTCTTCAGATTGCACCAGAGCAGGTGTAAAACAAGTCATTTATTATGCGTTTAATTGTTTTAAATAAATATATACATAGAAATATAAATGAAGAATTTACAAATATTTAACGCCCTCAAACTAAGAACATTTTTCCACAATTAAGATAAGTTTTAATAAATAAAATCAAGACAAGAGACCCAAAATTTAATTAAATTTAATTAATGTTTTATTTTTCGCAAAAGAAAATCTTTCTAAAATTCAAGTTTAGAATCGGTTTTTCCAAATTTAGTGTAAATAGCCTTTTTTCTGGCCCCGCAAATAAATATTTAGATATTATAAAATATATAATTTTCAAGATGTATTAAATAGTATCTGTAAGAAAGACAAATAAACTAACATATAGTATTAAAAAGTTGGTTCCCGTGTTTTTGATCTTCAAAGATTTAAAGTTTACGATATCTCAATAAGACCGGACAGACTTTTCCACTCGATATTGTATTGAACCACTTGAATTATTTTCTTTATATTTGTAAAACATTTTTAAAATGGAATTCATACTTTCATACTTTTTTGCTTTCTTTTCGTTTAGTGTATGGTGCATTTCCGGTGAAATAGGTATTGCTGATGCAGCAGCAGCCGGAAGTGCATTAATCAAAGCTTTGAACGTATTATTTAGCTTGTAAACTGCGTAAAAGCTGTTGATATTTCGTCATTGTTTTGCAATTGATTTAACCCCGCCCTCCCATTGAGCTGCCAAAAAAGCTTGTGTCCTGGAGAGCCAGTGAAAGCTTCGGGGGCCCAGAGAAAACTTTGGGGCGATGAAAACGAGAGTTGAGCCGTCTCCAGCATTCGCTTCGCTCGTTCATTCGTTCGTTCGCGTCGACGGTCCTCGCTTTCCCCGACCGAGCGATGCTGTAATATCTGAATACCTTACATTCGCTATATTCGCAAGTACGCCGAATGACGTTGACGCTGTATAACGCAGAATATCGCCCAAGTTTTAACCACATATATAATACAAAAATTAAATAAATCTGTGCGATACGGTTACGGATACTCCTTGAACTCACCAGGAATAGATGTTTCGGAGTGAATCCCTTGAAATAAATGCTCCTGACTTAATATACTTTACATATGTTCGTTCGGGTGTGAGTGTGTGCGTGAGGGACACATAGATACAGATACCAACGGAATCATATAAATACAACAACAAATGAGACAACAAAACTCCCCAGAATAATATTTAATTGATGTAAATACATGTTGACAATGTCCCTTGTTTTCCATCATCATATCTGTTTCATTGCCAAAGCTTAGGCAAGCTTTAAAATAGAGACGTGGTGTATTCGCGAAATCCCACGCAAATCCGCGAAACCGTTTCATGAACAAAATGTGAGTAACGCTCGCATGAAGTGCAGTGGAAAAAAATAGAATAAAAGCAGGCGTTGCGTCTCAACAGTGCCGCCGTTGCCGCCGCCGCCCTAATGCTGCGAGTCCTTGGAGTCCTCCCAAGTTTACCGGAGCAGGAGCATAGTCGTCAATGTCCACATTAGTCCTGCAAACTTATACACAGCAATTTAAGCCGCCCACAAGCCGAAAAGGATAATCGAACTAACTAGTCAGATAGCGGATGCTGTGCTCTAATTTTTTCGAAAATTTCATAAACTGATTATAAATGTAAGTAACATACAGACATGTATGTAAAGTAGATAATACAGACAGGCAACTTTGGCATAAAGATATCCTTAAAAAATAAGCAATGCTGTGCAAATGAATTCAATGGAATTGAGTAAAAAACATAGCATAAATTATTGCAAATATTTATACTTATGTGTGTGTGTGTATTTTTGGCTGTGCGACACCTACGCATAAACTAGTAAAGTGTATATGCCATGTCATACGCAAGCGCTCACGCCGTATTCCATTCTCTCTCTCTCTCATTTTCCCTTCCAGCAGACACCGTTAAAGTAGCATCAACAACAACAGTGCCGCAGCATCAGCAGCTCAGCCTCAGCCTCAGCCTCAATATTAAAAGCTCCCACACACACCGTTACACAGTTGCGTGCCTATGAGTGTACGCGTGTGGCAATGTATTTGACAGCCTTTCCCATTTGGCCCTTGGTATGCTTCGTGTATTTTTTCTGTAAGTATATATTGCACTGCTGAATGAATGTTGCCAGGATATACATATGTATGTAGTTTAAGATTATGAGCAACAAACGAAGTTTTCACAATTATTTCCGTTACAATTTGAGCTGGTTGTCTTTACGTATGCATACATACATTGTACATCATAAATACAAACATTCATACATTCATTCGTAAATACTCGTCGATCGTAAGATGTAAAATTTACATGTTATCTATTGCCTACTTTTTTGGGTCCGTCTAGGCCAACTACGGCAGAAATAGAATTAAATCGCTATGGGAAGCGTATCTTATCCATGTATTCAGTTAAGGGCGTGACAAAAAATGTAAACAAACTTGAACTACTTGGGAATGAAATATATACACATGTACTATACACTGTTTATATATAGCAATTTATAACAATTATTAAAATTATTATTTAAGCTGTAAATCAAAATAATATAAAACGCAATTGTAGAATATTAAATGCAAAGATTTTATTGAAAATTCACTGCGATAACCCTAATAACACATTCATTTTACATCAAGTGGAGATCATGTAAAATGTAAAATGTAAATGTCCTCGATATTTTGTTATTTATAATTATCGAATTTAAAAAGGATTTAGTTTTACAGGGCTTTTTTTAAATTTATTTATCGTAATTATCGATTTCAAAAGGGATGTGCCGTTTCCCTTTATTTTTAAACAGTTTTTTTTTTTTATTTACTTTCACTAAGATTTAAACTTATATGTAAACCTAATGAGATTATTTAATTGCTTTTTTTTGACTCAGGTGTCGGGTTTGGCGACTTAACCAAATTCTCTGTAGAACGTAATGCGGCCAGTGATGTTGGCCACTTGCCGGAGAATGCATCTGGACGCTTGGACTGGTTTAGACAGGATCATGGGCGTGCCGCTGGCTTAGAGGCCGGAAATGAATCTCAGGAAAACAACCGATTGAAGGCTGAAAAGTTTCAAAAGATTGGAACGAAATTTATCACCGTCTCCGATTATCCGCCGTTTCAAAGCCACAACGAGGACAGCCAGGAAGTGGATCAAAATGGTCACATGGAGCCGGGTGTTGTGCCTGCCAAGATCGGAGGCAGTAATCCGGGCGACGAGACTCCCAAGTTTCGTAATATTGGCGCAAAGAAGAGTCGAACGGAGGTGGGTAGTGCCAGGGGGGAGCTACTGGGGGATCGACTCAATTCCCGTGGACGTGATGGGTTCATAGGCGGCGCCAATAACAAGCAGAAGCCGTTTCGAGTTAATCTAGCTGTCCTGGTCCAGGACGATCCCAGTCAGCCGGGCGAGAAGTACACAAACTGCCAGAATCAAAATGAATCCGACGAGAGTGCCTGCAAGCCGGAGGAGGAGGAGACCGCCGACCAGATGTCCAACCTGCAGAAGAACTGCGAAACGACCGGCCTCCATGTGATGTGCCCGCGCACCTATCGCTGCATCAGCAAGTACTGGCTGTGCGATGGCGACGACGACTGCGGCGACTATTCGGACGAGACGCACTGCGGCGCCCGCACCAACTGCACGGAGGATCAGTTTGAATGCCTTAACGGATTCTGTATTCCCCGCACCTGGCTCTGTGACGGCGAGAATGACTGCAAGGACTTCTCCGACGAGACGCACTGCAACCGCACCAGCTGCACGGACGAGCACTTCACCTGCAACGATGGCTACTGCATCTCCTTGGCCTTTCGCTGTGACGGCGAGCCCGATTGCAACGACAACTCCGATGAGCACAAGTGCGCCGCGGTGATCAACAGCTGTCCCGAGGGTGAGTTTAAGTGCCGCGGCGGTCTGGGAGGCGCCGGCGGCCCCAGCGGCCAGTGCATACTCAACCGCTTCCGGTGCGATGGCGACAACGACTGCGGCGATTGGAGCGACGAGGAGAACTGCCCCCAGAAGCCATCGCTCTGCACGTCCAATGAGTACAAGTGTGCGGACGGAACTTGCATACCGAAGCGCTGGAAGTGCGACAAGGAGCAGGACTGCGACGGTGGCGAGGATGAGAACGATTGCGGCAGCCTGAGCTCGGAGCATCCGCTGACCTGCGGCACGGATGAGTTCACCTGCAACAATGGACGCTGCATTTTGGTAATAATTATCCTAGGTTACTCCAGGGACACTGTTCCTAATGCTTTGTAAATGTTTTGACAGAAAACATGGCTCTGTGACGGGTATCCCGACTGTACGTCCGGCGAGGATGAGGTCGAGTGCCATCTGCAGTGCGACGTTGGCCAGTTCCTGTGCCCAACAAAACAAAACGTAACACACCTCAAGTGAGTAGGATAAACCCATATTATCCGATACTTACCCCAGCCTGTGGTGGTTCTTTGTAGGATTTGTGTTCACCAGAAGCACATTTGCGATGGCCACAACGAGTGTCCCGCCGGCGAGGACGAGAAGGATTGTCCACGGGAGCAGAAGTGCTCGGAGCCCAGGCAGTGCGAGCAGCTCTGCATCAAGACCAACATGGGGCTGGACGAGTGTGCCTGTCGCCTGGGCTATGTGATGAACAAGAACAAGGTCAAGTAAGTACAGAAGATTGATTCATTTAGACTATATATAGACCTGAATGTTTATGGAACATTAAGCTGCACGGACATCGACGAGTGCCAGTACATGACCAGTCCGGTGTGCTCCCAGAAGTGCCACAACACGCTGGGCTCCTTCAAGTGCTCCTGCGAAATAGGCTATATCCTGCGGCCGGATCTGCGCTCATGCAAGGCACTGGGCGGGGCCATGACCCTGCTGGTGGCCAATCGGTGGGACATACGACGCGTAACGCTGAGCAATAACCGGTATACGGCGGTGGTCAAGGGTCTGCACAATGCCATTGCTCTGGACTTTCACCATCGTCGGGGCCTGATGTTCTGGTCCGATGTGTCGACGGATGTTATCAAAATGGTTTACATGAATGGGACGCGCGTTCGTGATGTGATCAAGTGGGGATTGGAATCGCCGGGTGGCATAGCAGTGGACTGGATACACGATTTGCTCTTCTGGACCGATTCCGGGACGAGGCGCGTGGAAGTGTCCAACTTTCAGGGAAATCTTCGGACAGTGATTGCCTCGAGTGACCTGGACAAGCCGCGGGCCATAGTCGTCCATCCGGGCGAGGCGTTGGCCTTCTGGAGTGACTGGGGACCCAATCCGAAGATCGAACGCGCCCATATGGACGGAACGCAGCGACGAGTGATCATTTCCAAGGGCGTCACGTGGCCCAATGGCCTGGCCATAGACTATCCGAACGGCAAGATCTATTGGGCGGACGCCAAGCAGCATGCCATCGAGTGCTCCAACCTGGATGGCAACGAACGAAACAAGATTTTAAGCACTCACTTGCCACACCCCTTTGCCCTAACCATCTTCGAGGACACCATGTACTGGACGGACTGGAACACCAAGACTGTATCGGCGGCCGACAAGACGACGGGCAAGGAATTTCGAGCGGTTCATGAGAACTTTCACTTTCCGATGGACATCCATGCCTTCCATCCTGCCCGTCAGCCGGAATATCCCGATCGCTGTCAGAAGGATCGACGCGGTCTGCGCGGCGGCTGCTCTCACCTGTGCCTGCCCAATAAGACCTCCCGGAGATGCGGCTGTCCCATTGGCCTGTCGCTAAAGGAGGACGGCAAGACGTGCAAGAGCACGGCAGACCGGCTGGTGCTAGTGGCTCGTCGCAAGGACATACGGTTGCGGCAACTTAAGAATAACCAGGCCGATCCAGACGAGGTGGATATGATTGTCCCGCTGGACAACCTGAAGCATGCCGTGGCCCTGGACTGGTGCAGCGACACGGACTTTATCTACTGGACCGACGTGGAGCGCAGCACCATCAATAAGGCGCACCTCAATGGCAGCTACCAGCAGCGAGTGGTGCACTCGAATCTCGTGTCGCCGGTGGGCCTGGCCCTCGACTGGATAACAGACAAGCTCTACTGGACGGATCCCTCCACAAACCGCATTGAGGTGGCCACTACCAACGGCAAGATGCGCACTCTGCTCATTTGGGAGAAGCTGTACAAGCCGAGGGATATCGTGGTGAACCCCATAGGTAAGGCATTGGATTTTGTTGTGATTAGGTTAGTTACTAAGTAATTATTTAATGTTATTGCCAAAGATGGTCTTATGTTCTGGTCGGACTGGGGCGATGATCCCATGATCGAACGTGCCAATATGGATGGTCATGATCGCTCAATCATATCCTCGAAGAAGCTAATATATCCCAATGGTCTGGCCATCGACTATGAAAAGGGTAAACTGTACTTTGTGGATGGCGGGACCAAGACCTTGGAGAACATGAACTTTGACGGCAGCAATCGTCAAGTGATTTTGAGTAAGTACTACAGAATTAAGTGAGTGTTTAAATATATTTTTAGTTTCTCTCCGAGTTTTAGTAATCCCTTAAGACATCTACACTCATGAAATTATTGTTTAATATTTAAGAAAAATCTCCGTAATAAAAAAAAAGCTGATTTCTTACGCCGGTTTTAGTATAAAAAGTTTCCTGTTTTAGAGATCTATATTCATTTTGAAGTAAACTCTAATTTAAATCATAATAAAAACAGATGGTCTTGGACATCCTTTCGGCTTGGATGTGAACGAGGGTCGTGTCTATTGGACCGATTGGGACACCAAGTCGGTGATGAGCGCCAACAAGCTAACCGGCGGCGAGTCCAACATAATCATTGCAAACACCACCGACCTGATGGACATCCGGGTGTTCCACCGCACTCGCAGGCGTATCTACAATGCCTGCGACAAGTCAAATGGCGGCTGCTCGCACCTGTGCCTCCTCAATCCCACCAGCTACACGTGCGCCTGTGCCGTGGGCGTGCAGCTGAAGGACGACATGCGAACGTGTTCCGAGGGGCCAACAAAGTACCTGCTATTCGCACATCGAATCGACATCCGGCAGATATCATTGGACTTTGATCACCTCATCGATGTGGTCCTGCCACTGCCGCCGATCTCGAATGCCGTGGCCTTGGACGTTGACCGGAATACGGGCACTATCTTCTGGTCGGACACCATTGAGAATGTGATAATGAGCTCCAGTCCCGATGGCCTGCACGTACACAAGGTGGTCGGCGACAGCCTGGAGAATCCCGATGGCCTGGTCGTTGACTCCATTGGCAGGACTATTTACTGGGCCGATGCCGGACGGCACACCATCGAGGTGGCCAGCCTGGATGGCAGCAATCGCCATGTGATCGCCTACAAGGACCTAGAGTCACCGCGTGGCCTGGCCCTGGATTACGAGGCGGGCCTCCTATTCTGGACGGACTGGGGACACTATCGCAAGATTGAGCGCTCGCATCTGGACGGGAACGAGAGGTCGCGCATTGTCACGGCCAATCTGGGCTGGCCCAATGGCCTGTCGCTGGACCTGAAGAGCAAGCGCATCTACTGGGTGGATGCGCGCCTCAAGACCATCGACTCGTGCGACTATACGGGCAACCAGCGAAAGCTAATCATATCGTCCCTGCATCATCCCTACGCCTTGGCCCTGTCGGACGACAAGATCTACTGGACGGACTGGAAGTCGAAGGCCTTGCACATGACCGACAGGCGCAACATAACCGCCAAGCGGGATGTGATCACAAACATTGACGGACTGATGGACATCAAGGTCATCTCGCAGGATCAGCCGATAATCGAGAATGTGTGTGGTCGCAATAACGGTGGCTGCTCGCATCTCTGCCTGCGCAATCCATCGGGATATACGTGCCAGTGTCCGATTGGCCTGAGGTTGCGTCAGAATAGCACAACGGAATGCCAGAATTTGCCAGATGTAAGAGCGTTATTATTTTCTATAGCTCCTTCCTATAGCTCCTCCATCTAATCTTCACAGGATTACCTTTTGATTGCCTTGCGTTCTGGCATTGGTATGATTTCCCTGAACTCCGGCGACTACATGGACGTCGTCCTGCCCATCAACGGTGTGCATGGCGCCGTTGTTCTAGACTATCACTATCGGGAGAATATCCTGTTCTTCGCCGATGTCAATCTAGATGTCATACGACGGGTGAATCTGTTGAATTTCACCGACAGTCGGGTCATTGCCAGCACCGATGTACTGACTCCGAATGGCATTGCCGTGGACTGGATAGCGGACAACGTTTATTGGTCTGACACGGATCGCAAGCTGATTGAGGTGGCCCGGCTGGATGGAAGTTCGCGCAAAAGGATCATTGAGGATGACCTGGGCGATCCCCGGTCATTGATAGTGCATCCAAAGAAAGCGTGCGTATACCCTTACATCCTTTACACCCTCATATCCTTACATCTCCTTTGCTTAGCTACCTATTCTGGTCCGACTGGAGTTCGCCGGCAAAGATTGAGCGCAGCTACTTGGATGGCTCGAATCGAACGATTCTGGTAACCTCTGGAATAGGATTTCCCACAGGACTTACCATTGACTTTGAGTGAGAATCGGTTTCTATGGATTCTAGAAACCTTGACTTTATCTTAAATATATTTTGTGTTTAGTAATCGGCGGTTGCTTTGGGCCGACGCCTTGGAGGACAACATAGGCCAAGTGGATTTTAATGGCAAACGGCGTCAGACCATTGTTCCCTATGCACCGCATCCCTTTGGCCTGACTATGGTGAGCTCCAGCTCTGTCTCTCTCCTGTTATCATTCATTTTATACACTTCTTCCAGTTTGATAACAACATTTACTGGACGGATTGGTACAACAAGTCGGTGTACCGCTCCCAGCGCATGCCCCGCGGCGTCTATGGGAATCCCTTCGAGGTGCGAGATGCCTTGAGTGGTGCCTTGGACATTCGGGCCGTTTCGCTGGGGCGGCAGCCAAAAAGCTGGAATCACTGCGCCCAGGACAATGGCGGCTGCTCGCACCTTTGTTTATATCGCGCCGTCGATTACATATGCGCCTGTCCCGACCGACTCGATGCCAAGGACGAGACGCCGTGCTCCACCAAGCCCAAGGTGTTTGTGCATTCGCGTTTGGACAAGGATCAGGCACCGGAATACTCAGATGAGTCCACCGATGATTCCATACCGACAGAGCTGCTGGGCGACTCAATCCATGGCCATGGCGAGGATGAGCATACGCGGAAAACTGACCACGAACGGGAGTTCTTCGTTCTGGTGGCCCTCGGGGTGGTCATTGTCATGGTGGTCATCACAATACTTGTGATTTTCAGTAAGTAAACAATACATCATAGTGTGTGCCATATCTTTTCATGGGCCATCTTTGCAGTGCTTGCCTTCAACACGAGCAGGAAGAAAACAAAGCGCAACTCGCGCGGATCCAGTCGATCTGTCCTGACCTTCTCCAATCCGAATTACAACGTCGATGGCACACCCATGGAGCCCAAGACGAACATTTGGAAGCGATTCAAGCACGACAAGTCGCATGTAAGTGTGGCTCTTTATGAATTTTTATTACATTTTTATAAAATTATATCATTTATAACCCATATAACTAGCAGGATCGAGTGGGGGTCTTTGAAGAGCGCAGTCTGACAACGGAGACAGCTTCGTCCAGCCTTTTTGTACCGACACCATCGCCCATGGCGTCGCCGTCAACAAAAACAATCCAACTGACAACGCTCTCGACTATCACGTAAATGGCAAAAAAAAAAAACAAAAACAAAACAAAAAAAATAGTAAATAATACTACAAAATTGCTTCAGAAAGCGCAAAAAGCAAAAGAAAGCAAATCTTCGAGAACGAAAATGCTCTATTTTAATCAACATCTGTCTGAAGAATAGATTATATAAGCTGACACAGCCTTTCACATTTTTTTTTTTACCTTTTTCTTTATCGATTTCAAAATAATGGTAAGCCCGAGTTTTAAACCATTAAAAAAAAATTTACTCCTTCAGCACCATTGAATATATATATATTTATAAGTGGAACCAAGTCCCAAGTCAGATCACGAAAAGTATTTTAAAATATTATTCAAGAATACATGTGTTTTTGTTTTATTTAAAAATATTATTCAAGAATACATGTGTTTTTGTTTTATTTCATTGATTGTTGTTTACATTAAGTTTGTTTTGAAAGTAAACGATACAGCCGAGTACAGTTGATCCAAAGGAGCTCAAAGGAGCTTATTTGCTTTTTTATCAATACCACAACACTGATTAATAGTGTTGCTAAAGGCTTTTAATTTCAATAATTTTTTTCCACACGATTTTTTAGTCTTTTTTTTTAAATCAGCGATGGGGAAAATCCACAGATATAAGCTCATGAGAAAGAGAGAGAACGAGAACGAGAGAGAAAGAGACAACTGAGAAAATTGAGATTTTACCTTTACCCTCCGCTGATTACACTCTGAGATACTTCTCAAAATAGACAACATTTTACGACTGACTGTACACAGCTCCCCAAATTGAGGTACTCGGCTTTATTGTAACATTTTACTTTTGTATAAATATTTGCATTTGACTTGTTCTACATACATATATCGAAAAATCCAAGAAACCATTTCGATCAACTGTCTTGACATTGTTAAAGCGAACGAAACCTTTTGTTCGGGGTTTTAAAAAGGGCAAAAATATACAACTAATGGATAATGACTTATTTTATTAATCAAAGTAAAACTTATATGTATGTATGTAAATTCTTATTGTACATGGTACGGTTATATATATATATGTATGTTCCTAAGAAGCCGTGCAGCGGTCCGTCTGCTTCGTTGATTTAATCTTAATTCTCAGGTGTAAAGACAGACACTAGGCTGGAATATATACGACAGATCCGCCATCGAAACTATATATTTGTACATAGGTTATATGATGAGCATATTGTTTTCCGTTTTATACACACAACTTGATATCATCCGTTTGGTTTTTTGTTTAAATATATCAATTATAATATTCGGAATTCATGTAAAACGAAACGTATGTACTGTCAGACCGTTAGCAGCTATAAAGGGGCATTTGGTAAAATTGAATATCCTAAGTTTTAAGTATATATTAATGTGTAAATACTGATTAAAAATTTGAATGTTATTCGAAATATATTTTCGTTTTATTGGGCCAAACCCAGTTCATGTGGCAAAAAAACAAAAGAAAAATATTAATAAAAAACAGAAAAACCAAAACGATTAAGAAATTAAATCAAATAAAAAAAACAGCTCAAAAAGCTACAAGCTACGTTTTGCCGTCAAAAAGATGTTTTCTTTCTGATTTTATTCCATAAAGCGTGATATATATTTAAAAATATATATTAACTATTTTCAAGCTTATAAAGTAAGTATAGAAAATCATAGACTTTTTTTCTGATACCCCTGGTTTCCCTTTTACCGATCGCTGCTGTGGTAACTATATATAGGATATAATGGTGTTGCCTGAGACTAATAGATATGCAGTTAACAGTCTTTAAATCTTTAAATGACTGAGAGGTATATATATATATAATATATTTAGATAGATATATATATATATATATTGGGAGAGAGATAAAGATATTGAAATAAGGAATAGGAATAGCTAGGGACAGATAGAGATAGAGTGATGGAGAAAGAGGAAGAGATACATAGATAAAGAGATAGAAAGATAGAGAGAGATAAATAGAGAAAATGTGCAAGAATATAACAATTTAAAAAAATGTTGCATATTTTATATGATAAATTTTGGGACAATCAAAGTTTAATAATCTATAACTTAGCCAACAATTAAATAAATTTAATTTAATTAATATTCAGCATACTGATTTTTTTGTTAAATATTTTACAGTTTTAAAAAAGTAACCCTTATAAAATGCTGCTTGGGTTTAAGAGCATGTAAAACGGGACACTTTTCAAAAGATTGTTGTGGCGAAACGGCAAAAGTTAGCTTATTAAATTAAATACCATATAATAACACATTATTTAAACAGTTTTGCGCTTAATTTTGCATTGAAAAATATTTAGAGGTATAGGAGTTATAGGGAATCTCCAAAAATAGTTGGTTTGCGGTGTACATATATCCTAACTACCCTCAGAATCATCCGATATCAAACGAAAATATGTAGCATTCGTTAAAGAATAAGTTTTTGTTTACTTTTATTAAATTTTGTCCTAATTTTTTATCAAAATTGGAAATTAAATATCAATTTTTAACTTAAAAATTATGTTACTTTGTCGAATAAAATATATAATAATATTAAAAATTAAAAAATAGGCCGATGTGAGTACTTGTAGAATTGGTTAAAGAAGTTATGTCTCAAATTTCAAAACGATTTGTCCAGAAGATTTTGAGTTATCGTCACCGATTATTTTACTTTTCAGTAGAGCGCTTTAAACTCCGCATAACAATCAATTTTGTTATGATCGATGTGAAACTTTGGGAAAATATTCTTAAGAAATTGGACATTTATAAATAAAAAATGTAGAAAAAAAAACAATAAAATACCATTCTCCCCAATATCATAAACTAAAGGCACTCTAAGGTATCTTATGGATATACCCCAACCAATCATTATATATATTTTTTTTATTTTTTTAAAGTAATAATAATTACGATAAAAACTATTACGATTGCCTAAAAAATCAAAATGCTCCCCAAAACAGGTGTACCTGGGACATATTGCGCCACTGCGTCCAAGTCCCGCGAGAGAGCCAGAGAGAGAGAGAGAAAGCCGAGATGCTGAGATTAAGAGATGCCCGGACTTCCCAGCTCCCAGCTCCCAGATGCATTTATGCCCGTTGTGCGGCTGCGTGAGCTGGGGCTGGCTCCGACGGTCGGTCGTGGCTCGGGCCCGGACATCGTCGTTGTGGTACGACTGGCCAAAATCCTGCAGACGTGTGCGAGAGTTTTAGAACGTTGCTTGCAATAGCGGAAAGCGGCAGGCAGCCTGGAAAAAGCCATAGGGGTGTAGTGTAAAAAAACAGAATAGAGAAGCACCAGCAGAGCCAGTCCAAAAATCAAGAATAGCCGCATTCTCGGGGCCGCAAGGCAATTAATATTCGCATTCGCATTCAGGGACGTCGAGAGCCTGAAATCTCTGACTCGGTGACTGAAAAAAAAAGTAAACCGAAAAATAACATAAAACGTAAATCAACTCAAGGCAGACGACGGTTTATATCCTATCCGTTTCTTCTTTTTTTTTTTTTTTTGCAAATATCACACGCCGCGAACCTTAAAAGACAATCGATGAGTGGTGGCAGGAGGCCAGTCAATATGTGAAACCAAACCTAATAAATAATTACTCCAAACGGATATAGATGAAAAAAATGCATAGACAATAAAGAGAAGCACACACAAGTTACAAAATATATATATATATGTGTGTACATATAAAAGGAAACCAATACAAGAAATCGTTTTTTGCATTTTTTTACATCGTTGACGTATTTTTTTTTCTGTTTGCCAAAAAAAAAAAAAACCCCAACCAATGAAAAATACTGAGTGTGTTCATAAAGCAGTTCAAGGCATTACAATTAAAATTAAAACAGCATAAAAATATACATATATACATATATATATATATCTGCTGGCAATACCTATACTCGATGGACTTGTCCAAAATCCGTGGATTTGTTAAGGTGAGTTTGTGGCACAAACATACATAGTCGTATACTGAGGCATACCGACGGTTATGTATTGTATATCTAGGAATGTAGAGGAATGTCCAACTCAGACGGGAGTGACAAGTGTATACATATGCACAGGGGGGTTGCGGAGGGAGAGGAGGGGAGTTGGGGAATTGGGGACAGGAAAATGATTTACCAATTTTCTTATTGTGTACCATGTAAAATGTATGCTTTGGCCAAAACACATGCCAACAAATATAATATTAATGCAAATACTCCCATCGTGTGCTCCCAGCCTCATCCCCATGCCAGCACCATCCCATCGCCATCCCCATCCCCATCGTCCTCGTCCTCGTCCGCCTCATGACTGCGCATGGCCACGGAACAATAGCGATACAGAAATGCTCACGTACTACACTAGGAATTTCGATGCATATTGAGCGAGCATTACACCCAGTGTCTTTCGTCACAACAATTACTCCTTTCGGCCCAGCAAAATTACTAAGCCGCAGCGGAGATTGAGCCCTGATTATCTCAATAAATATACACGTCCTTGCGGGGCCAAGGCTGATCGACTCACCACTCTTTCCCACAAGTGTTCTGGGGATGGGCATGCGTTTTATTGACCCACCTACCCCTAAACTCTACACGGCAAGAAATATCATATTCTAGGAGGAGGCACACACCCGAAAACCAGTTCATCAAATGGGTTTCAACTCATTTGGGGGATTCCCCCGGGAAGACCAAAGAACCATAGAGGAAGGTCCTGAAGACTGTCTACTTTTCGGCAAATTGCTTCCTTCAGGGATGCCATGTCTCCCTATTTGTTGTGTCAACTTGTTTTCCAGTGTTTCCTTCCAATTTGAGGGGACGAGAGGGGGCGTGGCTTTAAATGTGAGACACACTTGTTATTAGGGTAGGGGGTATGTGTGTCAATGCGGTTGCCTTTAGGCTTTATAGCATCCGAAGCTGACTAGAGTAAAGCTGATCGAAATATTTTATATATACGATATAGGACTAAAGCCGGGTTCCGTGTATTTATTTATTTTTATAATTGTTCCCAGGTGAAGTCTAAAAAAATATATAGAAAGCCGGCTTGAAGCAATTTTATACTTAATAAACAAGTATAATTTACCTTTCCCAAGTTGAGCGATCACTTGAGTGCCCTTAAAAACTAGTTAAGATCATAAAGTAAAGAGATTTATGGGAACAATCGTAGTAACGTACATCATTTCGTTGCTTGTAATTCTAATTTATGATTGTAAACTTGAGATAAATATTAAAAAAGTAAATAAGAGTAGATTTTATGAATAGTTTATTGCCGATTTTGAAGGGAAGACTACTAAAAGTTGTGGTCAGTTTACTTTAAAAATTTTGCCGAATATGCCTTTTTTGTTTCCTTTCAATATCTTGTTTATAACTATCTTGTTTTAAACTATTCTAGTTTGAAATAAATTAATAAATGTTGAATATAACAAACTGACATTTTCTCTTTTTTAACATTTTTACAAAAAACTGATAATGTTAAATTTTGTTTTGATTTAAGTAAATATTGTACTGAGCACAAATTTTAAAGATTTATAAGATAAATAAATTCACAATAAACATAAAAATATACAAAAGAAATGTTAAGCTGTTAGTATCAAATCTGAAATAAAAATCTGTTAAAAAAAGCAACTTAAAAAACAATTAAATATTTAAAAATTTCATATAGTTTTCAAATGAATAATATTTTAGTTGGTCCAGCTTTGGCGGCTGTCTCTTTGGGGTTCCCAAACGCTATCAGAAGTTCTATATGTGCCATCAAATGTCCAGTAAACTTGGATATTTAAAAGTCCACCCAACCTTTTCCCATATCCATTATAATTCGAGCTCGGCTCAATTAAAGTCTTCTGTATATAGTAAAAACTTTGTGTTGATCCGTTTTTTTTATTATTCATTCGAAATATCGAAATATATTTACATTTAAGAAAAATCACCTTAAAAAATTGCCTTAAACTAAAAAACTGTTTCTACAATTAAGAACACGTTTTCATGATTTTTTTTTCTAAAGACAATTTTCTTCTTTTTTTTTTCTCAAATTTAGGGATTTTTATAGGATTTTTTTGTTTAGCTCCTTTCTTAATTCCAGGGCGATTTGCACTTGTTTTTACTGGTGAATTTTTAATAAAAACCATGGCAAATTCGCCCTAAAGTTTGTGATGCAAAAAATCTCACACGTGTGCACTTATAATTCCCAACTGGTTTTAACATAACTTGAATGAAGTGACGGTTGCCGGTCTCAAGTATAAACAGTGGCAAGCACGTGTGTGGATGGATGTTTGTTCGTTTTTATAAATGTGATATTAAATATCTCAAATCTATGGCGACTCTCTTATTCGATTTGAGGTAAACATATTTATGAGTGCAGTTTTCCCTGTGTAATTGTCCCGAGGATGCATGCATCCTCTCCACTGCCGAAAATTCGTTTAGCAGGGCATATTCGGTGAGCCACGCCCAAAGCTGTCAGATTAAAAAAAAATGTCAAATAAGTTGATGGTGCAAAAGCTAAAACAAAATATGGAATATGAAAATAAGGAAACAAAGGCAATGTCCGTCCTATTGAGGACCTTATCCAAATTGAAGAGTGTTTGCTGAGTTTTAAAAGTAACACTTCTTGAGATATATATATGTATATTGATGTGTTGTTTATATTTATGATATAATGTATAAATATATACATATATTTATTATAATTATAATGAAATTATCCCTTTCCCTGCGTTTTTTTTATATTTTAAATGAATTAGATATTTGCAGGGCATTATAATTGAAATTAGTAGTCATTTCCGGTCCCATAATCCAAATATATTCTTGATCAGCATCAATAATAGTTGTACTACATTTTTTAAAATATTAAATTTTAATTAATTAATGCGTTTTTGCCTCAGTTATGATGTTTTAAAACTTTGATTTTCCCTATATAACGATTCGGTTATAAAATTATAATATATTAAAAATTATATATTGATATTAATTTGTAAAGTCCTCAATTTTTATTTTCTTTAAATGAGGTTTTCTCATGAATAAATTAATATTAACTATTAAATAACTAAGTCTGCATATAGTGTTTAAAATATTGAAATTCAAATATTTTAAATAGTTTAAATTTTATAAATAAAAATTTTTAATTTAAATTGTAAACTCCATATTTTAAATATTTAAATTTTTATATATTTTAAACTCTATATGCAGACTTGTTAATTTATTATTTATTCGTTTAATTTGCCGACAGACAAGTCTGTACATTGTTTGCTGATCATAAAGACTATGACCATTAACCCAATTTAGGTTCACAATTAAAAACAACGAACTTGATTTTACATATATAACAATATAACCCACTAAAGCTTTTCAAAACATTAATAGACCAGTAAATATTTTGGATTATTTTGTTTGATTATGCAATCTTAATCTAAAAAAAAAAGAAATAAAAATTGTTTTGAGACTTTAAGGGATTGATTTTTATCTATCGACCCAATGACACATTTCTGCAACTTAATGGGTTATATTGTAAAGCCGACTGGGATTGCTTTGTAAGAGCAAAGCCTAAAATTGCCAAAAGGCTTTGGGGGGTTCTTGATTAAATTTTAGGGCTTACGCCAAAGGTAAAAATATAATAAATAAAATTATGCAAAGTTTGGCGGTTTGGTTTCGCCTTCCAGTTTGGAGGCTGCGCAGTCACGAGAGAGCCAGCCGTCTCTCGCATTCATCATTTTCATCCCCTTCTATATTTACTAGTAAATACTGTCTGCCATCTGCTGTCTTGGGTCTGGCCCTAGTCCGGCCTATCCTTATCGGGTCCTAACCTTGCACTACTCAAGGAATAGTACTATATAAAAAGACAGAGCAGGAAAAACAGAACCAACATTATTGTCAGTTAAATTTATATATAGGTTGTCAGGGTCCTCCTAAGTAACAGGATAAGTGCTTCATAGACCCAAGACTTTCGAGTTCAAAATCTATCATATACATTGAATAAACATTTAGTTTGGCTTAAACACAAGCATAGTAAACCCGCAGCTCTTTCATTTTCTACTTTTCCTGTTCAAATGCACTCAACAGAAAGCTAGTTTCAGCCAGGTAGTCGAACTCCATCACAAAATAATTGTATTTAAAGAGCACTTTGACTCTCTATTAGAAACTATAATCGCATTTTGCAGTCCCTGACTTTGGCTTCCATTGTGCCGGGTCTCGCTGGCATCGCTGGCATCGCTGGCATCGCTGGCATCGCTGGCATCGCTGGCATCGCTGGCATCGGTGGCGTGTAGGTATTTCCTAAATACCCGCAGCAGATGCACTCAGAGCTGCGCTCTGCCATCCGGCAGTTCATTCGTTTTGCTACCCAACAAATTAATATTAATTATTTAATCGGTTTTTTTTTCTGCTAATTGGATCTTCTGGCTGCAATTTCGCTGCGGTCGCCAAAGGTCTGTCCTTGCCTAATTAGCGCAAATTTAAATTGTCGAAGCTCTGGCCTCGGCGGTGCTCTTTGCTGGTGGTCGGTCCACAGCCTCCACCTTAGTACCAATCTGTCTTTTCATCAGTAATGTGCGTCAGCGGCCAGTCGAAGCGGGTTTATAGCAAGGCTTTTCATTACAAATCGGTGTGTAGCCTAACATATTGATAGGCTCGGCTTATGGTGTTTCGATAAGTGCGAAGTAAGTGCGAAGTAAGTGCGATAACTAAAGGCAGACTGTACCTGGAAATGCTTAAAAATGAGTGAAAATAAAGGTTTTAAGAGAAGTAAAACCTTGGAAAACTAACTGGGAAAGACACGCCCTTCAAATTGTTCTCTATTATTTTGTTGCTGTTTTTTTTTTTTTGTTGTTGTGCAAAAATATGATCCGCTTCAACTTTATCTTTCATTTGCAGCACAACGGTCACCTGATGAAGTCCAGACCTAATTTTTTTTGATAATTCGCCTGGTTTTGTGTGTGAAACCCCATGAGTCAAGCCGACAAACGTAAATCACTATGCCATTCAATGAATGCAGATTCAGCGCTGGATTTGCACGCCTTTGATAGCCGATATATAGCCCAGCCTCAAGTGCGCTAACAGTCACAAATGCTTTTATCGCCACAGTCCCAGTCACAGCCAGAGCCAGTCACGACCGCTAGCCACTGCCACTGACACACGCAACACACAACACACAATAACAACAACAACAACAACAACAACAACAACAACAACAACAACAACAACCACAACAAATACACAGGAAAATCGGCTAAAGCTGCGGATGCGGATACGGATGCAGATGCGGATCAACTTCCCAATGGCCAATTTCAGCAATCGCAGTTACTACTACTACTACTACTGGAGCGGAGGAAACTAATAAAGACGCTTACTTCCACCACTTCCACATCGGTTTTGGGTGCAGCAACCATGTCGATTAGCATTATAACCATATGAGGGCAGTTTTCGTATCAACTGACCGAGTAAGACTGGCAAGGCGTATTTGGAGAAAGCAGAATCAAACGAGGAGAGATTACCAAGACTTAGCAGTGGCGCCCGAATTCGACGTCTTCGCTCGAAAGCAACATAGAATATCGCAACCGCCGCCATCATGTGGATACACATCGCATTTTTAGTCCTTACCATTGCTCAGCTGTGTGATTTAGCCATATCTGCAGGTGGTGAGTAAACTATTATTATACCTAATACTTCAAAAATAATAATTAAGCGATTATTAGCAGGAGAAAAAGTAAAAATAAACATCAATGTTTAATGATTATTTGTTTTAACATATTTTGCTTACTGTTAATAATTCTATTATTATTATAGGTATTAGCTTAATTTATTGTGTTAATTTTTAATACTTGTGGTATGAACATTATATCTCTCTATATATTCTCATGAATTGGGCAAGTCTGGGGCGTTGTAGGGCTTTAGAATTCCTACGCTTTACCGTGGCATTCGAAATTCGGCAAAGCGTTTGGATTCTGAAACCCTATGCGTCCGTGAGTAAAGAAAATTTGAAAAGGATGTAAACTATATTATTTATACAAATATATACAAAAAAATATATTGAATTTCAGCTATTCAATATAAAAATAAAATCATATAAAACAATTTCTTTTGCCTTGCAGAAGCAGATTACACACTAGATGATTCTTTTTGGAATGAAGAGAGTCCCGTTGGTAGGTATCTCTTTATGCAACATTTTAATGACTAGATTTGATTTATTTCCGAAATGTTACATTTAATTTATTTCCTAAATGTTACTCTACTTAATAATTATATTTAATTTATTTCCTAAATGTTTACTAAATATTTATACATAGTCTTTTTTGTGTCTTGAAGATCTACAGCCTGTTTAGTTTTTAGCCAGAAATATTTACTTATATTTTTATTGATGTATCTTCTAGGAGAAGTGGAACGCTTACTTAAGGAATACAGGCAAAACCAAGAGCTGGTCCGTCGAATCGGTGGGCATTATTACCAAATTATATATCCAGTACAGTTGCGCCATCACGAGAAGATGGGCATATCTACGCGTGAAGTCAGTGTGCCAAAGGTAAGAAAGCAAACACTGAAAGAAACAGAAATAAAAAATATATCATTTTCAAATATAAAAATCAATTTATGACTTTTTTCAATTATCTTAAAAGATAATTAATATTAAATTATTTTACAAGAATATGAAATAATATTGGTATAAACTCTAACATGAAACCCGTAATTAACAGTTGAATGTAAATAATTAATAATTTATTTTATTATTTTTGGGATCAACAATAATTTTTATTTTGAATTTTGTATATGTTTTACTTAAATGTAAGGATTATCGTTATAACTTATAATGATTATAGTCCCTGATAATAATACCCTTTCACATTTTCTAACCAAATTGTGTTGTTACAGCCTGGCCAAAGACCGCGACCTCACGATGATAGTGGCTTTAACAGAGGAAGAACAAAGGTGGGTTTTGCCATGATTATAATGGCACAAATTTTCATAGATTTTTGCATTTAAAAACTATTGGTTTTAGTGTAAGAAAACAGTAACTAAAAGTCAACTTTGTATATATTTCTCATTTGGCAGAAACACTTCCATCGTACATCGCTGCTAATCAAAGCCTTTAACCATAAATTTCGCTTGGACCTGGAGCTCAATTCGTAAGTTGACATTCAACCCTATTTATATATTATACCATATATTCTATATTTCATTATTTATTTCATTATATATTTTGTAATATATTTTCCCCCTAGGCAACTTCTCTCCCCGAATATACAGCAGAAACACTATCACGTGGGCGGATACCTGGTGGACGGCAACCGACATGTTAGCTATATTTTTTTATACTTTTTCCAGCAATCTATATTTATATTTCATAATAAACTTTTCAGGATATCGAGCACTGTTACTACCATGGGACAGTCAAGGATTATCCAGGTGCCAGCGCCGCCTTTCACACCTGCAACGGTGTCAGTGGCGTCATACACATCGGAAATGAAACATTTGTTATTCATCCTTTCTATGGCGGCGATCTCTCGGTATATCTTCTATATCTCAGTTGGCTTCTTGAACCTTTACACATTACTTTACCCCCACAGAAACATCCCCATGTCATTTTTGAGGCAAGGACAAAGGCCAACAAGGGATGCGCCAACTCCGGCAACCTGGACTCTTGGCGACTCTCGCGTCGCACCAAGCACCTGTCGGCGGGCGTGGCGGGCGTCATCGAGGAGATCCTACAGGGTGGCGCTGGGCGCAGCAAACGGGATGTGAGAGAGGCCACCAAGTACATTGAGACGGCCATTATTGTGGACAAGGCAATGTTCGATAAGCGTAATGGCAGCACGCGGGCGGAGGTGATCCACGATGCCATACAGGTGGCCAATATAGCCGATCTGGTTAGTATTATCTTACCCTTATGCCAGTATATGTATCGTCCTTTCACGGTTTGTGTGTGATTCCCCTCTTGCAGTACTTTCGCACCCTCAACACGCGTGTTTCGGTTGTGTATATAGAGACTTGGGGCAAAAATCAGGCAGTTATCGATGGCAGCAAGGACATTAGCAAGGCAATCTCCAATTTTAACGACTACACCTCGAGGAACCTCTTCCAAATCGAACGGGACACCACGCAGCTGCTAACGTGAGTCATATTTATGGGTCTCTGGAGGAGAGCTATATCCTTTTTATTATCCTTTCCAAAAGGGGCGAAACCTTTGCGGGCGGCGAGGCTGGCATGGCCGTTCCCGAGACTGTCTGTACGCCGCGCGCTGTGGGCATCAGCGTGGACGTCAATGTCTATGAGCCACATCTATTGGCCGGCACAATGGCTCACATGATCGGCCATAACATAGGCATGGGACACGACGATGGACGTAAGGATAACAAGAGAGGGCTATGCTAGCTAGACTACAGATGCGCTTCTTTGTGTGTTCTTTCTTTCAGGAGAAGAATGCTTTTGCCGTGACTGGCATGGCTGCATCATGGCCCAGTCCATTGTGGGCCAGGAGAATGTCCAGCCATACAAGTTTTCGGAGTGCAGTAAAAAGGATTACATTGATGCCTTGCGCACTGGTCACGGTTTGTGTTTGCTGAACAAGCCCAATGAGGTGAGCATCATCAGTTTCAGCTGATTCTCCATAGCTTAGCTTTAGAAGAAGAAAAACAAAAGTCTTCTCTAGTTTTTCCTTTTGTAAAAACCATCCCCCTAAATTGAAATCTCTCTTAGATCGAGCTGCGTCGAAATTGTGGCAACAAGGTGGTTGAGGAGGACGAGGAGTGCGACTGCGGCACCTTCGAGGAGTGTGCCCTGGACCAATGCTGCGACGGCATCACCTGCAAGCTCAAATCGGAGGCTCAGTGTGCCACTGGGGCGTGCTGTGAACAGTGTCGGGTAAGTTACAGTCTCCACCTCCGTCTCCGTCTCCGTCTCCGTCTCCGTCTCCGTCTCCTTCCTCGACTATATACCTGCTCTCCCTCAGCTTCGGCCCAAGGATTATATATGCCGTGACTCGCACAATGAGTGCGACCTTCCGGAGTATTGCGATGGCGAGGTGGGCCAGTGTCCCTCCGATGTGTTCAAGAAGAACGGTTCCCCCTGCGGTCTCAGCAAGACTGGCATATCTGGTTAGTAAATGGCCATAAAGATGACACAAAGACACCGGGCTAAATGTTAATTCCCTTTGCAGGATACTGTTTTCAGGGATACTGTCCCACGCTGAGCTTACAATGTGAGGCCATATGGGGCTATGGCGGATCCGCCGCCGACAAGCAGTGCTACGAGCAATTCAACTCCAAGGGCTCCATCAACGGCCACTGTGGGCGGGATGCCAATGAGCACTACATCAAGTGCGAGCCAGAGTAAGCACCTAGCTGACACGGTAAAGGTAAATTTATATATTTTAAAATATTTATCAACCAGGAACGTGCAGTGCGGCACACTGCAGTGCAAGGAGGGGGAGCGACAGCCGGTGAACGATGGCATCGATCAGTTGTATTCGCGGACGATAATCTCGATCAAGGGCCAGGAATTTGAATGCAAGTACGTATGGGTGCGGGGGCTAGACTAAAGGGAAAGTGTCTCTAACACTTGAGTCTTGACAGGGCAACCAGCGGGCAAGTGGGCTCCAACAGCTACCCAGAGCATGGCCTCGTCAAGGACGGAACGCCGTGCGGCGACAACTTAATTTGTCTTAACCAAACGTGTGTCAGTCTCTTTCCCCACGTGGATCAGACCAAGTGCCCCGCAAATAAACAGGGTCAAGAGTGCTCAGAACACGGCGTAAGTTCAACTTAACTCGGCGACATGGAATGTGCCACTCGCTATACGCTATGCGCCATGAACATTTACATTTGCATTAACATAAACATTTAAATTTACATTTTCCATTTACCATTTACATTTAATGCATATATACAACCCATACGCATACGCACAATATCTCTCACATGGCCACGACGCGACACATTTGCATATCCCTCTTGCAGGTCTGCACCAACACCAACCGGTGCTTCTGCGACATGGGATGGGGCGGCACCGACTGCAGCTCGGTCGTCCTGCTCACCACAGCACTGCCAACGGAAGCACTGCCCACGCCGGAGAACACAATCAAAATGGAGAAGAAAGAGACCCCATATGGTAAGAGAGAATCAGAATTTGAATACCGTCGAGGTTCGATTGTGTCGAAGATCCGGAGATCGAAGCCAAATCGATAGCGAAAGCGCGTACCTTCCTACCAATTAAGTCTGACTCAGCTCAATGGCGTTGACTACTCACTCACAATTGATTAATTCGGTAGCGATTCGATCTGAAATCATTCGGTTTGCTTGCTTGTATGACAATGGTAGTCAATAAAACAATAATTCGAGTCTCTGGGTCGGGTCGGGGCACCCTATAAACACCACAAATGATTGAGTAAACAGAATATATATACCTTTGCCTAGGGATCAATCTTAAGTATCGGAACAAATGCTTCATCAATTTTTATCGCTCGATAACAATAACTTTTTCTTACGCTTTCTTGTTTTACTCAAGACGAAATATATATTACCTCAAAGGTCATCTGCTAAAATGGTTCATCAAACTATAAAAATCGTGTGCATTTTGGATTTTATGTTTCCACAGAATTAAAATTCTGAAATAGATATGTTTATCGATTTTATCGATTTACCTGAAATAATAAGAACAAGATCTTAAATACAACCGATAACAGCTACATTTTGTTATATACAGTTTTTAAATCAAATATTTGTGTATTACTGGAATTTCTGGTATAAAAAGGTACAAGTTGTGGATCAAAGGGTTTCTAAGGAAAACAAGTATTTCTTACATTTAACTGTCATTCCATTTCTAAGATAGAAATATGAAGAAAGAGTCTAAATACCTTACATTTGAATCATTCCTTTACAAAACTTTTAATATCAATACACTTGAAATGTACAAAGAAATTGTGTGTTGCTGTGCTGTTATTTCCTCCGAATGTTTGTTATTTTTCGAAGAGAAAAGACATCCGTATCACTCGAAATCCCAAAAGTTAATTGTTTTACATTTAGAACGAGTTTTGAAACATTTATTATCTTGTTTTCTTTAATTTTTATTCTTACAAGTTGGTTTTCCATTTAGTTTTCACAGTTAATTGGGGAGGTTTACATTTATTCTTAATATAATATTACACTTCAAGGATATAGATTTTCAATCAATACATAAAAAACACAGCGATTCATTTTTTGATAAGCAGGGATAAGCAACCAATTAGAACTTGTTTTAAATAATTAAAAACAAATATATATTTATACTTGTGTAAATACAAATAGATACACTTTTTTGTAACGAGTGTAGTGACATAAAACAAGCACATTTATCATATATTTCGATTTTGTATCCACTTAATTAAACGAAAACAATTTGATCGAGATGTAGGGAATGTATTAATGAAGGGGTCTACGCTAACCAGTGTTATCTTCCATTAGTTTGACTTTAGTTTTATTTCCGTTTCGTTAATTGTATATTGAAATTGATGTAAAATCCTTATATTCGATAACCGCAGTTGGTATTTGAAAAGACAAGAAAACCTTATGAATTAAACAATTTAGGCGCATGAAGAGTGTAAGTAAAATCTCCCAACACTTTTCAGATCCGCAAAATAATTAAGCACTTTGCTTAGTTGTTAAACCCAACATCATCAGAAACGAAAGTTAAGAGACTAAATGCTTTTTTGGCACCTATGTTATGTTGATATTCAAAAGTCGCAAGACGAAACACGACGCATATATAATTATATATTTTGATTGAAAATAAAACGCAACCACCATTTGCAGGCACCTCTGACAAAAATAGGATCAGCACATTAACCATGGTCATCATTTTAACAGTTATCGTCAAATGTGTCTTCATTAGTTTTGCAACACTGGCCGTTTGCTACAGGTAGAGTACCAAGCAAGTCAAGCTCCTCCTCCTATGCATTTAGCAACACTTACATCATCAAGCATAAGTATACACGTACCTTAAACACACACATCTAGGTCAATCGATATATTTTTTTCGTACGCAGGACAAGGGATTCGGTATCGATCCGATACCGATCCGATACCGATACCGATCAATACTTCCGTTTAATCTTTAGTACATCCTGTCTTATTATCGGTCGGTTGTAAGTGCATACAGATGTACGCATGTACGTACATGTGCGTGCGCATGCATACTTACACACACTTCTCAAACACCATTTGATCATTTCGTTTTCTTTTGACTGTCTTTCTGCCTCTATCGCTGTGTGTAAAATATTCGTAGTGCTTATATCAGATTTAAAATTGTGCGTGCTTGTAATTTGTCGCCGTAATTCACAAAATGTATAAGTATATCTGACGTTTTTCTGTAATATGTGGTGTTTAATGGAACTCTATTATGATTTTCAAAGTATTCTTTTATAATCATTTCGTATTGACAACACTTACATACATGGGTAGTAGAACAAATGCATGAACAATAACAAATTCACGAAAAGATTTGATGATTTATCAAATGGGAAAATGATTGTGGACATATCTAAATGACCAAAACTTGTGGACATTCAAAAAACTACCGCGTTGGCCCACGTTCACCACCACAAAAAAATCAATGTACGTATTGAGAAAGATTTTACATTTTACATTCGGGTAAATCAGGATGGTCTGATTGTCAAAAGTAATATCAAAACCCCATGAATGCTACAGACGAGGGCAAAGAACTACATACGTATAATAACTTTTGTTATTTCAATTTTTATTACATATATCGACTATTAATGTATACAATATATTATATCTGATATTGCCGCAGTTATACCTTAGGCCCTTGAAAGAGACTCCATGGGCACAAAATATAAACATGGCAGTCAAAAACAAGAAAGCGAAAAAGAAAACTTAAGAAACGTCTAAAATAAATTTGAAAGAAAAGACTTACCATATTTTTTGTTGAGAGTTCTCTTCAAGGTATACAGTTTATAATATAAAATAAAACAGTTCAGTGTTTTAGACATTTTATTTTTCTTTTGAGCCTTATCACATTTCCCATAGTTTAAGACAATAATTTAAGGCACATATAATAATTACATATACGAAAGTCGTTTCTTGGTTACAGTTAGGTTTCAACATAAATTTCTATAAAAAAAAAGAAATTGAAATAAAATTCTCAATCACCAAAGTTTACATATAAGAAAGCAATTAAAGGTTAATTTTAGCAATTGAATAAAAAAATTTTAAAAGCAGTGTTGAAAAGCGTCTTTTCGAGTACTTCCGGTACCCGAAATCTGACAAGTAGCGAGTTTAACCTGTCAGCAATAGGTTTTTTGCTTCTTAAAAGTGAATTTTTACATGATAATGAAAATGAAATGAATAAACTATAAACAAACTGCCTTACCGTAGCTACCTTAGCGCTCAATAACTCCCTGGGGGAATACTTAGAACTAAATTAAAAAAAAAAAAAAAACTAAGATTACCATTGTCATAGAAAAACAAACAAAAAGGAAACATAAAATTTACAACGTTCTATACCCAACTAAATATATATTAAATGTGTGTAATTTTGTACAATTGTGAGAATCGTTTTAGCATTAAATGGCCTTATGGAACCGGAATAAGCTTCCAACTGAGAACACATACATACTACTTACAGTGTGTGCATGTTTAATTGATTAACTATATACATATATTATGCATATATATATATATATGTGTATAACTAATCAAGATTTATTTGAATAATATTTACATATTAACCTTTAAACAAAATCGAAATAGCATTCACATATATAAATATGTGAGAGACGTTCTTAGTACCTGATTTTGCGAAATGCATACAAAATTGTATATTTACTTGTTTTTTTCGGCTGACCCGCAACCCCACTGCCTACTTCAATATAAATGACATATATAAAACTACGAAATCTCGGAAATGGCAAATACCAAATCATCCCTGGCCTGTCACTGCGTAACGCAATAAACCAATAAACCTAAACAAATGAAATGAAACACGATTAATTTGGGGCAACGACACCGACGATCCATGAATTTACTGAAATGCAACCACTTCACCTTGTACACGAACAAACTAAAAACACTCACTAATACTTAATACGTAATACTTAATACTTAATACTACTAAAAAACATCTGCGCGCATAATGAAACAATTGGCTGAAAATTTCTCGTATAGAGAACTACCACGGCTCAAATACAGTGTTCCTAGTCGGTGTTCTAATGTCAGTTGTAGGGTTCGTTTTTATAACATTCACCTTGATGGCATTGTGCTACAGGTCAGTTGTAGTACATAGAAACTTCTCCCTGTGTCTGAGGTTAGTTGAAAAGAAGTAATGAAAAAGCCAGCTCTAAATACAAATACAAATTACAACCACAAAAAGAACAAGCAAAAAAAAAAAAAAAAAAAAAAAAAATGAAAAAAATATCCAAATATTTTTTTTAAAAAAACTAAAAAAGAAAACAAACAACAAAAAAAAAAAAAAAAAAAAAAAAAAACAGTTGCAAATGCAAATATTTTAACAAAAAAAACTTTAGTAAATTTGTTTATTTTGTTTCGCATTTTGATAAATTTATTAAAGTCGCTGCATTAAGCCATTGCCATTGTTCGTTTTCCGTTAAGCTTCATATATAAGAGTTTTTTAACTTTCAAACTCCTACAATTTTTATCTACTGATACCACATCTCAGGGGCATATGCAGGCTTTTGTGATTGAAGGGCTTCTAGCAGAGAGTAGGCCAAAGTGCTGTGTATATATGTATATTTACTGGAAGCTGGTAATACCCACCTCCAGCCCTTTTCAGCATTAACCTGCGTACGCAACTGCCTAACCAAACACCGCCACACATCTACAAATATACAGACATATTTATTATAATTGTACTAGTTCCTTTGATGAATCCTCTCACGCATAAGCCAGAAACTATTGAGGAGTCCGAGAGTCAATATATTCAATTTATTTACCTTTGTTTTCGGTTCTTCTGTCGAGATAAAAAAGAGTAAAAAACAAAACACTTTGGTATAAATTTTGCCACAGAAAGTACAAGTCAATAACCTGAATTATCAATAGGTTGGGAGGACTTAGACTTCAGACCTAGAATTTTTCCCATTAAAAAGAATTGACCAAAGCCAACTTGAAATACTTCAAGACCCCAAAAAAGTTCAAAGCAAAGCTCAGGAATTTTGTAAAAAATATTTTTATATGAAATTTGACGGGTACTAATGATAGTTGATAGTTTTCAAGCAGATACAACCTTTGTACATAGCTATTATATTATGCATTACTCACCTATATATGTAAAGGAGGCATGCAGGAGTAAGAGGTCTGTTTAGGCATCGCATCACCCTAATCACATCTATAATTTGCTTTTGTAAATATTTCCTATAAAGAAAACTTTTCCAGGACTCTGAGCTACTCACATCACACAAATCTTAATCACAGCGCAGGAATGCTTCCTCAAGTCAACACTTCTTATACATATATTGCTGTCGATCGATCGCTCATGTTAATACCTTTCAAGACCCAGCTGTTAACCTCGACTGATAAACTTAAATTTCAACATTTTCTTATTTAAATCATTAGTTAACTTATAAGTTAAAGGAGAATATGAGGAATATTTGGGGAATATATGAGGAAGATATGAGGAAAATATGAGGAAGATATGAGGAAAATATGAGGAAGATATAAGGAAGATATGAAGAAGATATGAGGAAGATATGAGGAAAATATGAGGAAGATGTGAGGAAGATATGAGGAAGATATGAGGAAGATATGAAGAAGATATGAGAAAAATATGAGGAAGATGTGAGGAAGATATGATGAATATATTACGAATACATGAAGAATATTTGAGGAATATATAAAAAATATATAAAGAATATATGAGGAATATATCAAGAATATATGAGAAAAATAAGAGGAAAATATGAGGCTTGATTCATAATTGTTTTTAGTAACAAAGCAAAATTAGACCTCTGCAAAGTAAGCTTTACATTAGGATAAAATAGGATCGATTGCACTTGAAAAAACTTAGATTCTTTTCCATCTCTCAGAGCAGGAGTGGGATGATGTATGCAAACCTACATACATACATACATATATGCAGCATTATTTGTTATGGTAGAGGTTATAATATTGGTGTGGATTCATATGCTTTTTAAACATTTTTTATGGTTTCTACTTTTCGGTTTGGTCACCTATTCTGGCTTTAAAACGTTATGTTCCTTAAGTACAAAAGCACACAATTTGAAAGCGGCTATACAAAGGATTGCCATTTGTGTATGTTATCGTTGTCGTCAGCACAGCGGTGATCTCGTTGACGTTTTTCATTACTACTTTTGTTCACTTTAGTCTGTCCAACACTATAATCCTGCCTAAATATTTTTTTTTGTATGTACGTACGTATGTGTAACCAACAAAAATCAATAACGCTGATGACCCCTGCCACCACTACCATACATTGTACCTACAGTATGAAACACAATGCTTAGAACCAATATATACTACAAACCTACTCTGGGCGGGGGGGGTTCCCCCCCTTAACCACTACATATGTATAAGTCTATAGCCCCCACTTTCACAGCACATTTAGAGGCATATTGTGTGTATTCGTAGCCCCGCTAACTTGCAGCCCAAAGCCAATAGCCGAATAATGCATGCATCCAGTGATGGGATGTGTCGTTTATTCGAATCTTTTTACCTTTAATGTGTGCCTGTACGAGTTGAGGCGATCGATCAGGATCTTGAATTTGATGTAATTGCGCTTAGGGCCCAACATAGACGAAGCTGACTTTGAGCTATGGTGGTGCTTTCTGCAGAGTAAGCCTGCTGTGTTCCGATAAGCTAATAAGCCGTCATTATGAATGCGAATACGAAATACAATGTACACACATAAAGCATTTATGTTTTGTCTGTGTATTATGGTATGAAAATTTGGAAACAGGAACAGAGACACAGAAACAGAAACAGAAACAGAAACAGAAACAGAAACAGAAACAGAAACAGAAACAGAAACAGAAACAGAAACAGAAACAGAAACAGATACCAGAAACAGTGAACATGAAACAGAAACCAGAAACCAGAAACAATGAACAATGAAACAGACACAGGTAAAACATACATCATACACCTATGTACAGTTACAATTACAGACAAAGTTAGCGGTAAAGTTACATACAAATAAAGGACTAAGGCAGGAATCGACAAAGCCACCGAAATACTGATCCACTACTCTACCACTGTTACTGTCTAAACACGAGCATACATACATACATATATACCGAAAATGAAAATCACAGATCATGATTGCAATTCACAAAAGCTCCTTCTGATCGTAACATATCTACATGCATTTACATACATACGCAACATACATGAAGCCCTTATGAACTTTTCAGCATTACAATTTCCGGTGCATGCAATAACGTTAACTTCCGGTGCGAAATGTGTACATAATGCATTTTTAAATGTGCTATTCTCACCACGCAGAAACAACAACAAGAACAACAACAACTCATTCGTTGGTTTTCAAAAAAAACAAAAAAAAAAAACAACAAAAATACTCTTAACAGTAAATTCAACCTTATGATTTCAATGCAAATTTTGGAACGCTACAGTCGCAAGTACGCAGATCTAAGTACGCGTTATTCCATGCACCTTGTATAATTTTTCATAGTTATAGTTTATTTTCCTCTTGCCAAATTGGTTTGTACATCTAACCTAACCGAACCGCATGCGAAATACAGAGAAAGTTCAGTCATCTTTTATCATTCCTATTATATGTATGTATATTTGCTTGAAATCATTAAATCCGTCGTATAATTCATATATTTTTTGTCGTCGGGCCAATAATATGTTTTCCAATTGATTTTTAGCCTTACATTTTAATGTTGTATTTTTATTGTCTGTAAAATCGTCTAGTTATGCCTAATTGGATTTCTGTTAAATTATTTGTTTGTGCTTTTTAATTGATGAATACAATAAGGAAAAATTAAGATGTGATATACATATGTCACGGTCCTTGTAAAATATATAAAAAAAATATATTTTAAATATTCTAAAATCCTAGTAATTCGATAGCTAAAAGCCAAGGTATTTCAGTTGACTCTGTGGCATATGTATTTACGTATGATTTTCTGAAACTATTGCGGACTAAATTATGTTAAATATTCTGTTTTTAAATATTCAACAACTTGTGTGTTATTTTTGTACATTTTAAACTTGAAGTTTGGACAATGTAATACCTTTGCAGGTCCTGCTAAATGTAAGAATAGTGACAACACTCAAAGTATATAATATGTGTGAACAATGTAAAACACTTGAGACTTATCGATTAACTGGTTAAAAAGAGATGTCATGTTAGCACTTCCTGTTTGAGATTTTAATTTTAATAGCCTAATCAGGGTTAATACACTAAATCAAGTAAATGTCCGTTTTAATATCCTTAAATACAAGTCGAAATATATTTAGTAATATGGTCAATGCAATGGTATTATATGAGGCTTCGGTTTCTCGAAGTTAGCTTGCTTTCAACGATGGTTTTTTTTTCTGTTTTTGTGGTTCTCTTTTACTTAAACATTTTAAGTTTCTTCAAACACATGCATGTGTGGGTGTGAATATACTTGAAAAGACCAGGCGTATAAGTGTGTGTGTTTTTATTTCTACAAACATATATACAATTCATAACAAAATTCTTTATATTCCACACAAAAGTATATTCACAATCTGTAAGCATCTTATTAATCAAGAATCTCATTGCAACATTTCGTTTCCAAACAACAATCAACAACAACATCAATAAAAATCGATCGAACAAAAACAACAACAACAAAAACGAAATTAAAAACTATTGAAAATCGGTATTTATTAAAATTGAAATATATATTAATCCCGACCAAATCGAAAATCAAAAATCGAAAAACAAAAAACCAAAAAAATCAATTCAATTTACCAATTAAATTTACCGGGCTTCTTGAATACACACTCATGCACGTTCGAATATGTCCTTGAAATAATATTGAAAACCAATAAATAAACACAAATGTGCATGCGTGTGTATGCGGGCATTGCCAAAAATGCCTTATATACGCTTCGAATATATATGAATATATCTACCAACCGAACCAAACTGAACCAAAAACAACCAACCAAAACCTAAACAAACCTACGGATAACATATCAACAACCACGCCTGCCCCAACATTATTACAAAACACTTGGACGTAAAATTGAATTAATTTTGATGTGTAAACGATAATAAAATCAAATCGATAATCGATCATCGAATTATGCCTATAAAAACACCCATAATCTTACGCTTTATTACACATACTTTATACCCTGGTGTGTATGCAAAATTTATAATCAAAATATAACGCATATAAATGAAATAAACTACAACAACAACAACAACAACAACAACATAATTGCGGGTGCCGACGCCGACGGCTATATAGGCGAAAGACAACAACACTTAAATATGATCCACCTTACTCGAAGAAACCAATTGCGAAAAGCTACGGCGGAGCGGCAACGGCACCTAACCATCATTCCGTCGAAGAGGTCTCCCTGGATGGATCCAGCAAGTTGGTCTATGCCAATCAGACTGGCTTCAGGTGCGTATCCGTACTCGCATTCGTATTCACCGGGGATCGTGCTACAATTTTCGATATATTCATTCTCTAAAACGATCTTTCGTCATTTGCAGGGACAAGAGCATCCATGGCCGTCGCTATAATACTGGTGGCGAGGACGATCAGTCACATGCAGGTTAATACCATTGACTTACAAATACCATATTCTGTTTTTTTTTTCTAGAAATATGTGCTTAGATTTACACACGAAAAGAAGTGTGTCTCGGAGTTACAGAAATCTCTTTCAATCAAATTTAAATCGTTATTTAAATTGTGTTTTTTTTATAGAGTGTTCCAAGTCACTTAAAAATCATTTTAAAATTTACCATAAATAAAAAATATTTTTTTCAGAGAGTTGCCATTAATTTGAATTTATTATTAATGTTTTCAAGTATCCAATTTCTTAAATAAATTAATTTATTTAAAAATTGAGATGTAATTCATCGCCTTGAAAGTATTTTTGCAACTCAAAAGTTTTTGCTGTTTTCATAAATAGGAAATATTAAAGAAATGAATTTTTTATTGAAAAATAAATAGATTTTCCAGAAGTTGCAATTTATCGAAATTTTTTGAAAAAAGAAATCGATTTTGCAATTTATTAAAATGCATTTTTGTGATTTTTTTTGAAGAATTTCTTGCATCGCAGATTTTCAACTCAATAGTTCATAGGAAATATAAAAGAAGTCGTTTTCTGTCTTGATTTTGTATTGGAATTCTATTCAAAGAGATTTTTGTGGCACTCCACCTGCTTGTAAGCTGTGAAATAAACAATTGCATGGTAGCCACACAATTTGATTGCATTACCAAGGAAAAAGTAAAACGGTCCTCAGTGACTGAATCCGGACCAAGCTATCTTCTCATACATTCTCCGCTTGACACTCTAGAAACATGCCAAACATGTGTTAATATCGACCTAGTTAACTAGACTAACTGATTATAACTAATGACTTTTAAGCGTTTAATGCCAGTACTCTTCCGAGCTTTCGTTATTGCAGTTACACGTTTGCCATCATCGCGAGAGTCACACCATAGTAATTAGTAATCAAAATAGTTCATTTGTAGTGAAAATATATGAGGGGGGGCCCTCTGGTAAATGTAAATAATATTTTTGGTTTGCTAAAACAATCATGCTGTCTTTTCGGACCCTTTTAAGTTTTTGGATAACTCGATAAACTGCGATTTCCAAGCATAAATATAGTGATTAGATTTCGCCTATTTTGAGTAAATAAATAATGCCTGCAGCAGAAATAGGGCTACATATAAGCTAGAGTTTCAACAAGATGGCTAAGAAAGTGGGATAATAAGTTACTCTTTGCAGTTACAAACTTCTTGGATTGACATGTGCACCTTTAAGGGGAAGGGGGTATGGTAAATTCGGTGCCACTTTTAAAAAATTTCTTGTGGCAAAACGCCTAAAGTTAGCTTAAAAAAATAAAAACCATAAAATAACACAACTTTTAAACCATTACGGGTTAAATTATGTATTGAAAAATATTTAGAGGTATAGAAGTAATAAGGAATCTTCCGAGTGCTCTCAAAAAAAAAAAAAAAGATAGTTTGCGGTGTATATCCAAACTGCCCACAGAATCATCCGATACAAAAAAAAAATTAATTACCATACACCCCCTTAAAATACGTCTAATAATCTCATACCAAAGTTAAGGAAGAAGGAGATCCTTCGTATCCAGTTCTTTTTTGTTTAGGAAAACAAAAGTTTTCTCTTTTTTTTTTTGTCTATTGTAAAGCCAAATGTTTCATTAAGACACTAACAAATACGTTCGATTGTTCATTTTGCGAAAAGAAATTTGAAGAGTCATTCTGAGTAATCGCCGCCTCGGCATTCTCGTGTCATTCCTTACCAAAATTTATATATATTCTTTTACATGTACTAACACTGCCCTCCTCTCCATACATTGCTATTGACCGGCACAGAGAAGGGTATATTAAAGAAGCACGGCTACGGTCTGGTGCACGGTGAGCAGCTGAAAGACAAGTGGGGCGACGACAACCAATCGGAGCTCGAGCTAGTCACCCAAGACGGCACCCTGGCCTCGACGAGCGGCGGCGGCGGAGGCGGCGGGGCAGCTGTCTCCGAGGTGGAGCGCACGCTGAAGTCCCTCAACGGCTACCACGAGGATATACTAGAGGCGTTGCGGAACGCCGCCACGCACCGGGGCACTGGGACCGGCAACACGCCCGTCGGCAGCGGTAGCCTCAGCGAGGAGATGCTGCGCAAGACGCTGCAGGACTGCAACAACGCACAGCTGGGCTACTCCGCCGAGCAGTATAAGCGTGCCAGTGGATCCAAGTCGAGCTCGAGGGAGAATATCTGTGACAATGCCGCCGTCCATGCCATTATACTCGACGGCAGTGCGGCGGGGCTGAGTGGCCTGGGACTGGGGTCCAGTGTGGGCGGCGGCGGCGGCGGTTCGGCGGCCGCCATGTCTGGCGGTATGTCGCATGGCACAGCACTGCTCCACCACCATCGGTCGCAGCATCAGCTGCATCAGCCGTCGGCGATGGCGTTGCAGCAGCAGCAGCAGCAGTCCCAGCAGCCGGACGAGGATGATGCTCCTTCGACCGGACCGCTGCGTATACGCAATTTGGAGGACCTAATACGGCAGCTCGAGCATCATTCGTCGCGACACATGAGCCCCAGCGGCTCCGAGGATATACGCATGTCGGAGACAGACGCCGATCGACACTATAGATTAGATAGTTCCGCCGCTTGTAGTGAGTCATCTCAAGGGTTAGTGTTATTTTTTTAATTCCGAGCTAACGCCAATAGCATCCACCCCTCGCCCCCGCCTCCACCCCCTGTAACATGCCGGGACAAAGACCAGCATAAGCCATGAGTATTTGAAATGTTTATTTTTTGAACCGTCCATACAATACACTCTTAAGGTCAACTGTAACTCGGAGCCGTGACACCTGAACTGTCATGCGCCTTATAATACCTAATGATATAGCCAAAGATACGTTCGCTTTCCCTAAATCTAAAGCATATACCCATTACTATGATACTGTATTTTCAAATAATGTTACTAGTAGCGCCAGCGATTAACCCACTAATATATTCATTGGCTTTACGTACGGTTCCCAAGTGTTTCTAGAAGCATACTTACCAGACATGCGCTTAACACACGCCCAACATACACATACATCCATCCATCTCAGCACACGCCCTCGCAACGCATTAACGCATAATAAATTCCGCAGAATATATACTAATTAAACAAAGCAATCATAACCGTAACTGTAACTGTAAACGGCCAGCTGACTTAACCAGTTAAAAGCATGTAAGCTGCTACCTATTTGTACTCCAGTAACCGTAACCAGTAACCAGTAACCAGTAACCAGTAACCAGTAACCAATGTTCAGTGTCCAAAAACGTTACTCAAGCCAATGCCAAAAATTCTATTCGCATTTCTTGCAGGCTTCAGGCTGGAATACCTTGTGTGATAAAGGTTGGTTGCTATGAACATCTCTCTATGTATGCCACCACGCCTCTTGTGGGGGGCCTTGCCCCTAACGTTGCATATGTACTATGTGGTGCAGGGGGCGCCTCTAACTTCACCTCCCCCCTCCTCTTTTTACTCGCATGATCACATTCGCATTCGCATACGATGCTCCGCCGCTCACTCTCATGGCCAGATCTGGGTCCCAGCTCCACCCTAGCTAGTCTCTCCTTTCAAACCATGTCACACAGCTGATTGTGATTGCCAATTTGATTGTCTAATTTGTATTATTTGTCTGCCTCTGCTCTTTCTCTCTCTCTCTCTCTGTATATCCCCCTGTGTACGCGCGCGCCTATAGCTCCAATCAGCAACTAGCACAATCTCAGAAAACAGCTACAATTCATCCGTCTTACAGCAGTCGGTGTCGTCCCCGATCCGATGACGAGTCCAGATTCACATTCGGCGGACGCTACCGACAGCCGGCAGCCTCTTCGGGACGGCACGGGCCGCATCAGTCCCACTCACCTCACGCATTCGGACACCACACGCATCACTCCCATGCCCATGGACATGCCACGCACGGACCACACTCGTCGCATCACTCCTCGCACACCCATTTGCATCAGGAAGATGAGGGCATTTATGAGACCGCTGACCAGCATGAACGCAATATAGGCGACGTTCGGCTCGACTGCCAGGTGACGCCAGATAGTGAAAGGTAAGTCCAGTCGCACTCCGTCGTCCTTTCCGTCTGTACGTCCCCCAGGCCGTTAGTTAGTATGTATAACTCTCAGTGTTTTCTGTGTTTTTTGGTAATGCCCTTAGCTTCCTGTCACATTTCATAGTTTCGTTTTCTGGTTTATTATTTTAAATCATTTTTACTCATTTACCAAATTCAAGTTTAAAGTTCTTTTCCATTTCCCTTAGGTTAAATTCCATAACAGCAATCGTGTCCATTTGCTCATTTTCAAGCACACTAGTCCTCATTTCTCAGTTTCCAAGTCATCTGTTTTGAACACAGACCAATTTCTGTTGCAGTTAGTTCAGGAATCGAACCTCTATAGCTTAGAGTGTAAATGCAAAAAAGGAAAACACCTGAATGTAGCTTAAAAATAGTTAATGTAGAGATGAATAGGTCTGATGTAGCTACCCATTTTATTATTTATTTAATTTGCGTAATGATCCAAGCACGTTTCCCCTTCCGCTTCCGCCTCCGCCTCCGCCTCCGCCTGACCCCCCCCCCATATCCCCCCCATCGATCCCAATCCAACTTCCCTATGGCCTTGCGTTCTTACCATGTACCGTTGTTCCTGTTACGATTATTATTTTCTAGTGATGACTTTATTCAAGCTCAACAACAGTTAGCCCGGTGGGCGAGTGAGGATGTGGTATCCGTCGTGGTATTGGATCAGCCGCCATCCGGTACAATGTCGGATTCCCAACCATACAGCGGCGCCGGACTCATATCGGCGGGGGCTACAATGAACAACGTTATGCACCATCAGCATCCGCATCCGCATCAGCACCACGGCGATCATCATCAATCCTCCGCAGCGGCAGCGGCAGCGGCAGCCAGCCACTCTATGATGGGTTTACCAATCGTCCCAAATGGTATAAGTGCAACTCAGAGGGACTTTTATCCCTCGCCGCCGTCAACGGAGACGGAAAGCAGTGGAAGTGCTATCCAGCCGCCGCCGCCGCTCACACGACGCACAGACACGGCGGCACTAAGTCAGCAGCAGCATCAGCATCAGCAGCAGCAGCAGCAGCAGCAGCAGCAGCAAATGCAGCAGCTTCACCAGCTGCATCAGCATCAGCTTCAGCAGCAATTAGGCGATACCAGCAGCAGCAACAACAGTCAGTCCGGACAGGTCATCGAGAATGGCTGTTACCCGGAATATAAGCATTGATAGAGTGTATCCACTTTCGCACATTTGCACATCCGCCGCATTTCGCGCATAGATCAATGATTACAGATCTGATAGACCTGATCACTGGATCACTGGATCACTGGATCACTGGATCACTGGATCACTGGATCACCGGATCACCTATGCCAAACTCAGCCAAGTGTGTAGCTAGATTTTCCGCTAATATTGGCATTTGTATCGATCTTTATAATTACTTTAGCATAGTTATATGCTTTGCTTCAGATACACTCGTGTATGGTGGGCATACTTACATTTAATGGTAGACTTAATGTAAATGTGAAAGAACAAGTTAACGTTAAACAAACAAACAAAAAAAAAAAAAAAAAAAAAAAAAAAAGAAAACAGAGCGAAGCAAAAGCAAAGCAAATGAAATTAGTTTAAGTGAACAAAACAAAACAACAAGAGAAACCACAACAACAATGATGAGTATTACTATGTATGAGTGATAGATACATACCCACACACTACTCATAGTTTTATACACACACAACACACACACGAGACAAGGAAAGGTAATAATAAGTAAGAGAACATCCAAAATTTGTATTCGTTGTATTCTTGCTTACACATAATACAATACATAGAGACATGCCTAACAGTGCATACATAAAAACGATAGAAAAACGATAGAAAAACGAGAGAAAATATAAGCAAAATTGGGATATTAATTTTTTGTATACCTCGGACCAAAGCCAATGCCACGTTCGAGTAGGAAAAATAAAAGAATAAATCAATTTATTTGCAGATGTACATAAATAAGACAAGCAAAATGAAAGCAAAACAAAAAACAAAAAAAAACCAAAAAAATGGAAACAAAAAACAGCAAAATAAACCGAAAAAAAGCAAAAGAAATGATATATGTACGATGATAGTTAGTAAATTTTACGACTCTTTGCAAGACGCAAGCGGGGATCTTGAGTATTTCCCTGGTCACGACGGACAAGCGGCAGGAAAAATACAATTGTGCACCGGGCCCAGCCCGGGCTTTAAAAAAAAACCCCCTTATTGGGGCCATCTTACACCGACTGATAGAAAAATTTTGGGCAATATTGCCAGTTCTCGTTCAATAATCTTTAAAAACTCAAAAAGTCAAAAATGAAAATTAAAGCGGAAATATTAACAATCTGAATGGTTAGGGTATGAGTATTATTAAATGTATGAATATGATTACACATAAAATTAAGTATAAAGATAATGTTAATTTAAAAGGTTTGGAAATATCAGTAATATTGTATCGTATTGTACCGTAAAATTAAGCCATTTAGAATGAAACGTACGAATTAAATGATTTTCCAGCTTTACCAGTCTCTCTTTCATTGGTTCGAGTACTTAAGAGGAACACTTTAGCTTATCAAACACCGACTTCTCAAAAAACGTCCAAAAAATTGTAACGACTAGGCTGCTGTTGTAAGTCAGAGGGGCGAACGAATCGGCTAATGGGTGGCTAATAGGAGTTATCCTAGCTCCCTCTGGACTCTGCCTTTGTTTGTTGATTCATAAAGTTACATTTAAATAATATCAAAACCAAACACAAACATCAACACTGGAATAAAAAAGGGACTGGAACGAACATGGGTCAACAATTAGCGCGCTTCGGATGTCGTGAAGCAGCTCAGCCCTCCCTTCCTTGCCCATCACTTCCCTTGGGCCTCATGCTAGCTGAAGGCGAAATTCGAAGCTAATTAAAACATTATACTATTTTTTTTACTTAAACCTAAAAACATGAGTTGTATTACTAATAAATTTTAAAATTGGATTTGACATGGATGGATATAATTAATGATTAAAAATTATTTGTTTCCATTTATTGGAAATTTCTCCCAGTGTGGAGGACATAAAGAAATTGCTTTGCTTTTTACTGCCCACCAATCCACTCCTAGGTAGCGCCACTGGGCTCTAAGTTTCTGATAAATGCCAACAGATGGCGTCATCGGGCAACGCCTCCTACCGGGGTATGATGGAAGAATGAATCTTAAATGTCAAGAACTAAAAAGTTTAACAGTGCCGCGCTCTGTTAAGTTATCCGCTGTTAAAGTCAGCTGTTATGTACAATAAATGTTACTACCCAAAATTGAGTTTAAAAGATAAAAAATGTAGATATAGCATATATTTTCCAAGAGTTTTTCAATTTGTAAAATATCGATTGAATAATTTCTCAAATTGAAAATAACAGTTATAACCCAACTTGTATATGAAAATTAAAATATTACATTATATTAATATATATTGATTACTTATTTAACTATTTATTGACAATTTATTTTTTTTATTAATGAAACATTTATTTAATTATATGTTTCTTGAAGTTTTGTAAATTTATAAATTTATGATCGTGGGTTGTTTATGAATCGTTAGCTCATTCCACTGCAGGGCTCTTGCCATTTTAAATACCTAATTTATTGTATTACAAGTCTGACTGCCTGTTCTTGAGCCACAATTAGGGCGTTTAGTGTTGGGATCTTGTAAAATCAGTTCAGGCAGCTCACATACAAATAAATAAGACCCCATGTGCGGTGGGCATACTTAATAAGGCGCTGTAGATTCGGGTCTTTGTTTTTTGTTAATTGGGTCAGTTAGTGAAAAGAGAGCGGGAAAGGGGAAAATTGATTTTACTTTTACTTAACGCTTGTCGCCCTCTAAAGAACTCTGAACGCGGGGGCGGAGTGCAGCGCCATTTTGATGCAGCATCTGTATTTCTGAATGTACACAGATACACACATTCAAAGATACAGAAATGCAGTTGCAACTGCAGCTGCAGTTGGGATTGGTCGGTAGGTCGGTAGGTGTCTGCTGCTGTGATTTGTGAGAAAAACCCGTTTTTCCGGCTGACATCGCGCCTCCTCCGATTTGCATATTTGTGCCAGCACATTCCTCCGGCTGCCAAAGAAAGAAAAAGTAAGGGAAAAAATAACCGAAATTATCATGCATCTCATTATTGACCGAAACTCTTACATATAACTTATTGATTTGTGCGCCAAAAAATGGGGGATGGGGATGGATAATATGCTCGAAAATTTAATGCACGAATTAATTATAAATTCCGTTGGCGGTGCCCGCTACGAAAGCGGCCAGCATGGGCCACAAAGGGGGCCAAAATTCATGGTAAATACTGTCTGTTATCTCCTCGTTTTTTAAATTAAAATGCAAATGAATGTATTTGTAGACTAAAGTTCTCGGATTTATGGCAATGTCTTCATATTATTATTATTATTATTATATTTCGCCCCGAGATGCTGCCTTCGAAATGGTGCATTGCCAGGGGACTGGGGAACTGGGGACTGGCGTTAGAAAGTGCCGCCCGCCATGCAAATGAGAATCGGAGAAAATTAATCGACGGATCGCAGTGGAATTCTAATTGCGTATACGCACTTTCTGCTCTATAGCCCCACACAGGTGCACAGATAAAAAAGTCTATAGAAAAAAACACAAGCTTATCTGGCTTGATTTTATTGTCTCCAAATTTTCAAAATTTTAAATTATAATTCAAGTATGAAAATTCTTAAAATTATTATTTTTAGCTCAGAGATACATAATTTGTTATATTTTATTTTATTTTATTTTATAAGGAAAACCTTCGTTGGCCCGAAATCATGCCTACTTGAGCCTAAATTTGGCAACAATATCTGGTAATTTTTTGCCACTGTACTTACACTGTCACTAGTAAGTATTCTTTTACGCAAAAAATATATTTCCTACTACTAAATGTAGAGAATAATAAATAGCTTAAATTTAAAGGCAAATTAGAATGTCTTTGGTATCACAAGAACCTCTTATATAAGTATATTCCATCTCAAACTCGAATCTGTTGCCGAAATACTCTTTCACAGACACCATTTCCTATGCCAGAGCCAAGACTTGACTGACGGGGTAGGCACTGTGGGCATTGGGACACCGACGATTCTACCGATACGATCGCCCCCAAATTGGAGTGAAAATAAGCTGTAGCACCAGCGAGTCGAATGCAATGGCAACACCATACTATGCGTACATAGATGTCTCGCCCCGAAATGGGTCGATGACAGATTGTGCCTGCGAGGCAATTGTCCGAAATCGAAATCGAAATTGAAACGAATACCCAACCCAGCCCAGCCCATATCGTTTGCCGAACTCCGCCGATCGTGATCTCCGCCAGAGGTATTCGTCTGTGTTCGTTCCTCCAGACCGTAATCAGAGCCCCGATATCAGAACAAGGTGTGCGCTTGTCACAGTTCTTGTCACTGCTACTGTTGGGGCTGTTGGTGTTCCTAGTTCCCAGTAACAAACAAAGGCTGCTGCCATTTCACTGTGATGGAGATGTCTGCTATATAAAGCGAATTAGCAGGAGTAATGAGACATTAACATCCTAACATACATACAACATTATATACATTTTTTGCGTCAAAACATTTACTTAACTCTTCTCGTCAGAGATCTTTTTTCGCCTGCGAATGCTCAGTCCCGTCAACGCGCCTGGATCACACCCAGCTTTTGGCCTGGGGCTGCTCTTGGCCATGGCAATTTATGATGCTTCATTAGCATGCATGAAGAGTGGACAATAAATAGCCATGGCTCAGCTCGGCTCGGCTGGGATAATGCTAATGCTGTTGCTGTTAGTCCAACAGACTAACTAAAAAAGTTTGGAGAAATATAAATAAAACAACGCGGGTCACAAGCTGTGGTGATTCGGAATGTTTATTGGCTTTTGTTGGCCATTTTCGCTTTGCCAAATGTCTCTCTTTTTCGGGCCTTTCCTAATCACAATCAATAAATTCATTTCGTTTTTGAGTCAGCGTCGTTTGTAGAAATTTTAATCCCGCTAAGAAATCTGATTTTTCCATAACCCTTTCATTTCTGTTTTCTTTTTTTTTTGCCAGCTTTCTGTCATAGGTCAATTTCGCTTTTTAATACCCTTTGAGAAGGGTATATTGGGCTTTAAGTTTAGGTAAATTATGAACATAATAAAAGCAGAAATTTTTTGTCTTGTATTTAGTTGTTTTATCTTAAGTTTAACTTGGAATTTCCACCTTGTGCATGTCAATTAATTTTTTAAAATAAATTTTAAATAAATTTAAGCTCTAGAAAAGTCTTTAGCGTCTTCCAGCTGAACGTCTTGGATATACCAGTTGTACATACATAAATTGCATATAAAGATTTATCATCAGTAATGGATTTCTGATCAACTTCATTGCTTGGTAGCTTTCATTGGGAATTAAAAGCACCATAATTCGAGCTTAAGACATAAAAATATAACTACACATATCAAATACTAAAGGGCATTCATCGTCTGGAACCCCCAGACGAAGCTGAAGCTGGAGCTGAAGCTGAACTTTCGCACCACGTGTGAGTTAACCTTTTGTGTGGATTTTGTCAGCCAGAAATGCCAGACTCTTGGGTTGTGTGTGCTCCCTTTGTTCTGTTCTTGCCCGCTAAATCATCTGTTGGGTCTGAATAAATCTTCCAACGCCCCTTGAACAGTGAGCAGGAATTTAACGCCTCTAAATTTGGTCAATAGAGTCACAAGATCTATTTTTAAACACAGGCCAAGGCTAAATTTATGCGGAATTCCATAAGGGCCCTGTTGATTTCAACTTTCCAACTGCAAAATATTTGTAGTATTTTAATATGAATTTAAATCGCATCGAAAAGAAGGAATCGACTGTTATCAGAAACATAAATTTACCAACAAGACTTTTGCATACCTCCTGCTTATATTGGCTATACATCAAGTAATCAGAATGTTCACCTGCAATAAAAATTAATATAACAATCTTTGATCTTAAATAGCCTTTCAATGATTAATATCAAGATATAGATAGATAAGAAATCACATATCGGAATGCCAATAATTAATATTCTGAGCGAAGAAACGCCTGAATTGCTAAGTGGCTGAGAGGTTTTGCAGAGCCAATAGATGGACTCATACATACCTTGGCTGGCTGTGACCTATTAAGGGCCGAAACTTTCATCCGGCGGAGAGCTGGGGCCATCGATGCGGGGTTATTAATGATCGGTCGATCCATTGACCCCGCGACAGAAAGCCAGAAGAAACGGGTACCCCAAAGAAAGCCAGAAAGAAGCTCGCCGCGGCAGAGCTGATGAATAATTCAAAAACCAGAGACCTCGGGTTCGTAGGAAACCGTTGGTGGCTGTGGCTTTGCCTTTGCCTTTGGTTTCTGTCCACATTTGGCAATTAGCCGTGGGTCAATAGGTGCTCGCCAAGCGAGCTAATATAAGCGGCCGCCGATCGTCGGACAGCTCAGTTTTTAGCCAAGTCTGGACAAGATGAGGAACCGGTGCGTCTGGCTCTTCCTGGGCCTGGTCTTTCTGGCCGTCAGTGTTTCCGGCGAGTCCCTGATCGAGGTGGACGAGAATGGTGACGAGTACGAGCTGAAGCGCTTTTACATCCAGGGTCGCCAGCTGAAGGGCGATGGCAGCCAGTCGCAGTGCGTCGTAACCCGAAGGAAGCGCTCGGGCAGGGCTCTCTCGGCGGGCACTAAGACCGGAGAGACCGGAGCGAGTGTCCAGGTCAGTTCGCAGACACTGAATGTGGAGAGCTTGCCGGCGATGATGGAGCATCGCGAGGGCGCCGCCACCCTCCAGGAGGTGAATCCCAGCAAGAGGCGTTATGTGGCTCTGACGGGAGTGCACTACGAGCCGCATGTTCCCAACGACGAAGAGGAAAATGACGATGAAGATGATGATGAGGATCTGGAAGACGAGGCGGAGGCTGCTCTGGCTGGGCAGTCATCGAAATCCCAGTCGCCGTTTGTGCCCGCTGCCTTGGCCCTGCCTTTGGCTCAGGGCTCTCAGGCATCCTCCCAGGGAGGAGCTGAAGAGCTGACCAGTTCCGCCCATCTGCCCCTGGGCGTCAGCGTGGTGGCCAATGCCGCCAGTCATGCCAATGTGGCCGAGGATGCCGGCATCGTGGTGGTCCAGTCCCATCAGCCGCCCAAGGTTAATCCCGACACGCATGCTGTCTTCGAGCTGAAGCCCATCCAAGCGGACGTCCAGCAACCGGCGGTCAGCTTCTATCCCTTTGTGCATCCCTGGGAGGCGGTGCTGCCCGAAGACGAGGATGACTACGACGAAGAGGACTATGACGAAGAGGACTACGATGACTTCTACTACGGCGGTAATGCCTACTACCGGGATCAGCCGGGCTACGTCGGCCTGGGTGAGTACGACGAGCACATTGTCAGCGAGGACAGCCCGATGTCGACCACGGCGATCTGGAGCACTGACGCCGACGATGGCGACATCCATCCCGTGATCAATCAGCCCAACAAGCGGCCGAATCAAAATAAGAAAAAGAACAAGAATAAGAATAAGAATTCGAACAAGAAGAATCCGAAGCGGAAGGCTCAGAAGAACAAGAAGCGAGTGCCGCAGAAGAAACGAAAGGAGGAGATGGAGGACGACCACGAGCTAATGACGCAAAAGAGGAAAAAGAACAAGGAGCAGAAGGAGAAGGATCACAAGAAGAAGCAGGACAAGGAGCAGGGCCAGGAGTTGCAGCAGGACCAAATGGACCAGAGTCCCGTAGATGTTATCAAGAAGCCAGCGGCTGTCGCATCTTCAAGTGCACAGTCTTCCATCAGCAGCAGCAGCAGCAGCGGCAGCAGCAGCAGTATGTCTTCTGCCAGCAATTCTTCTGGCAGCAATTCTTCGGTTGACAAGAAAAAGAAGAAGAAGAAGAAGCCCAGCAGCAGCAGCAGCAGTAGCAGCAGGTAATGTTTGCAAATATTTGTGTATTATTCATGAAAAATCCAACAAGTATCATAAGAGAGTGCACTCTAGCATCTTAGGGATGGGTCGAACCACGTGTCCTTTTAAGTATTTAAGTATTCAAGTAAATGTTGATCTATATCCTTGCAGCACCAGTAAGCGCAGGACCAAGAAAAAGAAGAAGCAGAGCAGCAGCAGCAGCCTCTCCAGTGGCAACCGACGTCGCCGTCCCAGCAGCTCCAGCTATAGCTCCGCTGGGTACAGTGGCTCCAGCTCCAGTTCCTCCATCGGCGGCTACCGTCGCCGGCGGCCACAGCTGACGCAGCAGCAGCGGCGGCGCCGCAAGCAGCAGAACACCAGACGCCGCCTGCAGCAGCAAAAGCGCCGGAGGAACCGCAACAAGAACAGGCAATTCTACGGCAACGAGCCCATCATCAATTGCATCTACATCAACAAGGATCCGCCGACGACCACCACTCCACGTCCCTTCTGGAACATCCTGGGACGTCAGTCGGACGACCAGAACGCCAAGGCTGCCCAGGCCCCTGGTCAGGATACCGCCGCCGTAGAGCCTGTGGATCCCGTGGCAAAGCAGGCCGTCATGCAAGCCGTGCGACGCAACTTTGGCGAGTTTGGCGGTCGCAAGCGCACCAACCTGCGATTCGTGTCCTAGAAGCGAGGATATACCAAGGATAAGCCCATTTTTTTTTGCGTATTTATTTATTTATTGTAATGCGAACAGTCAGTTTTTTTTTTTTAATATATTGTATGTACATCGAACCTGGTGATGAAAGTTTCGTTTTAGAGACACGTGTGTGTGGACAACTTTTTCGAGGGGCGTTGCATTCGGTATTATTGATTTCGGTCTCGGGAGGGGAGGGGTGACAGGACCAGGTCCAGGACGATGGACGAAGGACGCAGGACAGGCGGGGGGACATGGCCAGTGTGAGTGAACAGAACAGGTGTGTAACCTGAATCTGTCCTGCTGCCAGGTGCACTGCGAGAAAGTCAAAATTTGGACTTTGGTTTTCTTTATTTTTGGCCTACGGGCTGGACCACTGTGCACTGTTGTTTCTATAGCCTTTAGATTCATTTTCCCAACTAAAATTAACAAAGAAAAGTGTATATATGTATATATTAATCACTTTCGAATAGGGATATAACCTAAAATAGAAAATATAAACTCTTTTTGGGGAGACTTCGCATACTTTACCTTAGTTCTTATGTTTCAGCCTACTTTTTGTACCAAATATCAGCTTTTTATTTTTGCGCCGTGTAAAAGGCTCCTCTGCTCGGGCAACTATGTCCTGGCCAAAAGGAAAATCACCCCAGAGAGGAGAGCGAGGAGAGCACTCCGCCGGATATATGCCTCACTGCACAGGCCAAACAATTCCGGTGGAAAGGGCCGGAGAAATAGAGGAAAGGAGGAGAATCGGAGAACCGGTGAATGGGGGAAGCGGAGGAAAGGGTTGCGGGCCAGGACTTGTTTTATGTCTTCCGCCACTAGATGGTGCTCCTATATATACCTTTGATATTGGAAGCATTATTTAATACATTTTCATTTGAAGCCAAAAATACTGATACAAATGTGATCAGACGATATAAAATAAGCGATTCAATTTGGTTTTAAGGGAAATAAAACCAAAAGTCCCGAAAATGGGTGCACTTATCCTACATTTTTCTGAATAATGCTGATAAAACCTATAGGATATAGGCTGCAGAGAGTACTCAAAAAAAAAAAAGGATAGATGTAGCTGCAAGTTCTGCTCTGTTCTGTCCAGGAAAATTTGAAAGCTCGCAAGATAAGGCGGGTTAAACCACAAATTAAGTGGTGTTTCATTAAAAATAATACTATTCTTTTATCTTTTTTGTTTAAGAATCATAAATGATTATAATAAATATAAAGTAAATTAAAAATTAAAGAAATTTGGTCTTTGTTACACTAGTAGCAACATTTTAAATAGCTGCAAGACAAATTCGTATCAATTTTATTAGTAATACATTTTTGAATAATTTCTAGAATTAATATTATTATTCTATAATTTCAAAAAACCCTGAAAAATGTATCTAAAATAGGCAAAAATTCAGTAGAAAAATATTTTGAAATTAAAATTTTACTCAATATTTTATTGGACACATTTTTAAGTGTTATTTTTTTTTTTAAGAACAATAAAATACAGGAAAAACTTAATTTACATGAATATATAGAGAAACCTTGGTAATTCTCCTCATCTACTGCTCTGGCCTTAAATTGTTTTTCTTTCAGTGCACACATGTGACTCATTGGTATTGTGTGCTGTCGTTCGATCGATATTTTCGTGTCCAGCAGCAGCAGCCAGGCAGCTGTGTACTCCAACTTACATACGTATGCTACATATGTACATACGTCCATTTCGTGCCACCAACGAACCCACGAAGTATCTACGAGATACACCCGCACCGCACATCACCGCACCGCGCAGTACTGCAGTAAAGATTACCCGCGATGGTCTGGCTTCCGCCCACTTTACCCCCAGTTTTCCACGGGGAAAGCTTTAGCTTTGTGAGCAGTATTCCGTTGGCTGTTCAAATAAAAAACGTTCGCACACAGGACACAACGCGAAAACGGGACACCAAAAATCGGAGCAGGAGGCGAGCTGACGGGTCATTCCCAAGCAGAGATGCCAAGGTGTTAGCTCTAGTCTATTTAGGTTTTTATTTAGCAGTTCAAATGTATATATAAATTTCCTTTATTTATTTATATTATTTATATTTAATACAAAAAAACCGAACTTGAAAGATATTATGTATGTGTTTAGGGAACAAATAGCCAATAATAAGAATTTGGTAGCTATAAGTTAAAGTTAAAAATAATTTTCAAATTGTAGTAAATAACTAAAGTAATTTATATTAATTACAAATATTATTTTAGTACCGAAAATAATAAATATATCTCAGATTGTAGGCGAATATGTTGAAAAATAATGCATATTTTCCCATTGATTTTATCAAATCGCTCGTTCCAACTTGCAAGGTTTTATTTAGATAGTTAAAAAATAAGAGAGATGGTAAGGATATCGACTCGGCTGATGCTGAAAACATTACTCAAAACTATGATACCCCCGCTAAAAAATGAGTTGTATACTTACCGCTGTCGTGGCAACACTGTTGCTAAGGCAGAAAAGAGGGTGTGGTCGTGGTCGGGGGTTTACCTGGACTCGGATGTCACCCCAGTCCATACCCCTACCATTGCAGCTATCGAGGACCGAAGGACCCAAGGACCCAAGGACTCAGGGACGAATCAACTCTGTCCGTTTCACCAAGTCATCGTGTTTGCTGTTAGCCAGTTTGGGGATCTGGGGATACGGATACCCGGACGATGGTCGTAAAAAAGCGGGGATGGAAGGCACTCTAATCTGTTGTATTCACATATGAACATATATGTTTGTATATGTATATACCACATAGGCTGCTGACATGCAAAGTCATAGGCACATACCCATGTGTATGCTCTGGGGAACCAAAAGTATTTGAAAGTCTTCATGCTTATGTTAGTTAGTTTAGAATACTAACTTTAAATTGTGCAGAATACTTGGGTATTTTGTTTACGATTTCATTGCATCAGAAGTTCATTTTGTTGAGAGTAGTTTCTAAAGGAAATTGTACATTGAATATTTAATTTATAGAAGCTATAAAATATTTAAATAAAGTTTTAAAATATATAAGACTTCTTCTTAAGAAACAATAGATTTAACATATTTTAATTTTAATATATTTTTATTAATATATTTTTTATATATACCAGTTTAAAGCTTATTCGATGTCTTAACTTAATTAATTGCTTCTTCTATTTTTCCAATTTACTTTTCTCACGATTCTTTGTTTTCCGTTGAAGGGGGTTGTATTTTTTCTGAGGGGGTGTTAAGTTATTGATACCGAACGACTGTCGCTTCTGTTTTCCTTTTAAATAATATTTATTTTATATTTTTGCTCAGTAATATAGTGTTTCCACATAAAAATATATACTCGCTATGGCATTTCCCATAGAATATGTACCATATGATCGTTGTACTTCATTAAAGAATTTTCCAACCAGAAAAAGAACAGCTGTTAAGTTAAGCCAATCTGATTTATGAATACTTACGAATAGGTCTTTCTTCGCCTATATCTTACTCATCCACTCTTGAGCTCGTAAAACTAAATAGCTTGCACGGAAAGAAATTACTAGTTGCCTTGGATGATTACATAGGGTTCATAAGTTTCATGCTAAATTAACTAAATCTTAATAGTTACTTAAAACCCTTCATTAATTTTTAGATAAATACAACTAAATAAATACAATTAAGCAATGTACAATTTATAGAGTTGATCTCCAATATTTTTCTCAGCGTATTCCTGTCACATCTCATCCCTCAGGTTACCCCTACTCCTAGCAAGGTGTGAGAGGCGCGGGTCAACAGCAGATTGGCGGACAGATGTTTTGAATGATCCTTTTTCTGGGTTCTTTTTCAGTTTTCTTGCTTTTGAGGGAAAGGGAGCTAGGGAGAAGCAGCGGATCGACCTAGTTACGCAATGATTTGTCGGATTGTGGGCGTTCTGAAGTGGACCTTTGCCTTTGCGAGGTGCCATAAAAGAGTCGCGCCTCAAGGGTCGGAGGGAAAGGTGCGCCCATTTAGTCGTAATTGGTTGCCTAATTGGGCCATTGCCACGAGCCAGCTTTGCCTTCGACTTCGACGGGATTGGAAATGGTAGTGGAAAGGGCACGGGGAAGGGGCAGCCAGACTTTCAGCTGTCCGCGGCCAAAAAGGGATGCTGCAGCCAAGACCGATCATCAATTTAATAACACGGCCTGATCTCAGCTGTCCCTGTGCAGCAAGCTCTTTGGTTTTCAATCTAGATTTGGGGATTACAAAAACTGATCTGCACTATTTAAAAACAAAGCCTGGAAAAGAGAGAAACAAAGTGCAAAGCCCTTTTCTCTCAAAGATGTATGATTTGATTAAAAACGAGAAAGGAAGCTAACTTCGACACGTCGAAGTTTGTATATCCTTGCAGATTGCAATTGGATCACTAAGAATCGAGCCATTCTGGTTAAATAATTAAAATTTTTCGAATTGAATTTCATGCATTTTTGGCTGAGTTATGAACATTTGAGGATGAGGTTATTTTTCCTAAAATTATGAACCTTTGAAACTTAGTTTCTTGCTCATTTTTGTTTAAAAAATTCTTTAAAAATTACAGGTAAGTGTTTTAGTAGAACTGCAGCTTTGTTAAGCTTAGAAAAACGAACTCTGAACAGCTTTCCGAATTGAATTTCATGCATTTTTGGCTGAGTTATGAACATTTAAAAAGGAGTTTTTTTCCCAAAATAAATCGCACCAATTTTTGCAAAAATATGTAAAATTCTAAAAAATTGAGAAAAAATTAAATTGAAAAAAACTCTAAAAGTAGTATGCAGTTTTGTTAGGCTTAGAAAAGGCAACTCAGAACAGCTTTCCGAATTAAATTTCATGCATTTTTGGCGGAAAAATATATATATAGCAGTGAGAGTATATAGAAGACTATATGCAAAGTTTCATATAGATAGCTTTAAAACTGAGGGACTAGTTGGAGATACAGACAGACGGACAGGCGGACATGGCTAGATCGACTCGGCTGTTGATGCTGATCAAGAATATATATACTTTATAGGGT